GAGGTCACTAGAGGCTGTCATACGCGACGTGACAGGGATTCCTGCAAGGGCTCTACGGGGCACACCATTGTCTGACTTTACGACCTCCGAACGCGAGGCGTGGGTCCGCAATCGGGAAACAAAATACGAGGAAGATATGGCATACTCGTTGCTTGGGATATTCGGCGTCCACATGCCACTCATCTATGGCGAGGGTCGCGAACAAGCACAGAGAAGATTGCGAGAAGAGGTACAGAGATCTGTAAAAGGTGAGACACAGCTCAGAAACTCAGAAGAGAGGATTCATATTGACTAATGCACTTAGGCACTCACCACACAAGTTCTCGATCAGCTTTAGCCTGTCGGGCGTCCCTGAGACTCCACATTTCGTAGCAAGAGATGCAGAAGTATCCGAGATGCGGAGAATGCTGTGCTCAGATGGGAGCCGTCGCATTGTCGTACTCCATGGTCTCGGCGGCATCGGCAAGACACAGCTCGCTGCGACCTATATCAACCGGTATCGAGACGAGTACTCGGCCATCTTCTGGATCAATATCAAAGACGAAGCGTCTATTCAGCAGAGCTTCGCTAGGATCGCAACGCAGATCCTCGAACAGAGTGCCGACACCGGCAGCCTCAAGGGACTGAACCTGCAGCAGGACCACGACAAGATTGTCCAGGCCATGAAGGCGTGGCTCAGCCTGCCAGGCAACACCAGATGGCTCATTGTGTATGATAACTATGACGACCCAAAACTTCCAGGACGGAAAGCCGACGCAGTGGTCGACATACACCAGTTTCTTCCTGGTGCACATCAGGGCTCCATAGTGATCACAACACGACTGTCGCAAATCGACATGGGATACCACATTCGAGTTGACAAACTCAAATCCGAACACGAGAGTCTAGAAATACTATCAAAGGTATCGGGCCGGAATGGCTTACAAGATGGTAAGAATCTCAAGGCAGTTAATTTTCAGCCACTAATAGTGTTTTAGATGGTGATGCAAAAGACCTTGTGCGAAAGCTGGACGGGCTTCCCCTCGCTCTAGCTACGGCCGGAGCATATTTGAAGCGCGTTCCAATTAGCATACGTCAGTACCTTCGCTACTACCAGGAATCTTGGGAAAGAATCACCGGTAATCTGCATCTCAGATCCTACGCAGATCGTACCTTGAGTTCAACATGGCAGCTGTCGTATGAGCATGTTCAGGCACAGAACCCACTTGCGGCTGATCTGCTTCGGTGGTGGGCCTACTTCAACAACGAAGACATATGGTTCAGTCTTGTGCGGGCCAGAAGCGAAATGAGCCCCGTGTGGATGAAGCAGCTTTCAGAAGAGCTTAACTTCATCGACGTAATGGGCGTGCTTCACGATTATGGCCTTGTAGAACCTACAACCATGTTCCAGGAGACACAAGGGTACAGTATACATGGTTGTTTGCATTCTTGGACGGTCCATATATTGAACGCGGAGTGGGACGGCTGGTTGAACAAGCTTGCAATCGAAAGCGTGGCATCGCAGGTTCCATCAGACGATGAAGCCGAATATTGGCTAATTCAGAAGCGACTACTACCACATGCGATCCGGTCTTGTTCAACAGTACAGAAGAGCGATGTTCCTTCGGACTGGGCTTTCCATTCTCTAGGTAATCTGTACTGTGACCAGGGGAAGCTGGATGAGGCGGAGAAGATGTACTTGCGGGCGCTCGATGGGAGAGAGAAGGCACTCGGACCAGATCAAGTTGCGACATACCGGCCAGCAACCATACGAACCTAGGATCTTTGCAATCAGACCAGGGCCGTTTCAGACAAGCGCGTCAATATCATCAACGTGCTTACGATGGTCTTGAGCAGCTCCTCGGGCCATCGGACCCGGCTGTTCAGTCAGCGCGACACACTCTCGAGCATCGAGTAGACAGACAGGACGACGATGAGGGTATCCGGGAGAGGGCAGCAGATGCTCTTGGACCTACTGATCCCGCTCTGGACTATAAAGTCGGTATCTGGCAGCCTCTGTGGCCGTGGCTTATTAACGGCTACAAGCACGTGGTGGAGCGACTTTTCGGGACATATCTGTCGTGGTGGCCGCTATCTGACACAGAGAGACGCCTCGCCCGTGGCTTCACGAGGGTTTACTCAATGCCTTTTGCTCGACATGGACATTTCTACGAGGATGTACCAACTCCTGTCGCAGAAATGTTATTTCCCAAGCTAGTCGAGGCTAGCGTAAACATGGCGAAACCAACAAGCTGGCCAGCGGCGAGGAGCGGCCAAAATGCTGTCTATCTCAAGCACAGTACACCGTTACATTACATACAACGGCGCGACGATTTAACCCGGCAGCGACAGCCTCCGGGCAGCCATTCCGGACTGGCTCCAAGCGAGTACGACCACCCTGGGGCTTCTAGTTAAGATGCGCTTTCCAGGCTTTAGGTAGCAAACCAGAGACCACAACCACACGGACAGCAAGGCAGCCCAATCTCGTTCGTCAGCATAAATACTCGTCGTAACGAATCGCTTGGCGTCGCCATCAACCTCGGCGAAGACGACAGCGCTACGATGCACAATATGCGAGCCGCGCTGACTAAACTCCCGTCCTCGCGCTGCAAGCGACCCACTAGTGTCCAGTTCTACAGAGTAAATACCCCCCCCCCCCCATCCCCCGAGAGGCACGATCCAGAACTCTGAGAGCCGTTTACTGACATCAAGCAGTTCCATAGTTTCCACTTCCGCCCAGCCTCGAAACACCGATATATCTCGTTAGGCACAGACAAGCAGCGGTACCTGGACGAAGACCATGCCGAGTTCTCAAAATACAAGTACAGGCCATCTCCTTGGAAGGACGGCCAAAATTTGCCCAGCGGGCAGACATGGTTTTTCCTCCAGCATCCAAAGGAGTGCGGCACGTTGAAGATCCCGAATGACGCTCTTCCCGTAAGATTGAGCGACAGTGCAGATTCGCGCATCACTGCGTGGAGTGTGCATATCGAGAAGCGTTACTCCATGCTCATCATTGCAATTCCTGTTATCACATTTTCGTTATCACACTTGCGGCGGCCATGTGGTTCATATTCTGGTCGCTGGATCGGCACCCGGACGACTTGCAGGGTGTGACTGTTCCGATGTCTCTGGCAGTGACTGTAGTTACTTCCTTTTATAGCACTGCCATGCGCTTACTTCTCTTCAGATGCAGTTTGTGATAGCTCATTCGATCAGATGGTACTCGTACCTTCGACTTCAAGGCGCAAAAATTAGCTAGTCCAGTAGAGAAATACAGAACGGCTGAGACACCCATGGATTCTGTCCCGTATTTGAGTGAGAAAGCTTTTGAGGGACTTGTTTTTCTGCCCTTCTCGAGAACTCGATATCTCCCAGCTTCGACAGTCGCACACCGGCAATGCAGCTACAATTTGTTATGCTGAGTCCGATACCACAACGGCCATCGACTTGTTCAATTTCCGTTCACGCTTCCTCCCCTTTTGACAATCATGGTCACTGACTGAGGGAAGAAGCTACATAAGATGGCCTTCCGGTGGCAAAATAATTGAAGAAGGCTGCCCGGCATGCGCGGGATGTGTTCCCCTGTGACAACCGAGAACGGTAGAGGAGATACCTACAACATGCTTTCCGGATGCTCAATGGAAGCGATGGGATGGTATGCACAAGAGCTTGAGACGGGTTTTTGGGGTCGGGTGATGTGTGCTAATAGAAGGGCGAATCATCGAAATGGTCTGGCGCCTGGATCAGACTCAGTATTCGAATGTTTATGTATGTCGCCCTAGTTTCTGGTGTCCGTCGGGACATATTTACTGATAAAAGCCCAATCGATTGATAATTGCAATCAGTGAGATGCGATCCTCGCGTCCCGATACTATGAAGAATTTCCCGCGCTTGTTTGTGTAGGACTTATCACCATGGGGTTGGGCTAGAGCCATGCAGAACAGAGCAGGGGTCGTATGTGGGCCTCTCGAAAGAGTTTCTTCAAGCAACACTCAATCTGTCCTTGGCTGCACGCTACTTTGTAAGGTGCTTATTGTGGAGTAATCTGCACAGTGCATCCGACAGCGTGCTATAATCTACTGGTCCGTGCGGAAACATTAACTAGTGTCTAAAAAGCGGACACGTGTGGCGGTCACTACTGTACTGCTGCGGCTTCGATATCATGTTCGAGGTTTGGACTCGTCGCGGAAAAGGTTGTCCGGAAGGATTCTATTGTCGGTCTTGACAAGGTCAGGCATTTTCTACGCAACTACAATTGATGGTCGCGCTGTGTGCGGCTGCCATGTGCGTCGCAGGGATGCATCTCCACTGCGCTAGATCAGGAAGCTCCCTGTCGTAGATTGACGAGCTAAGGACGTGATGGTTTGAGCATTCCAAGAGGGGGCCTCTAACCGCTATACAGGACGAGTCAACTGGCTCACCGACTCGGCTTGCGATCCCCACGGGCAATGACGTTGTACTTGGCCAGCCTCCCATGTATGTCACTCACGGATTAGAGAGGCTCCTCCGTCGTAGCCACCTCCTCATTCTGCCATACGATACTGTATCCTCGCTTCTCTTGGTTCTGCTCTACTTCAGCGTCCCGAAGCAGGCGTTGTTCACGACAGAGCCTCTTCGGGCAAGTAGTAAAGCAGGATCGAAGTCGTCCGCGCTCATATGAGACCCGCCAGGCTGTAGCCTAGGATATGGGCGCGAGCTGCGTTCAACCACGCAGAGTACGGAAGTGGGTCACAAAGGCATTAGTCCAGCGCTAATGTAGCCGGAAACGAGAATTGCGGAGTGCACTCTCTTCGGGGATACAATGCTGTCTACGCTTTGTTGCCAGACACCTTGCGAAGTGGACGCCAGAATGTTCCACTGCATGCTTCCTGTGAGGAAACAACTTGACATGTAAGGCGGCTGCACTCAGTGGCTGCTACCTGGCCTGCTACTGTTCCACGTGCGAAGCATTGATGTTGCGTGCGCGAGTGTGGACGACTGCTTTATGTCGCTGGTACGGGGGTCTGTAAGGGCAATGGTAGGGAACGGAGAATGCTAGACTGCGCCATTAGTTGAGTCGGGTCCTCGTAAGCGCTATAATCGATGTTTACTTGCGGGTCCTGGTGCTTCTAAACAAGCATCAGTGTGCACGCACGTTGCTCTCATCGATTCGATGAGGTTCTGGGGTCGACAATATCTGCATAAGGCATAAATCCTAGATGATATCTGTTGGGTGATATCGCGCGGGTACAGTACCTCATGAGCCCGTAGAGGATGTCGGAGAGTTGTTGTTTCTCGCATTGCGAAGACCAATCAGATGCAGTGACGACGACGACGACTATAATGATGACTATGAGGATAGCGACTCTGAATACGATGACGACAACTTCTCCAGCGTCATAGTCCCCGACCCTGGTCCCTCGACCTATACGAATCGCGATTTCTGCGAACCAGGACCTTCCACACTTCCGCAGAAGCACAGAGGGCACGGCAAAGAGGGCAAAGGCAAGGAGAGAAAGGGCAAGGAGTCCAAAGGCAAAGAGTCTAAAGGCAAGCACCGCAAAGGTAAAGAGTCCAAAGGCAAGGAGTCCAAAGGCAAGGACAGCAAAGGCAAGGACAGCAAGCGCAGCAGGTAGACTACTGTTCACAAGTCCTGAAGCAGATCTCGAAGCACGCAACTTGGTGACTGTTCCCGCCTGCAGGCTGACAGAAATTCATAAATCTCTAAGCCAGCCAATCCTGTTAAATCTGGACTCAGCGACCTTACTTGCAACTTCGCTTTCATGCGCCCGTGCATGAGAATGTGAGCCATCATTCGTGAGAGTGATCAAATGTTGTTGCCCAAGCTCAGGGCAGTGCAACTCCGATTCTCGTGCCGGCGGTTCAGGAACTCGCACATGCTCGCATGCACAGCACCGCCCCCCTTTAATAATGTACATGTAGACACAGTGGTACGTGCCCGGGTTTCTAGTTAAGGATGTTCCAAGACAAGAAGAATCCCACCGAGTAGCGTTACAACGTAGCCAGGTACACCCAGCTACCGAGGCCCCAGGCAAAGGCATTCAAGGCCCAGCCGACGGAACCTGCGCATACCCTGACGGTTATCTGGTGCGATATTAGCGACCAGAACCTTTAGTGCATATCCAGGGACAGCGGGTGTCGGTGATGGACTTGCAGGCTTTGCTTTCCCTGCCTAATCACAAGGCAACTGACCTGCTATTGAATTCGTCTCGCCATTACGTAGATTGCGCTGTGCTTCTGTTATATCCCAATTTAATATGAAAGGAAAACGGAAAAAGTACACGTAATCCAAAGCAAGCTTCGGGGAAGATCGGCTCACGGCGCTATAACAAAGGAGTATCTGAGAAGCAAAAATATGCTTTTAAGGCCCCCAAACGGGGCCAAGTATCAACGTCAGGGTATCATCCTCTCAAAACTTTGACTGGTTGGTGTGTTATGTGGTCATGATCCCGTGATGAAATCAGAAGCAGCAAAAAGGCGGTCGTTACTGGGAGATGCCTGTGTCTCCCGATCGTCACACAAAAAGCACGCAACTGGACCCCTCCCCCGGGGCTCAAACATCGATCCAGTTCTCTTTCCTGTCCTTGCCGGCTGCGCCGCGGAATTGCACCTCCACGCGGACCTCGGTCTCCTTGGTGATCTTGGGGAGCTTCGACAGCTCGTAGTCCCTGACCGGGTCGATAATGTTGGTCTGGCTCTCGTTGGAAGCCTCGGTCTTGACATCCACGCCCGCGCCGCTGCGCAGGTAGCGGTGGCCTGAGCGCATGTGTGTGGACGAGTTGCCGGGCCGCGAGCCGTGCGAGACGCCCCCGGCGCCTGCCGTCTTGCGGGCGTAGCTGTCGAGGGTGGAGCGGAGGCCGAGCTTGAAGGCGACGATCCTGATGACGGGCTGAAGCGCCGGGAAGCACGCGCACCACAGACCAATATGAGATTCCAGGTCGGTCCACACTCCGATGGTGGCCATCTGAATGTCCTATGGGTGGTTCAATGAGCCATGGTCAGCCTTCGTACTGCATTTTTGTTTCAAGGTAGACACTGCCTATCAGTGTTGTTTGGGTGTCAGACGTACGAATCGACTTTCCAGTCCATGGTCTTGATGTAGTACAGACGGATACAGCCAGTGATGACCACGAAGATACCGACGCTGAAGACTGCAATGACCTGGAACATCTTGCGCGACCACAGCATATTGGTGTAGATGACCCAGATTGGCAGACCATGAGAATGGCGTCAAAGATGATGCCAAGCACGGCATGGGCCGTCATCATCTGGTCGAGCTGCACCGGCGTGAAACACTGCGCGTCACTCGACATTGGGGGAAGCCAGCCGGCTGACACTGGGCTGCACTGGAACAGACGGAAGAAGAAGCATCCCAAGGTTGTTGCAAGAACCATGCCGATGGTGGCCAGATCAGGATCATGTAAACTTTGTCCTTGTTCAGTCTCGGCAAGAAGGCGAGGATGGCAAGTCGGTCCAACCCAACACCCCAGAAATAAAGGAGGTTGAGATTGTTCAGTCCCTGAGATGGACCGAAGTATTAGTAGCGGACCAGTGTTGTCTCTCTGCCGAAACGAGAGAGAGAGAGAGAGAGGTTCTTTGCTTACAATGAAGAACTCCATGAGGTCAGGTAATGGAATCAGCTCCATATGCGCGCCGGCGCCATGGTACGACAGGTGGATGTTGAAGGCAGACTGTGCACAAACAACCCCCAGCGCAAGCACAGCGAGCAGATCGTCCCACCCGGGCGTCTTGGCCATGAAAAAACGAGTGTAGAGGCGCGTGAAGACAACAAGAGAGCTGAGGATGACCAGGGCGATGTTGAGTCGGGCCTGGTGGCCGCCAGCCCAGTCGTCCGTCTCCCAGAACTGGGTTCCGGGAGGATAGTTGGACACTGGAGGAGGGCCAGGTGCACCAGCCATTGCTACTGCTGTTTGCGTGAGATCGGCGCCGCGTCGACGGATTCGCGAGCTGAGATGGTCAAGGCGGCACAAGCTGCCTGTGGAGGATCGGGAATGCTCCTAGCAAGAACAGCCAGGCTCGGTCGCGGAACTGGCGATCGCTAATATGGGGAACGGCGGGTTGGGTTCGTGTAAAGATATATGCAAGACCAGCCTTGCCGGGGATGTTCTACAGAAGGATCGGTGCTCTCAAACGGTCAACACGAGCCCTTGCCAGGAACCCAGCACTGTGGCAAGCCTGTCCCGTGGCCCCAAGTCGGCGAGAGTGCCTGGTGGTGTTCGGAAAGCCACCCGTGACAGAGTGCGACGCTAGGCCTGGCTAACAGTGCCATGGGAACGACCATGAAAACTCGGCCAGAACAACCCCAAGTCACACCTCTGCATGCCGCCTTTCAGGGATTTCATAGCGCCAGACTAGTGAGGGAGCTCAGCTACAACCGCCAACCAGAGCATACCAGACCGGGAAGGCTTGCTCCTAGGTCCCGGTCAGCACGTTTGCCCTCAGACCCTTGAACGGTGGCTCTGCTTTTTACCATGCTCAACCACTATGTCGGAACTGTATAGCCGATCACTTAGGTGTATGAGGTCGTCATTTGAAGTCGTAGCGATGCTAACAGAGTTCAAACGAAGTATACCGGTATCATGGTGGAAAGCATCGCCCGCACACCGAACCAGGCGATGTCGTGCGGTCACAGACAGGTACGAGGCAAGGGGGTTTTCCTGGAAACCACGCCAGCCGGGTGGCGGCCGACGGCGTGTCTCGGTGGCCTCTTGGTTCAAAGCCTTCTTTGGCGGGATCTGCAGCGCATCCGTTGCTATGACCACCTCGGATGCCATGTTGGGTCTTCACAGTCTCGGTTGGTTTCCTTTAGTGCAACAGGTATCCTTCAACCAGTGATGAAGGATCAGTCACCTGCATCGTTGTCGTGGTCTTCCGGCTGTTCTTGCCCTCTCCGGTGGCCTCAAAAGGTGGAAATTATAAACTACAGTGCTTGCCAGTCTTTTGGATCTAAGAGTCTGTACGCCCCTCCGCACATAGCACATTCTTTCGTCCCAAGTGTAGGAGGGCAAGTGCCCTTCAATGATAATGTAACGAGTATCGAGTCCACTCATACCTAGGCAAGCACGGTCGAAAACTCTGCACGACATCAGAAAGGCCATCCCTGCAGGAGCGGGGGCAAACTGATGCTTCCCTTAGGAGGCGCAGCGCCACGCATTGCCTTGAGTGCCACTCGAAAACGCGACTCAGGTATCTTTTCCGTCTTGGTCACAGCAGCCTCGACCAGCCCGCTGCGCCGCTGGAGCCCTACTGGTCCGGCCAGCCAGTAATGGCTATGGCGTTAGAACTTCTCCAGCGCCCCCTCAGGGGCCCGCTCATTATCCGCTATCAACCGTCCTCACTTCACCGCGCATGAGGGGCGCTGACAAGCTTTCTAGGGTGCCCTCAGCCGCTGCGAAGTGCTCATGGTATGGCTGCATGAAACATGGGCGTCTGTCATGATAAGTGATCGACCACCTTGGAGAGTTTTGACAGCCGTGTGTCGATCTGGGCCAACCATGCTCCGATATGCACGTGGCAAACCATTTCGCAGCAAGTTCAACCGAAGCTTTGATCTCACCGCGGAGCCTCTCTCAACCTTCTGTGTCCAGCCCCTGCCCCTCAGAAACCCTGGGGCGGCCCCATCTCGTGCCGGACGAGTGCTCCTGCTCATCTGCGGGTTGCATGACCCCGAGCAGGCCGTTCTGTAGCACTGCTAGAGGCAGGGGTTTGGGCTGACGCTACGCAGTTGTCAGGGAGGAACCGGCGATACTGCTGAGCCAATGATGTTGTCAGCCATCGGAGAAGGTGCCGGGGGGCGCCCGGGACCCCGGAAAAGAGTTCCTTAGCGTTGCTTGACAAAGTTGGTCCACCTACCTGACAAGTCGTGGAGGATGCCCAACCAGGATTCCATTGTCCCGCACAAGAGACTTCCCGTTGTGGAACCTCCATGGGTCGCGGAAGGATGGATCCAGCCCAATCGAATGGTGACCCGGTGTGCCCATTGTCCACCACATAATTAGCCCGACTCGCGGCAGACAGCCACGAGGATGGCTGGGTAGGGATCTGGAACCCCCCTGTATCGCGCGGATGAAAAAGCGAGCGGGCAACGGGCCAATTCCATACAAGGGGCACTTGACCCTGGGCTTGTCACCTGCCTCCGCAGCACAACCTTGGCGAGCTTGGTTGTGCCATGCCGTATCTGATCGGCTGGGGATATGACCAGGGTCTACGGTGGGCGGGCTGAGGCGTCGCATCATCGACGCATAAAGTGCTCACCAGCACACGCTGAAGAAGACCTTCTGACCCCCGCGGTGTTGTGGCCTGAGACATATGCAGCATCGAGAGCCAGCTTGTGCGGTACGCTTCCCCGTCAAGCCTTAGTGTCTTCTACTCATCTATTTTCTTAGTTATTAACCTCGTGTGAGCCGATATCTCGCTGGCGAGCCCATTTCCATGGTCCCGAGCCAGGCTCCGAGCAACCTTTCACTAGTCTTTCTCAGCTGATAATCCCGACAAGCCCTGCAACCCTTAGCGCACAAGAGCGGTGCCACCGCCTCGATGCGTTTGACGATCAGCTGATCTACTCCGCATGCGACTAGGGAACCCCCGATCGAAACGAGAATAGCCTGAGACCCTGTCCCTCTCCCACGCCCGCCACAGGCTTCCAATCGGTGCTGACGGAATCGTATCGTCGAATTCAATCACCGCCAACACTCTGGCCGAGTGCTGGGGGATTCCCTCGTTCTGGTGCACATTCGCAGCTCGATCTGGAAGCAGTACAGGTTGATCAGCGACTTCGAGTGCAACCCGGACACTCCGCTCTCTGTCGGTGTTTGGAGCAAGCCCTCCACCGCGTCGAGTGTTCCCCAGAATGCAGTCTACGCTCGGGATGCGCGTAACTGAGGATAATCCAGCCAGGAATGATGGTCTGGAAAACAACATAAATCACAGCGGTAGCATAGTGAGTCTGAATGCTAATGAATGAAGAATTAAAGAGGAATTGATTCTAAAGCATCTGCTCTTATCGTATGCAAGCCTATGATGATAAACCTATCTAATTACAAACGCGTCTACACAGAGGCCTTGAAAGACAGCTTTTCGGTATCACTTCATCTATCGTTCCTGTTCCGCCTTGTTGTAGTATTTAGATCACCAACGCGCCCCGCGCTCCTCTAGTTAGAGAAATAGCGCGGGTCCGGCAGTGGTGCGCGATCCAGCTTGAAGCCACCGGGCTGTAGCTGCTGGAAAACGCCCTGTGGGTCGTACTTGCATGCGATAGCCTTGAGTTTCGCTTTGTTGGCAGAACCATAGCTGCTGACAACGTCCTGGAACTGACTAGCGTAGTTCATATAGACAAAGCCGTTGTCAAGGCTGCGGGCGCGGGCCTCCTTAGTGATTTCAGCAAGAACATCGGACATGAAGCGGTGGACAGTCTCGTCGTCCGATGCGTTGCTCCACATAGAAGCCATGAGCATAATGTAGAGCGGCCCGTCGGCGGTGTCGAGACCTAGGGCATTACCACCGTTTTTCTGCATTTGCTGTAGCTGGGGTACCGTAAGTCCCTGGATCACGAGATTGGGGATGATCCCAGGGATGGCTGACACCGCGGGTACTCGTCGGAAAAAGATCTCACGGGCGAGCTTGAGGATCTCAGGGTCGGCCCTGGTCGTGACCGCGTAGTACATCTCGCGGAGGCCCGGCGGGCTGTCGTTCATCGTCTCTTTGCCCCATTCGGCGAGCACGCGGGGCTTGGTGGTGTCGGAAATAGCTTGAATAGCATTGAAGTCGGCGAAGATGGGAGCGTTAGCGGCATTGGGATCTTCGTGGTACAGCGCCGGGATGGCTAGTTTGGTGCCGGCAGAGTAGTAGTAGACAAGGTAGAGCCCGGCTTTCGTGTCCGAGGCCGAGTTGGCAATCGTCTTGCCAAATGCGCTCTCGACGGCCGGGAACTTGTCCTCCGTGTACACGCGCGAACCACCCCACATCTTCCCCTCAGGCAAGGGCACCGTCCTCAGATTGAAGTTGACGACCAGGCCGAAGTTGTTACCGCCGCCTCTGAGTGCCCAGTAGAGGTCTTTGTTCACAGTTGCGCTCGCCCGGACGATAGCACCGCTGGCGGTAACGACCTATGCTGGGTCAGCTGACAAGAGTCGTGAGAGTGATCGCCAGGTTTCTCCCCGTGGCTGCACTTACATCAAAGCTCTCGACATTGTCGCAGGCCCAGCCATACTTGTTGGGCCAGTAGGAGATACCACCGCCCAGGGTCAAGCCGCCGACACCAATGTTGTAGAGACGGCCACCGACGACAGTCACGTCGGACTTGGTCAACTGCTCGAAGACTGGGCCCCAGATGTTGCCGGGCTGGATGGATGCAATCTTCTTGTCGGCTGACAAGCTGATGCGCTTGAGGTTGGCAAAGGAGATGGTGATGCCATCCTGGATGTTCGAGGCGCCCGCGAAGGCGGCGTGCCCTCCACTCTTTGCTGCGAAGGGGCACTGCGTTAGGCGAGCCAACAGGACGCCCACAGAAACCTCGAGCGGTGTTGTGGGCTTGAAGACGCAGGCTGGGCGAACCTGGGCCTGGTTGTCGGACCAGAACGAGCTGGTGAAGTTGGAGTAGCCCGAGACGCCGCGGAGGAGTGTGTTTTGGACGCCGTAGATCAATCCAAGGGTGTTGCACTATCCAATGTGGGTTAGATCTGCACTGTTGTCACAATGCGAGCGGAGTGTGGACATGGGAGGACGTACGACAATTGCACAGCCGGCACGTGTATCGCGCTTCTGTACTGAGCCCTCGTCGGCTGCATATTCGGCGAGGCCGGGCAGCGTTGTGACATCGATGCCCTTGTCCAGGAGGGCCTTGGTGATACTGAAGTCCGTGGGCTCGACGACCTGGGCAGCGCCCTTGCTTGAGAGGGCCAAGCCAATGGCCATGACCGATAAGAGGTGCTTGACAGCCATTGCGAAGTCACAGGAAGGTTGATCGTGGTGTAGTGGGAGAGCCTGGACTCTTGAGTGCTTGGTTGCCAGGAATGATAGGTACTTATGTGTCGGTGTGGGAGTTGGCACGGAATGGCTCATATCCGCGGAACTTCTGCACCTCACTTCACCTGATTGTTATTACTGCATTATTGATTTATGCCGTCGTTGGTAGTGTTACACCCTCGCAGACTAGATTATGAACGGGCATTATTACTCAAGACATGCATACCCATGAGCGCCCGGGAGTCTGGCCCGCCGTCCGTGTGCATTTCCTTCCCCCGCAACCGGGCTCGTAAGGCAGAGGGCTCGTAAGATAAAGTTTCTTGCGCAGCAGGGGTCCTGGCCTCCTTGCCTAGCAGGAAGCGGTCTCCAACGTCTTCAATGCGCGCGCGGAACAATTTTACAAGCATATCCCATGCTGCTGCCCTTGTCAACAGAGCTGCAAGAGTCAGCCCATGCGCATACAAACAAATAAATTCAAAGAGCTTGCGGAATCCGCAAGACTACTAAAAATTTAATTTAGTTTTACCTTTATTAAATAACGTAGATCCCGGTCAAGCGGGCCACCCGGTCGAGCGGGCCACCCTTAAGGTATTCGGACGACAATGTATAGAAAAAATCAACCAGAACGCCTTAAATCAATTCAAACTAGATGAAATCCTCTTCTTCAGAGGTAGACTCAACTATCTGACACGTACGAGCATTATGGCCGGGCTCGCCGCAAACGCCACAGCGTCGCGCGCGCGTCTCTGTCCTCCTCGCGCGACCACTATTTTGACTTGTTTCTGCCCGTAACTGCTCCGTCACGTCGATCTGAGACTTCAAATCCTTTGCCTGGCTAATCGTTAGTGACCCTCCTTTCCGTAGCTGCTTTCTTTTAGTACGTCGACGGCGGCTTAGGCGGCTATTTGCGTCTCGAAGTTCGGCCAGGTCGCTCTCCATAAGGGCCTGTTTATGCACCATCATTAACACTCCTTTGTTTAGCTGCTGTAAGCTTGCGATAATTGAAGTTGGGGAGCTATTTTGATGTCGTACGATACGATTCTTGATGTATTCGGTCTGCGATTCCGCCTCAATTGGGTTATTCGGCGTCTTCGAGACCCAGAGCGGCGGTAGGCCTGCAGAACCTGGCGGCGTTGGCGTATGAGGCTTTACGTCTAGCTGTGAAATGACGTATTCCGGATCGTACGGTACTAGGCCAGTAGCTCTGAAGCCGGCCTGGATATTTGACTTAGTCATTGTAGTGTCGTGCGCCTTATGAAAGGCTGGAAGGAAGTCCTCCTTCGCGACGTGGGTAATATGCGCCCGCATAAGGCCTTCGATTTCTTTGCTGTACGCCCGTTTTAGAGGTCTAAAGCACCCGACATCGAGAGGCTGGAGCTTATGCGACGAATGAGCAGGCATGCAGAGCGTAATTATATTCTGGTCCTTGCAGTACAGCTCGAAATCGACCGAGTGGTGGCTCTCGTGGCCGTCGAGGATAAGGAGCCGGTAAACGCCCTTCGTACGACTCTTCGTATGGAAATCGAAGTGTTTTACCCATTCTAGGCCTCTCTCGTTCGTCGTCCAACCGTTTCTGAAAGCGCGATTACCCAGTCGGCGGTAGGGGCTATTCGCGGTCCAGGAGTCGAGGTGGACCTTCCCGGCGAAGATGATATACGGCGGGATTAATAGCCGTACGACGCGATGCCCTGGATTACTGTAACCCATTCTGATTCCCTTGTTGTACGGCTCTTGGCTTACCGCGTCGATCAGAGGTCGTAACGACAGGCTCGGCGGAGATCTTACCCATCGCAAAGCCCGTCTCATCGAAGTTGTAGATATCGTCGTCGTATATCCCGTATTTCGCGATTATATTCCGTACGAGGGAAAACCACGCGCGATACGCGTCCGGATCTTCGCAGAGGACTCTCTGATAGTCGATTCTTCGACTAAAACGCGTACGGAGCTCAGGTCGTCGCTGTACGAAGGCTGAAGCCCAGTTCTTCCCAACGCGTAACGCGTTACGGTCGCGTAGTAGTCGATCCGCCATTTCTCGAACACCACTAAGTCGCGGTAGAAATGATCGCGAATCTAGGTCAATTACGTATCGTACGATGCTCTCCTCTTCGTATGAGGTTAATCTCTGGGTAGGCGATCGGACATCGCGTTTCGCAGGTCGGCCGCGGTGTCGTTCTTGAAGTGTCGTACGAGGCACGTTATAGACTGATGCAGCCTTTCGAAGGCTCAATTTTGGATTAGATCGAAGCGCATTAAGCGCTAGAAGTAAGTCGCTTTCAATTGATTGTCGTACCATTATTGCTTGCAGAGAAAATGGATGAAGGCTGGGTATGTATGAAGGAGCGAGAAAAGTGGCCCGCTCGACCGGGTGGCCCGCTTGACCGGGATCTACGTTATATAATAAACATAAAACATAATTGGACACTCCCATTTACTCTTTGTGGGGTCTATGCCCCATTCGCAGCCCAGATTATCGGCCTTTTGGATGGCCTCAAGCCAGACTCTCTTTCCAGCCATATGTCCGCGTCTCCGGCAAATTGTCTTTGCCGGCGGCAGAGCCCAGGCCTGGGTTGCGGTCTGAACATAGAATGGAGCTGCTAGATACGTCCACGAAGCAGATGCACCAGAGTCTCGCGAGGGATTCATGTGCAACGGCACGTGAACTAGCGCCAACACATCCCCTGCTTTCTGTCCATGCCTTCATCTTCATGTAGAGACCGCTTGAACACACCTTGACGAGCCCTTCCTTCCGGCCACCGAGCGGCTGAAACTTGGTTGAGCACCTAGATTACTCCAGTAATTTCCACTTTCCCCTTCAGGGCCTTAGTCCTTTCACGGCTGACGCAGGAAAGGCCGCCACAAGGCGCAATGCTGGGATCACTCCAGTCTGGGCCTGTGGCTCCTGAGTCGCCAAAGGGGGTTGTCTGAGGACTAGGTATTTAGGCACCGTGGTGCCTCTATGAAGAGTAGCCCCGTTTCGCTTGGGTGCCACGACGACACAGGCGATCTCATCATCTCGTTACGCGTCCCATGCTCAAGCTGGATTACTCGACAAAACCACCTCATGCCACAACGTCCTCGCGCACACCGTACCTGATTTCGTCCTCGTCATGGACAGCCCCATCCCGCGTCCGGCGATCCGGAGCACGGGGATCGCCATGATCGTCCTCACAACCCTTGTAGCGATCGCCCGCGCAGCTGTAACTTTCATCCAGCATCGCAACGTCACCGGGGAGGACCTCTGGCTCCTCGCCAGCTACAGCTTCTTTCTGGTCGTATCTATCCTATATCTGTACATTGTACCAGCCTTCTTCCGCCTCACCGACCTCGCGGTCGGGGCCATAGAGCCCTATCCAACAGCTGGTGATGACGCGGTCTTCATTCAGAAGGGGCTTTTCGTTGCCTCCGCCAGCCTTTGGTTCTGCCTCTGGTCAGCCAAATTCTCGCTCCTCTTCATGTACAAGAAGCTCGTGGACAAACTGCCGCTGTACCTCAAGCTGTGGTGGGCACTTGCCATTTTCTCTGCGCTGGTAGGTAGTAGCTCCGACCGTTGAAGTCCAAGTATTTGTAACTGATGGTCTACTTCTGTCTTCTAGTCTTTGGTCGGCGCCATGATCACACTGTTCTTGGCCTGCTCCAACATGGAAGCCTGGTTCACCGCAGGCATGTGCTACACGCCCCGCGACATCGTCCACGCGGCGATCAGCATATGGTACGCCTACGCCGTCGATGTACTCACGGATCTACTCAGTATGTCTCCGAAACCCCAACCCATTTGTCCGACTTCTGCTGATAGAAACTGAACCTAGTTATGTTCTTACCCCTCCGACTCGTCCTCAACCTACAGATGCCCTTGTCCAGAAAATTGGGTATCGTCGGCCTGTTCTGTCTGGGCTGGATCTGCATCGCCGCCTCGACTATCCGCGTTACACAACTTGCCAACCCAGGACACCAGCCCACCGTTCCGTGGCTCGCTGTCTGGGGCACGATTGAGTCTGCTATTGGTATGCACCTGGACCATAGAGCTCGCCCCCGCTTTATATAAGATTGAACTAACACCAATTTGTCAACTGTAGCATTCATCACCGTCTCGGGCCCGGGGCTCTATCGTGCAGCTAAACTTTTATCCAAGACCCGCAGGAAGTACTACGTCAACGAAATGTACCACGACTCCAACACGGGAGGAAATTCGAAGCAGGGCGCGAGCCGACTTGGGAGAAGCCAAATACATGACGACTCGGTCCAGCTCCGGTCTCTAGGCGGGACATCAGCTATCACTGCGGCCGCGTCCAACAGTAGCGAAGAGGAGCTGTTTGGCGTTGATAGAGGTGCCATCCACGTTAGAACGGCAGTGACAGTGGAGAGCAAGGAATAATCAGTGCGGAGGCTGTGCAGGTTGTGATATTGGGGCTCGTGAGACGTTGGTTAGCATAGCGGCCGCAGCGCGGAGGTGGTGTGCGAATTCATTGTCTTTGTCTTTGGGTAAAAGAATCTCCGGGCCAGTAAATAAGAGACCCTGCCAGGCTTAAACATAGAAGTCAATCTGTATTTGCTAAATAGGCCATACAATTGGATTAATCGTAGCCGAAGCAACACATCCTGAGACCGCGGAAGAGCCTTCAGCGACCAGCGCACAAGCACCGAAGAGGACGCGCCAACGACGCCTGTTATCGCTTCCTCGAGAGCCCAGTTCGCGTATATCTCGACCAGCAAAGAAGAATCGAGCACGAGAAACAGACAAGGCGGAGTTCCTTCCCAGGAAGAGAACGGCAGAATCAACACTCAAAAGGCCTACGCCGCTTTTGGTGATGGGAGAGCTCACGGTAGGCGATCATGAGGCAGGCCTCAAAATCAGCGTATTTCGACCTCTCCTCAAACACCTCTGAACTGGAAACACTGTTGTATGTGTTCTCCACGCAGGCTGCCACCATGCGTAGGCATACTACAACAGAGAGACCGCCAAAACGCTACGACGACCTGAGGAAACACCGCTACAAGCAGGGTTTCATAAATGCCGTGCGCAAGGAACTGCGCGATCTCCTTGCCCAAGAGCTTGGCGGCTCATCGACTGTGTCAGAGGTTGTCCGCAGGCGCTCCCTTTGCTGGCCATCGATGCCTGCCGGGTTCTACCACGACGGCCGTACGGCAGTCTCATCGCCGCTCTTTGCCGTACGGATATCGGCTCCATAGTGCGCCGGGACGACCATATCGTCGTGCTTTTTGATTACTCCTACCACTGGACCAGGGCACATGCTCTGGCAGATGTTACCGGAGAAGATGCGAAAGTCCAGGCACGCGCGGTTACGAACGCTATTGGACAGTACAACCCAGGACCATTTACTGCTCCTCTACGTTGTTGCAGACAGTCGAATAGAGAACCCGACGGCACGGCACAGCAGCGCCTGGACCTGCCGCTCCTGGAAGCACAGCCAATCAGCACCGACGAGCTTATCATTTCGGGACCACGCGCTACCCCGGTTTCCAATCCGGGGCGACAGCGAGGCCGGCCCGAGACAGTAGTAGATGGGGCAGACAGGGGGCATTCAGTGCGGGATGAGGCACTGTTATACTGGAGTCCCATCTCTTGTTATCGCTGTTGCTGGTCTCCAGGCAAGATAACGTCAATGCCAAGACGCTCCGCGGGGAATTCTGGATAAGCTTGCCGGCCGCAATGCCGAACACTCCAGCTACTTTCAGTCGTTCGGCGGACGTGGTGTGGCCGGTGATGGTGCCTGGATCGGCCCCAGCCGAGGAGTGCGGAACAACATAAGAAGAGCCGATGTCCTTTTGATTTCGTGCAGTTCAGTTCGCAGCAAGGCTCAGACTCTTGACATACGCAACGACAACTTCAAAAGAGTACACGACAGTAATGGCCCTGTCACACCTCGTACTGGCTGCGCTACTGGCCGGCGGAAACGGCGCATCGGTAAGCAGGCCCTGCATTGTTAAAACATCGTTTGAACTGGCAAGGCGAAGCCTGTGCTGACGAACACCTCCTTCTTCCTGGTCCTAGGCCCTCAGCATCGTCGAGGCCAGCGTGGATGACCTCCAGCAGGCCCTCCAATCGGGGAGAATCAACACGGTCCAGCTGTTGGCGACGCACTTGCACCGCGTGGCCCGCTTTGACCGGCGCGGTCCCATTCTCAACTCCATCCCTGTGCTCAATACGGACGTGTTTGCGGCGGCAGAGGCTTCCGACCAGTACCGCGCAAGCCATGGCGGCGCCATCCGGTCTGTCCTCGAGGGCATCCCCTTCACTGTCAAGGACAGCTTCATGGTGACTGGCCTCAAGGTGCATCCGGCTCGCCCGCGTTCCAGAACCTGACAGCCCATGAAGATGCTTTCACCGTTGGCCGTATCGTCGGAGGCGGAGGGCTGGTGATCGGCAAGACCAACATGCCACCCATGGCCAACGGCGGCATGCAGCGTGGCGTCTACGGGCGGGCTGAGAGCCCGTATAACAAGGACTTCCTTGCGGCGGCGTATGGCTCAGGCTCGTCCAACGGATGCGCCGCATCGACTGCGGCGAGCATGGCAGCCTTTGGCATGGGCGAGGAGACAATTCGTCTGGCCGCTCGCCGGCATCCAACAACGGCCTTGTGGCTTGCACGCCCTCCCGCGGCATTTTGTCGATTCGCGGTAACTGGCCGCTATTCCCAATGGCCGACGTTGTCGTGCACATGACCCGCTCCGTCCGCGACATGCTGCATCTCCTCGACGTCCTCGTCGCCACTGACAGCAGTACTACTGGCGATTTCTGGCGTGCCCAGCCCTGGGTCACACTTCCTAAGCCCGAAGACGTCCGGCCACCCGCAGGAGCATCATAAACAAGCCTGATCGCCAGCGACGGTGCCCTCCAGTCGCTTAGAGGCAAGCGAGTCGGCGTACCCAAGATGTACATTGGTGAGGACGACCCGGCTGCGCAGCCTGTCTATGTGCGACCGTCCGTTTGTGCCCTCTGGGACGAGGCGCGCAAGACGCTCGAGTCACTCGGGGCCACAGTCGAGGAAGTCGACTTCCCACTCATCACCAATTCCGAGTCCGAGCCAGCCAGCGTCGCGTGGGAGACCGACTATCCTCTCCCGGGCCCCGGTAGCGATCCCGACAGCCGCGGCCCGGGCGAGCTCGCCCCTTACACTTGGGACGACTTCCTGCACATAGTAGGTGATAACAAGACCTATACGACTCTTGCAGACGTGGACCCCAGCCTCATCTTCCCGCAGCGACCCGGTACGCTGCCAAACCGGTATGGCAACCAGTTCCTGAACCGCACAGAGGTCACTCTGGCACATGAAGCGTTGTCCTCGTCGCATAGATGGTGCAAAATGGCCAGTCCAACATCGTCTTCACTGAGCCGGTTGTCACTGTCCTCCTCAACCGAATCAGCGAACGGCAGGCACTCGAAAAAGTTCTCGGGACTCGAGCCTTCGTGTTCTTGCGATTCAGACTCGGAAACGTCTCCGAAGTCTGCGGTTCTGCGTTGGCTCCGAGCTCTGGCGTTTGCTTCGTCGATGAAACGCTCGCGGTACTCTTTGGCCAGGACTCGAAGGTTCCTGAAGGCGCCAGTGCCTTCGAGCCAAGCTTCAAGATTCCCCGCCAAAGCATAGGCATTGAGAAGCGTAGTGTACAGCCAGGCTTCTGGCCACTCTTCGCAGGTGCGATCGGGTGATGAGCGTATAAATTGAGATACCCGCCGATAAATGTTGCACTGAACGTATACGAGTTGCCATCATAAACCTTCTTCCCCAAGCCACGAGTGAACCGTAGGCTCCATTCAGAACCCTGCTCGCGCTCCACGCAACCCGCCGACAGGGAACCTTAGCGCAGCTCGAGGCTATCGACCCTGGCCCTGCCTGCGTCGCCGGCCCCATCGTACCGCTGCCCGAGGAGGAGACCGCGCTGATAGTCAACCCTTGGGAGGCCCCTCCAGCCAGCATCCCCTTGGGAGGCCCAGAGTTCAAAGCCTGGGGTTCCCTCCAGAGTGGGCCTGGCGGTTGGCTAAAGACTGAACAGTGCTGCAAGCCTGCAACTGCACCCGTTGCTGAATTGACCGGTTCGATACGCTGCTCTGCGAACGCTGCGCTAGGGAGCGGAAGCCGAGGATGCTACTGGAACGCTCTGAGCTCTCATCCGGCACAAGGAGTTCGTCTATATTGTTTTGATTCTCAGTGGTGGCCATCCTCGTCGTCGAACTCACCACCGACTTCTGACATGGCCTCGGTCGCTTCAGTCTGGGGGTGTGAGTTCGCACTCCAGCTCGTGCACGCTAAACCCCCTCAACCTTTCCTTGGCTTGGCTCACCATTAGCAATATCTCAATCAAGCTTTCTCGTCGGCCTCTCTTTGAGGTAGAGCTAATTGTGTTCAGAAAACATCCGAACAATTCATGCCCGCACAAAAAGTGCACAAAGAAAGCGAGCATTCATGAGTCTGTCGTTGGAGCAAGATCCGGGAAGGGGCGACATTGCGGTTTGTACGAGCGGTTGTTGACTGTATCAAGTGTTGATGTGTGATCCGGTCCTAATGCCCTCTCCTTCCCATAGAGCGCCCGGAAGTACATCTTCTCGGCCTCGCCTAGTTTCCACTGGCTAGCGTAAAGATAACCTAGAGGATGAAAAGCCCGATTTGAAGGGCCGTCGCTCCCTTGTACTGTTGAACAAGACTGGATCGCATGTGGTATGAGCCTCTTCTGAAGAAGCTAATATTCGGCTTCTTCTTGTGAAGGAACCTGTGATGCCACACTTTCAACTGCAAGCTCATTCAAGCAACCGTCCCGCTTCTCGTTCAATATGTGAATCGTCCAAGAATGTAGACAACTGTGTATACTGTATCCTTGTGGCTCCTGGAACATGTTTGTAGGTTCGACAAGCCTGTAGTCATGGAGTACACCCATCGCATCGTTGAAGTTGAGCTCTTCTGATAGCTGCTTTATCCACGCGGGGCTGGTTACAAAAAGTGCTTGTTGTGTCTTCGTCCCTCCCTCGCCCCGCCAACACAAAAGTGTCGTAGAGCGTGTAACTTAGCTCCTGGACTAGGGCCACGACAATTCAAGTTCTAAGCCATAGAGAGGAACCAGAAGGACCAGTTGCGTGCTCGGGCCAGATTGGTGGTGGGAGGGTGACGCGGCGCAGATTGGATCTTTGTTTTCCCCTGCCCAGACCAGGCCTCTCGACATGTGTGTTGTTCCATGCCAGTTTGGACCCAGCTCGGAGGCCCTTTGGCTGACAGCCAAGGGGTCCCGCATCATGCACAATGACCGCATCGACAAGCCTGTCCCCATGCCATGGACTCCATTTCCATCCCCCCCTTTGGCCCCTTGCTCGCGGATTTCATGTAGCTGGTTTTCCACTTGAGATTTCCTACCGTTATGAGATCGTCTCGGGTAAACAGTATTTGGGGCATTCGCTGCAGGATTCCATCCACGAGCGCCATTTTCTCTCGATTCCTCCTCACTTGTGCAAGCACAACTGTCGTGCGAGAAAATCCAGATTGCCCTATATTGTCTTCAAGGGGAAAAACTATATATGGTCGTCAAAAGTCGTAAGCACCAAGAGCCCTCTCATTCTGAGTCAGATCCTCAAAGTCTTTAAAAAAAGAAACCCACGTCCACTTCCTGCCTGCTGGTTGTTCCAAGGATAGGCGAGACGTGCAGCCAGATGCCACGTCATCCCACATCTCTATAGTACCTGCTGTGTTACAAAGCTTGTCTCAAGTAGTCAGCGTCGCCCCCACCTAGTATAGACTTGAAGAGTGAGGTGCCGGGGTTTGGGGAGGCTGCAGGTGGGCATCCCCAGGAACCACGTGGGATGTGCTAGGGACCCGGGCCACACCATCCTAAATCTACCACGTACTAAAAATCCCCGCATCCCTCAATAGATCGTGGCATGCCCCGATCGTGTCGGGAAAAGAGCAGAGCCAATCGGGATGTCGTGCCACACAAGGATCCGACAGGCGGAGAGCCGGGCGTGAGGCAGTTGCCCTAGCTCGTTCAGCCTTAGTAGCGGTCATCATCACGATGACGCTGCCGACGGTCTAGCACACGGATTATTATGATCAGTAAGGTGAGATATACTTGCAGAAAGAAGAAAGCAGTTCATGAGGCTGGCTGGCGCTGACGTCTAGTCCAAGATAAACAGCCGTGGCGAGACAATGGAGACCACTTGGGCTACCATAGATAGCTTAGTAACCCGGTACTCCTTGTGCAGAAACAGGCTCCCTCTTTTTAAAACATCTGTGTCGTGAAGTGTTTACATGATTCGTAAGGGTCGTAAATCGGCAGCGAATGAGAGAGAGAGAGAGATGCGCGTGAAAGAGAGCAGGAGAGAAGGATGCAGCCTCAGAAGGGCATGACGACGATCAAAGAGTGCCCGAGACCGACATAACAAAAGGTCATGTTGAACTTGCTGATGGTCTACCGCCTGTCGTGACCGACTGGCGGCGCAGGAATAGAGGCTGAGTAGGGATTTCCATCGGTGTAACGCGGCCCATCATCGTACCGGTCGGCCCGCGGAGGAGCTGATGAAGACCAGTCGTCAGCCCTCGATCTCGGTTCACGATTTTGGTTCGCTTCCCGGAGCCGCTCCATGCGTCTCTCGTGGCGACGTTGCTTCTCTGACTGCCATTCTCTGACCTCGTGGGTCTTCTCTCTAGCTTCTTTCATCTCTCCCAAGACACCCTTGATGCTCATGAGAGCAATACCAACAGAGGCCGTGTCTTGGAGGATGGCCTTGGTCTTGAGCTTCTTGGCTTCCGTTGGATTCAGGTGCCCATTCCTGACGGCTTTGTGTCTTGCATTGCGGGCATGCGTGGAGCCGTAGACTTCATTGGCTGCGTGGATGGTGGCAACTGTCGCCAAGCCTGCTTTAAGGATCTGCTTACCTTTCATTTTCTTAGCTTGTCTCTCGTCGTCCTCCGAGGTTCCTAAATCACTGCTTGATACAGAACCAGATCGGCCACCCTTTCGGCTGCGGGAGCGGCTGCGCCGACGGTCGTCGTAGTAGTCGTCGCCTCTCCCGCCTCTCATGTAGCCACCACGGGTAGAATGATTGTCGTCATACCGATCATCATATCCTCTGCTCCTGCGGGAAGAGGACCGGCCGTCATCATGCCGGTCCTCGGGACCGCCGCCGAGACCAATTTTGGCCAAGCTTCTTCGAGCACCATTAACAATGCTCCGGCTCCGGCTGCGACGGCGTGGCGATGGAGATTGACTGCTATAGGAGTCATAGCTACGGCGCCGCGACCGCGAGCGAGACCGATCCTTGTTGTCCAGGATTTTCTTGGCACCTAGCGCTCCAAGACCAGCAGTGGCAAGGGCAGCACGGCCGGTCTTGCCCGAATCTCCAGCGGACCGAGAACGAGACCTGCTCCTGCCAGTGCGCCTGTCCTCTTCGATGTCCTTGCGAGAGCCGTTGAGCATGCGGTTGCCAACAAGGCCGCCAATGACAGCCTCCAACATGTGGCGCTTGCTGTGGCCCTTGCTGGGGTCATGGGCGGCATCAATAGTAGCAGCACCCGCGGCCGCGGTGAGGACGCGCTTCATCTTTTCGCCCTTCCAACCGCCAGGTTCCTTGGAGACGCGGAAAGCCTCGGCAGCGCCAGCCACCAAGGAGGCTTTGGCAGCTTTCTGCATTCGATTGGCGGGAGCGTCTTCAGGGCGAGATCGACGAGAGCTCCTCGACTCGACACTTCCGCGGCGGCTTCTCCCTTCAGAACGTCGGTCATCAGAACCTCCGCCCGTCAGGGCTTTGATGGCACCTCCAAGTCCGGCAGCAGAGAGAGCATTCTGCAGGAAGGACTTGTTGCCCTTGCAGCCTCTGGGGTCCTCGTCGTCGTCAGAGTAATACTCGGAAACACGGCCATCGCGGCCCTTGTGCACAATATAGGTGGACTTCTTGTCCTCCTTGTCGTTGTGTTTGTTGTAGTACTCGGCGCCGGAGTAGCCAGCAAAGGCACCTCCCGCCGCAAGAGCAGCCGAGGCGAGCGGGTTGCGCTCGATCCTGCCTGAGCCTTCGTCTTTGGCCTCCTTGCGATCCCATGCCTCCTTAGCACCGGCGGCAATGACACCTCCAACCACAGCAGCCAGCATCTTCTGCTGCTTGGTCAGGACGCACTTGCGAGTGCGCTCTTCCTCTTCGTAGTAGACGCTGCCTGGCTTCTGACGGGTGCGCAAATCGCGCCCAGGTGCGTAGTAGTCGTCGTAGCCAGGCTCTGCTGAGCGAGCCCAGCGGATGTCGCGGTAGCCCGGTGGCGGAAAGTCGCGACGGATCTCCTCGACAGAGGTGTCGCTATCTTCACGGGGGCGAGGCACAAGCTCGTGTCGGGAGGAGGGTTTCTGGCGATAGTAGGCATCTTGTGGCTCATAGCGGGGATCCGGGCGCAGGCGTGCCTCCTCACGGTAGGATCGCCGCTGAGGGGCCTCGTAGTCGTAAGCCGACATGGCTGGTGGCGCTGATGCCGTAGTTGTCGAGGTAGTCTTGTCATCTGATGACAAGCAGTGTTCGTGGACAGTAAGTTTGCTTGCGTGCCGCGATCAGTGTGGTTGTAGCGATCGAGATGAACTGGGGAAAGCTGCGCTGATGATATAGCGAGATGTCAGCAGGACCCCGAGGGACAGGGCAAGAGGGCGGGAGGGGAGCGGGCACGTCAATAATAGTACGTGGGCGAGGGACGGACCGGCCACCTGGGGCAGACGGCTGTGGCAGTCAGCAGACAGCGTCCTGAGGGACAAGCTTGGAATGAAACCAAGCCAAGTGCACCTGCGCATGAGCACGGCAGTTGCCCCGCCCCGCCGTTGCGAGCCCGCCTGCCTCACCTGCTCGTCTGACGTCAACCTCTCACCACTAGACTAGGAACAGGCTGGCTCGCTGGGCACCAACCAATCCACCCCGAGACCGACCAACCCCTTCGCCATGACGAGCAGACAACTGGCAGCACACCCCGGTTCAAGAAGTGATTGTCTGCCTCCGAAAGCAGGCCGGCCCCCTCAATCAGGCCCCCGGTGGCCGGTTTGGCGGCGCCTTAATTGGCTGCGGCGCTCCGGAGTGGTTGTGTGGGCTCGAGGCCAGGGCCAGCCATCCCTGAGATCTCGATCCCACATTCGCTTGCCACAAGGCATGGCATTTCAACATCTGATTCTTACAGCCGTCCCCAAGTGCCCACCATTAGCGCATTCCCCGCGGCTTCGCGAGCGGCGAATTTTGGATCATCCCCAGAAACCCGCTTTTCGCGATTTCCTGGGCCATCGTTGAAAGGCTGAGAGCTGAGCGGGCCCGCCGTAGGGATCTCACCAAGTCCAGCCACTTGCACCTGCCGTTTGACCCAGGCCGACGCGCACGGAACTTGCCGTGCCTGCATCCTCAAGCAGACAGCTCCTGTGCTGCCCCCACTCGCGTTGTCGTCCCAGAAATGCTGCAGGCCATGTCGCTTGGCCTGGTCGGCGCAGAACTGGATCTTTCTATAGCCGACTTTCTGTTGCCAGTCGTTTGAGCTCGTCTGTACATCAGTGTAGATGACCTCGACGGCACCCCAGGTGTGGGAAAGGATTGCGTAAGGGGGGATGTCGTCAGCGCGCAGATCGTCCGTGAGGGTGTAGTTGTTGGCGTCATCTCGTTGTAGTAGCCGCATTGTGGGATACGACTGATGACAGTAAGCGCTACTAGTCGGAGTGAGAAATATCTCGGTGGCCGGAGGTCCCGCATGAAGGTCAAATGGGATAAAAAGAAGCAGGCATGAGCATTATCATGGTAGGATATTGGGCCGCCTCTCAGCTCCAAAGTAAGGCTGAAAGTGCGGGGTAAGGCAGACTCGTCACTCACCTGTGACGCTATACTGTGCATATGCAATACGACTTTGCCCTCATATTCTCTCAAGTGCCGGCTTTGAATAATTGACAGTGCAAAGTGCTGCAAGTAACGATTTGGGATAATTAGTTAAATCAGTCGTGGGGGCTTTCTGTCAATGTTAGGTTCAGTGCAACCAATGGAGTTGCATAGTGCTAAGAAGTCTACGCACAGTCTGAAGCCATATGGGTCAAAGGAGTCCATGCGGAGTCGACGACTTTTCTGCATTTCACGGACACTGATCGTGGTCGCCACTGTACAGAACGCTGCGTAATGATGTGTATAAAGACCCGGAGATTGGCCTACAACAAGATTAGCCATGCATAAGCCGAATATCCAAGCGCACGTACCGATATCCAGACAGTACGAGCTCATTATCCTGTTGCCACGACGGAATCTCATGGTATAGCAAAAGCTTTTTGGACGACAGTTGGCCCTGTCTACCATTTTCTTTTCCGATAGGTGACATTTCCAATATGTCGGGAGCCAAATACTGCAGCGATGAAGTAATAGTTACAGTACAGTACTGACCACAATCAGTGTCCACAAACAACTCGATTGAGACGATTCGCGCACGGGCCACATCTGCCCAGTTGTGGCTTAGGACTGTGTGAATATTGTTCAGCACTATGTATCGTCCATAAAAGCTCCACCTCCCTCCATTTCTGGCTTTCGTTAACCTTGCCGACGCCCAGCGACCCATTGTGGCGAGACGCTCTGATCGAAAAATGGTTCATTCGGCTATAGAACCTTTGCGATATCGAGCCACCTAAAGTTCGGACGCCTCGCATAGCTGGGTCAAAAAACTGCACAGCGGTCAGATTGTTATCTCGATCTCATTTCGAACAGCACTTCATTTTCTACATATGGTCTTTTCCAATTCGAAATTGCTACAAGAATTGCTAATAAGCATATAGATAAGAACTCTTCCTCAAGGTTTCGTTAGTAAGTCCCCATATGCTGCTCACTGGAGACCGTGGAAATATGGTCGGCACGAGACGGCAGTGTATGGAACGTTGTGGAACACTGTTGGCTCCACCCGTCGTCGCTCCGACGATGTGTCATAAAGGAGCCTAAGGGCAGCACACTACCTGCATGCCTTTTGCCACATCAACTCGATTTGCCATCATGGACGGCATTAGCTACAGTACCTGTCTGTCAGAATAGGACCTCCAATGTCGAGTCAGGTGGTCGACCCCATACGCTGGCAATTATGGAACATCAGTGGCCTGATCGTGAACACCATGGTTGAACCTTGCGGGGTTTGTGGATACGCCGAGTGTCCACTTCAACTCCGCACTGCAACATAGCTGGGTAAGCGGAAGGGAGCACTGTCTCGGCTTCTTCCGGGGGACAGGGGGCTGATCGGCACATGAACTCAACGTATCCGACCAGGTGCGACTGCAAGATCACTATTCTGACCGACCTTCCACCATGGGGTTCTCACCCACGGGTAAGGATTCTGCCAACGGACGCATCCATCTGTCCATCAAGAGCCAAAGTATCTGCAGCGGTGTTATTCCTGCGCCTTCGTCAATTTTGCACCATCAATATGGCATGTTTCTGGGGTGCTCGTTCACACCCTCTCCATCGGCCGGGCAACGGGTGGCAGCAACTAAATCAAGCCTCCAACGACAGGAAAATAGAACGGCGCCGGGGAACATGATTTAGTCGGTCACGGCAGGGCTGGCATATCCTTGGCAGCTACTTTGACCAGTGCCAGGGTTTCCAGTGGACTGAAATTCAACAGGGATTGAACCCACAAGCAGTATTGGGTGATTGGCAGGGTATGTATCTTCAAGTCTATAGTAACGGGCGCAGGAACAGGTTCCTTATACGCAATTTAACCTGCCAGATCTCTGCGGCCAAAGGCGGTATCTGACGGAAAGGTGTTCATTTTTTTCAGCCTTACGCCCATCCCATGCTGCGTGCTGAATCGCGATATCGTACTGGGGCCGTCCATTGCAATGGCACCGGCCGACAACGATGACCTTGGCGCCTCGTCCGTTTCGGTGTGGAAGAATTGGTCGTGACGCCTCCCCGTCTGGGTGAAGGCTATCAGCTCGTTGAGGATGACGAACTCGATCTTGAGCTTGATGCTGTACACGACGGGCTTGTACGTCGTCTGGATCTGGAAATTTCCGCTGTATTCGGTGGCGAGGAGACTGGCGTCGAGCAGGACGGTGAGGACGAAGAGGATGACGAGATGGCGGAGGATGCGCCGTCCCGTGGTGGCCTTGACCACCAGGATAGGCTTGAAGCACGTGGCGGCCTCCCATACGTACAGCCCGGATATGACGCTCTCCTGGAGGAAGAAGCCGGCGAGTTGTATCTTTTCATACACATCAAAGGCGCGAAAGAAGGGGTCGGGATTGCCGCTGTTACTGGCGAGGAACAGGATCGACACGGGAATGTGGAGGACGACAAAGTTGAAGACGATCATGACGGCCACGAGCCGAGTCTTCCAGCGGTCAGGCCTGACCAGCCCCAGACGCGAGTAGAGCACGACAGACTGGCCAGTCACCATGGCCCACCACCCGACGACGGTGACAACGCACATTGGCAGGTTTGGCGCAAGCGTGAAGAACCGCAGGAAGACGGCGATGGTGTGGATGAAGATGCCGAATGTCGCGACGAGCAGGCTCCAGAAGTAGAGCCCCTGCTTGCGGCGGAAGAGGCTGAAAATGCTGATGGTAATCTCCACAATGTTGAAGATCGCGACGGCAAAGAAGCCCGCAATCAGCATCGCGATGGGCAGCGACACATCGATCGGCCCCGTCTCTCCCGGTATGGTTACCACGGGCTCGCAGCAGCTTCGACGCTTGTAGGGCTATCGGCACGCGCCGGATCTCATGATGGTGTGTCTGCAGGGTGTTTGACAGTGACCAGCAGCAGCGCTTTCTAGCCGAGTCTTAGTCGTCAAACGGACACGACGGACGCATCTTGACATGTCAAGCGCACAACCGGTGCCAGGTTTGCTTCTGACATGTGGCCGCGGTCCCTGCGGTGGTCCGGCTGAGGTTTTTATGGCTGCCAGCTTTCCCCCTTCGAGGCAGTCGGAAACGCATCCAGCTCCCGGCCGTTGAGCCTGGCCACGCTCCCAAGGGCAGCGCCAGCTGGGGCTCGGGGTTGGCGATCGCCTGGGGGGTAACTTTTGTGGCGTGAGCGCATAGTTTCCGGGGGAGGAAGGGCGCCAAGGGTGGGGTGGAGGAGCAACCACCGCGCCGGCCGCTGTGCCTTCCACTGGCTGCGGCGCCCTTGGGTAGGCGAAGTTTCGCGCACTCCGCAACTGCAGGTTTGTGCCGACACCCCCCACAACGCTCCGGTTCTGCAACCGTCCTCAGCCTTAGACCATCCCCAATGAGAGTCAACATGCAGAGAGGGTCCCCGCTGACTCCAGGATGCCGCGTAGGGCAGATGCCTGCAGCTTGGACCAGCAATAGGCGCTCTGCCGCCGCTAACGTTGTGCCGCCGCTGACGGTGGGCAGCCCTATCACGCGCCCACTTTTCGGTTTGTCCTTGATGACGGACAGTCCAGCCACCAAACCCAAATGGAAGGCCTGTGCTTTCCCAGCCGCTGGCAGAGCAGGTGCCATACTGTACCTACAGCCCCGCGCGCACACACGCGGGGAACAATGGCTTGCAGTTTGCTGTGCACACCAGTCGAGGGCGAGGATCACCCACCAGTTCTTTGCTCCCATTCACAACCCAGCTGTCATCGGCATGCGAGGGATACACGTTGTAATGAGTATCCAGCTTGGAGTGTACTGGGCCAAGTCTCTGTATTCATTTCGTACATGCATGAGCTTACCTGGCCATGCCAGCCTCAATAATGGCGCCAACCGCTTCGCCGCGTCTTGTGCCAGCAATGCCGTGTCTAGTTTGGAACGGGTACGAACAGATATTGACGGGCACACTCCGTCTCCTTGGCGATCTCTGCGTGAGTCTCAGTCAGCCCAATGGATCTCCGTGAAGATCTAAACCACCTGCACTGTGCGACATTGTTAGATATTGTATTGTTTCAGCCCCATGTTCGTGCTTCGTCCAAAGACACTGAAACCAAGGCGACGCGAGCGGGTCACCCTCTACCAACGATGCGCCAGTGTTTGAGCAGCACGAGGATAGCATGGACATCCTGGAGATCGGCAGTGTGCGTCACAGTCGTGGCTAGGCGTTCGACGCCGAAGAGCGCGCCCTCTTTCAGGTGTGCAAGACATCTATAGTGGAACCATCTATAGTGGAACCTGGAGGTCATCAACTTGCAAAGGCTGATGCCAGAGCCAAGGCCGCCGCAGTAAGCCGGCAGAGTGCAGGGACTTCGAGCATAGCACCACGCTCAAGCTAGCTCTAGAATGCCGAACAGCAATTGTGAAACAGTGGGATCGGTACAGATACAATGGTGGACGGTATCATCTAATAATATTATCTATGAGGGGCCTCCTGGGCCTGTCTGACTTCCTCGCCTCAGCGCTTGAACCTCCAGAATGGCCGAGCGTTTCTTGTTGTGATCCGGACATCATGATGACTTCCCATTACTTCCCACCAATCGAGAGCAAATTCCCGACCTGGCTATAAAGTGCGCTGCACCGGACTGGCTGGGCACTAATGTTCAAGCACTGGTCCTCAGGCAAAAACGTCTTCTCGCCGCAGAAGTCATCGCTGCGTCCAAGTGCCATCACACCATGAGACAGCTTCCCGCAACTGCATTAAATCCACCACTATTGTCTTTCTCCTCAATGCCAGTTCGATGGCAGCGAGCACGTAGCCGCGCTGTCGTCGTTGACGGTGCTCTCTGCCTATCGATCGGAATTTCAGTCCCTCGGTGACCTTTGTTGGAAGGTCACTGGTCGTCCAGGGTGTTCGGCGACTGCATGGAGCCTCAGTGCTCTAGCATATGCCATGTTTCACACTTTTGCCTCTGTCATGCCCATCTCTCAGAAACCCGACGAAGTAGCTTCTATTGGACTCACGGACGCACGCAGATGACCGTCCGCAAGACCTGGCGGCTGATGTGCTGGGGAAGGCCGGTGAAGGGGCTTTGCGGTCGCCATTGCGTGCAAGGGCTGGTTGCCAGCAGCGGTGTGAAAGTCGCAGCTCGAGTGTTATGGCTACATGCGGTTCATGCTAGGTCTCCTCCCAGATATTTCTTCGTAGCATAGCATCTAAAGTTGTTTTTGTTGCCGGCCTACTCAGTCCAATGGCGCGTCGACGAGTAGTCTGACGGTGTAGTCGAGGAATGGGGCTATCATGTCGTCGGCGAACTCCGTCGGCCACGTCTCTCGCAATCTTCTTAACACATCATCGAACCAGTTGCGCTGATCCCATTCAGGATTCACGTTCATAGCTCGCAGTATTGAGAGCAGCGCATCCTCTTGCTGAGCGTTTGATGATATTGTGGCGATGTCGACAGATCCGACCACACTTGGACCCTCGCTCGGATGTGTCGTGTTCGTTGACTCCCTGATAGTCCAATTCGGCCGCGTACCAGCCAGCTCGAAGGTGTGGCTGACGAGGTCTGTCGAATGGAAGAGCTGCCGGGTGACACATAACTGTGTAGTACGAGTCTCCTGCGTGTCGCGAGGATGCACTTGAATGATGAGAATCGAGACAACTTGCATGCGTGTGTTGTCTCGAGGCACTGGAACTGCGCCATTGTCCGAGGTCCGCGTCACCATCTCCTGTCTCGATCGCGGCCACAGCCTGCAAGCCACCTGCACCGACAGAACGTATTATGGGTGCTTTGTTGGCGTAATCCGCTTTCGCTTGCGCGTGGACAAATCGAATGGGCGTGGAGCGGCTGACTTCTGGGGGTGATTGAATTACTCTTCGGTATTATGCAGAGGGACAGGATACCCGAGAGCGATGCAGCTGAGGAGACAAGAATACAGACATCGACGACACGTGCTCCCACCAGGTTGCAGCACGACTGGTGTTGTCAGAACAGATGACCACAAAGCACACCAGCAAGAAACAAGATGGCGTGGGTCATGGAAAAATTCAAAAGCTGCCACAGAGGGATTCCGTTCTTGCGCGGCGGACCAGGCAGGCTAGGCAAAGAAACCGGACCTGGCGAAGCTGGATTTCTGCGCACCATGATATCTCTGTAAGTGGGAAGATCCGCCGGAAGGCAGCGGAAGATGCCATGGACCCGCCCAAGAATAACCCTGAAGAACCTTCCGCCGCCATGGTAAGTTGTAAAGTGTCATGGCGGCGTGTCTTCTGGCCCCAGGACTCCATGGTGGCGTTGAACCTTGAAGGGGGACAACGACAACGGCACCCAAACCAGGGGCCACACTTCCCGCCCAATCAGCCGACCGGTTCATGTTGATGGGCTGCAAGCAACAGGGTCCCGCTTATGGAGCGGTCTAGAACATGTGAATCAGTGGGAACATGGCAGCACGATTGGGGACCTGGCCCAGCTGAAGACACCACACCCACGCAGGTCAAGCCTCCGGCTCGGCAGTCACAGGCCCAACTCCGACACCAGAGACCAATCAGCCAATCCAGATGGCACGCAATCAGTAGTTGCGAGTGTCGAAGTCCGACGGGCTACTGGCGGCCCATACTGGTTGGATATTAGGTTGGCGGCCTCGGAATTTTGTCTGAACACGCCACATCAATGTCCTGGTAAAGGCACTTCGTCCACTTCGACGAGGGCACAGAACATCGCTTTGAGCTTGTGCCATGTGTCCACGCGCGCGCCCCTAGTGCCATGCGCGTCAGGGCGAGGTTCTATGCAACCACGGAGATGACGTGGACCAGATTGAGCGTGGCTTGGCAGGCGTTTCAAGGCTTGCGAGCGGCATCCTTCAGCTCGTTTTTCTGCAGGATGGCAGGCTCAGACGGGGAATGGGCCGACGCAACATTGTTGGCGTGAGCCACTGCACGCCGCCTAAGACGGACTGCGTGGTGGTTTGACTTTGATTAAGGCTCCGGCGCAACATCCGTAGCGGGATGGGGCGGTGGCAGCACGTGCGGGGTCCCGGATCTTGGATCGTTCTGCGTCAGCAAACACAACACGAAGCACATGTTCGGGTGCTGAAGTCGCCACTGAGACGCACCCGCAGCGTCGCATAATGAGACTGCTAAAGACGAGCGACCTCCAGTTTGAGGAACACCATGGCAGTGAAATACCAGAGTATGCAATCTTGTCCCACCGCTGGCGTGAGCCCGAGCTTTCATACCAGGATATGTGTCGCATTATCGAACACGGCATTGTTCCACACGAGCCCAGGACATCAAGCTACCACAAGATAATGAACTGTCGTGCTCAGGCGCGGAGAAGTGGCCATGGATACATATGGGCCGATACCTGTTGCATTGACAAGACCAGCAGTGCCGAGTACCAAGAGGCCATCAACTCAATGGGGCAATGGTACGCAGAATCGGCAATTTGCTCCGCCTATCTCGACGACGTCGACCTTTCCAAACTTCCCGAAGCTCCTCCTCGCAAATTCCGGCACGAGGTCTACAAAATTTTGCAGCGTTCTGAGTGGTTCACGCGAGGCTGGACACTCCAAGAATGCGCTCTGTGGTTGGTACCAGATGTATACCAAAATTGGGCTTGCCTTAGTTCAGGGTTACTGCGCTGGGTCAAAACCCAAAATCTTAATAGGGCGCCCCCATATAACGTAATCCACGGGTGAGTGGGACACCCTCCCCCCTTGCGAGAATCTAAACCTCGTTAATATAATATAACGACAACGCCTGAAATCAATTTGTTGGAATATCACCGCCAGGATGCGTGGGCGCGAGCGGGCAGGTGCGGGTGCTGAGTCACCCACCTGCTGCGTTACCTTCGCGCCTTGCCAGCGCGCGCACCCCTTGCCTACCTAGAACAGAACAACCCAGAGCCAGAAGCCTACGAATACTACAAGATCAGTATCTTGGCTTCTACCCTGCGAGAGCCTACGGGCCTACTCGATTCCCCCCCTGTGAAACCTACACAATTAGAACTAGGCGCTATCTTCTATTTCAGACCCTAGAGTAATCGTCTGACAAGTTCTTGCGTTCTGGCCAGTCTTCCCGCAGACGCCACAGCAACGTGTTGAACAGAAGGGTGGTCACGTGCAGAGCATGGGTCCTGAGATTGCATGTGGATACCCGCGAGATATCTCAGGGGCAGACACACGTCCCGAGATACAACAGAGAATCAACTGAACTGAAACCAATGGACCGAATACCCGTACTGTCTGACACAACGTTGCTTCGGCGTGGACTGAGTTACGCGACCTGGATTTTCCTGTTTCCTGCGCCTTCTGGGCATCCACCTCTCTCTGGGCTATTAGATCCTGTCCCTCACCTAGAGTCATACTTCGGCCTTCTCGGAGACGTGTTTTCTTTACTCTCCAACGCTTGCTAAGTATTGCATTCTCGTCTTCAAGGGTTTTCATCCTTGCCTCCATTAGGGCAAAGCGGTGCATAATCACCTTCGCCCCCCTTGTAAACTGGTCAACTGCCTCGATAATTGATGTCGGAGAGCTTCCCTGGTGACGACAGATCCGACCTTTATTAAAGTCAGACTGTGAATGGGCCTCTGTAGCGGTTGTGGGCGTCCGGCAAGTCCACGGCTCGGGTAGCCCGTGAGATGACCCTGGAGGCGTTGGCGTCTTTAACTTTACGTCCAGCCTGGATAAGACTGCTTCGGGGTCATGGGGTATAATCCCCGCCCCTCGGAATCTCCCTGGATGTTTTTTTCCGTTATTACCTGTTGGAATGCCGCGAAAAACGCGGGGAAGAAGTCCTCCTTGCTGATGTGCGTTGTAACTGCCCTCATCTTGAGCTCGATTTGCCGACCATACTTGACTTGATTGATTTTCCTCGTCGGTTTTGGCCGCTTTAGTCAGCAGCTATGCTCGGTTGGCGAGGTCTGCAGACAGCCGACGCGCCCAGGATGAACCACAGCGGCCCACTTCGCCCTGCTGTTGGAGCAGGGCCGACTGTCCCAGACTGCCCGCCGCTCTGTCTCATCTATGTGCCGTTGTTGAAGAATGGATTGCTTTCTGCATGTACAGTGTATGAACTCTCCTCGTGCTCTCCTCTTAGACTCCTGCTTCGTGGCTTCTCAGTCGGTGCTTCATGCAAAGCACCATGTGTGGTTCCACCTTCCCCTTAATTTATTTTCCCTTGGCACCTACTGTTAGTGCAACCACCAGTCCCACCGCAAACACCCTAACGGCCATCTGCGACCCCAAATCCCCCCAGAAGCCCAGAGCCCACGATGGCTTCTGGGCTTCCCGCACCCGCATCAACACCGACCCGCTCCAATGCGGAATACCAGGGGATGATCGATAGCGGACCATCCACAACGCTGGAAACGCCCACCCCCTCACAGCCTGCCAAAAGAAAGCGCGACGTGCAGACTGAGCCGATTGCAAGGCCAGCACTGCAACCTGCGGGAAGGTCGCAGCAGGCGCCGCAAATTGACCGCCCCACAGGGTTGGAAAATTCGATCCATGCCCATGTCGAAAACACCGCTACCGCCGCCCTAAACTCCATCCTAGCCGAGGTCGAACGACGACAGAATGACAAACGCAAAGTGCTGACCCTCGTGGCACGCTCACTCGACAGCATCGTCGCCAGTTGCCAGAACGAACTGAAAGACGCGGCCAAGGAGATCACACAGCTCTTCTCAAGCTTCCTCACCTCGGTGGCTTACGCAGACCAGACCCCAAATGCAAACGGCGCAGAAGCTAACGCACCTAGGCGGGCCGATCCGCGCAGACCGCCTACCTGGGCCACGGTTGCAGGGGCGGCCCAAGCACTACAGCCACCAGCCAAACAGCCCCAAGGCACGACCACACCACCGAAGCCAACTGAAGACATCCGCATCCTCGTCCGGATCCCCGAAGAACACCAGGAATGGGCGAAAGCGCAGACCAACTTCGCTCTACGCGAAGCGACCTGCAAAACGCTCGGCCTCTCGCTGATCGACATCCCTGACATCCACCACACAGCGACTGGTGTCGCTATCCGCCCCCGAACGAAGGATATCCGACACAAAATCCTAGCCAAGGAACAAGAGCTCGGCCACTGCCTCAGGGCCAACAAGATCGAACTACCTACGAAATGGCACAACTACGTCATACCGAACTGCCCGACCAAGCTGGGCGAACATCTTGGGGGAGGTGGTAGACACTGAAACAGTCATCCAGGAAGAGGTGATCGCACAAACCGGCCTACGGCCGACGAGCGTCCGACCCTCAAGACATGGACCCAACCGAGACACCAACACGATATCATGGATCGTCTCCTTCCTGGAAAAGGTCCCGTCATTCCGCCTCTTCGGAATGAGCTCGTACTCGCGACCCATCGAAAAGAAGCAGATGCCAACCCGACACAACCCTGGCTGCCAGGGCTACCACTCCAGCCGACCATGCACACGCACTCCACGATGCGAGAACTGCGGGAAACCCATGCTTGGGAACCAGCCACACCTACAACCGTGCGCCGAGCTGGAAAGATGCGCCAACTGCCATGGACCCGCCCCCGCAGGACATGCCGAGCGCCAGCGTGCCCCGCGCAGTCATCGCCTGCCCACCCGGACGGCGCTTACCTCTGTCTGTGCGCACTTTAGGACGCAGATGAGAAGTTGGGCCACGTTGGCCTGCATCTGCTGCTCCCCCGTGCTTGTTTGGTATGGACCGCAGAGGCATAGCTTGATTGACAGAGTCCAAGGGACAGACAGGTATTATGCATTCTTCATTGTCTCCGGCTCTGGCCTATATATATGCGGTGCTGTCGCCACTGGGAGGAATGGAAGGCAGACAGTGTTTGTAGTTACCAGTACGGAAAATGTCGCCCTCAGAGCATGAGTCCCCTGTCGAAGATGACACACACGAACAGTGCTGCATTCTCTGTAACAAGTAAGTATCCCCAGCGCCTGGTTGTAATGAGGTGCTCACTTGGAATCACTTGCAGGTCGAAATGAGGCAGTCAAGAAGGACGAAGACGACAGAACTGGAGCCCGAAAGGAGAACAATGGTATGTTCCGCTTACCAGCTCATTGCTTTGATGCTCACACGTTCAATGGCTAGCTTCGGATGCGACTTCAAGCTCTGGAGGTTCGATTAGAGTGGACGAATTACCAATTGCGGGGTACATAGAGATCGAGGGGGTGACTGTTAAGGACATGAAGAGTGGGGCAGCCGATAGATAGCATTATCTACTAGCAGCCTGGCAATTTCAGCGTGGTTTCAACTCCTGGATCGTCTGGCTGGGACTGGCAGGCTCTAACGGTGCACAACCGAACTGACAGCCAGTGCTAAATCGCCCCTTTGGATGTTTGGCCATTCCCAGGCGTATCGGAAAGTTGATTCATGGCAGCAATCGTCGCAAGGCAGATAGAAATACACATTGAAGAAAAAGCTAGCAGATCGCCTGCCGATCCTCCTCTCTGTCCAGATTTTCCAGATCTTCTCGCAGGATAGCCTCAATTTCCAGCTGTGACAGTGCCTCTTGTGTAGGCGACAAATTCTCAAGCACGCCAAGCGCGTTTGTGCTGCGGTCAGCCACAGCGGTGAGCAGCTTGCGATTCCGTGGACATGTCATTCCTCCAAAGCTCGCCCGCGATGCCCTGAGGATGACCTTGTGCTGTCCCGTTGAATCGTGTGGGCGTTGGTAGACCAGCTCTTTTGTAGGGCTGCAAAACGGGCCTCTGGAGCGACAATGTGGGTATCCGCATCAAAGTCGCCCTTCTCCGCGAGCTCTTGCCACTTTCTGACAGTCTGATATGCCTCCTCGTCGGTTAGGAAAGATGCTTCGGCTGGAACGACGCTTTCTGGTGGTTTTGACTCCTCTGACGAAGCCGGGTTCAGGCGCATTAAGTGGATAGATGCCTCCTTGCCGATATCATAGTCGCTCAAGGTCCGGCCCTCGGTCAGTTGTTTGCCGCCCTATATAAGTCGCCCATCGATTCTTGGGTCTCCTTCATGCTCTCTTATCTTCTGAATCACCCTTTCGACTGTATCGGAACGGTCCACTTCGAGAGTGATGGTTTTACCCATCACTACCGAGATTGGGTTAGTCTCTCTGCTTTCCAGTGCTTTTGCATTCCTGAAGGGTCCACGGGAGACTTACATGTCTTGATAAAGACCTGCATCTTGTGCTAAGATGTGTAGACCCCTTGGAGCATCGAGCGCATGCCTGCACAGAAGAGTAGAAATTGCAGAGAAATGAGGGAAATAACTTCGCACCCAGAGCCTTGCGCAACAAATATACACGCACGGGCAGCGACAGATCCGTTCGGTGCCCGTACGGCATTTATATACACGCACGGGCAGCGCAGAGATCCTGAAAAGCGAGTCATTCCACACGCACTACTTGGAATCATGGGCATCCACGCATTATTGACTTTTGCGTCTCCGAACATAGCCTATAGAGGTCGCGCGGCGGCCGATCGGTCGTCGTTTGTCTACCGGTCGGCTTCGCGAGCGGAGCTACCTAGGGGGGCGGCACTACCACTCTTAGAGTTCTCCCAACCCCGCACTCGCACGGCCACCGTAAAAGTACACAATCGGGGCTGATACAGTGGTATCAGACCAGGGTCGGTCAGCGAGCGAGAGTACAGCGCAGAGGTACTGTGGCGCAGAATAGATATGAGTAGTGTAGATTCCCGACTTGCACGCTGCTCTCACACTGGTCATCCTCGGCAGATCTTCGGTCCATGTGCACTGTCCCTGCAAGCCTTGAAGCGACTAGAGGTATTGTCCATTCTCTGGATAATGTCTGCGAGTGTAGCCCACTGGGCGTTGTTAAACCGGATCCGGAGCTTCTCTGTAGCCTCTTCTCGGCCAAGCCGGCCTGCCCGGATGCAGTAGTAGAGACATCGCTTCCAATAGACTATGTGTCCTGCTCCTTCTCCGTCTTGAAAGGGCCTGCGGCCGGGTACCATACTTTCTCGATTGATTTTTGTTCTACATACTGTTTGTTGGAATTTGCCAATTTATCACCGTTGCAGAGAGGGAGACTGGGACTTCTGCAGCCGTCATTGTCAATAGCAACCGGCTGATAAGGTTTACTTAGTCAGAATAGTAGTACTCGTAGTCACAATCGTTGATAATATCCCGACAGCTTGTTGGACCATCATCATCAGGATCCCAACCATCATCATCAGGATCGCAACCATCCTTATCGAGACCCCAACCATCGTCTTCGCTAAAATTGCGATGCGGGACATGATTCCACTCATCCAAAACTCTGTTCTGATCTTCGCTCCACGGGGCTAATGTCCGATCGGGGCCATGGGGCTTGTACTCTAAGTCCTGTGATGCCTCGATGCGCTTCTTCGTCTCTTCGTTCACAAGGACTCGCCAATCGTTTGTATTTGCCTGGAATCTTTTCCACAACGTAGGAAGATGGTGGACGTCGCCAACACAATAGGAGATTATCTCGTCAGGGATCGGGCGTCGCTCGAAAATCTCGTAGGAGCCGCCGTACTCCGATCTGAAAAGTCGTCTGCCTTTTTCTTTCGCTCGCTTCCAGCTTGTAAGCTCCTCGCCATGGAGTGCATGCTGCTCAATACACCTGGCTAAGCTGTGCAGATACTTTCTAGAGCTTGTCGTCGTCCTTGTAGCGCTCTCCATCAGCTGGAGATCCTGGACGCCCTGTAGTGCTACGCCAAAATGTGCAAATAAGGCATCAGAATCGTTGCGGACGTCGAAAAGGATTTTTGGAATCTTTTCGTCTTCTAAAACATCTTTAAGCGTTCGGCCTTTGGTGCCGGTGGTGTTGAATGTTTGTAGGCCGAGAGAATACACATCGATGACGTAAACGCGTAAGGTTGGGATTCCTGTATCGATCAAGAGGGTGAAGATGGAGACCGAGCCTTCTCAGCAGAGGTTCACGCCTTCGAGATCGACATACATCGTTGGCTCGTACGGCTCAGGAGGTGCATGACGCAAGACGAGCCAGTCGACTAGATCGCCGATCTGCTTTGGAGTGTTGATGATCTCTGTCTTGATCTCCTTCATGCTAAACGCAGTGTACAGTGGTGTTTGTTCAGCGTTCACCGTTGTTTGCTTGGAGGATCAAGTAGTAGGTCGAGGTGAAAAAGTTTTTTGTTGCAGGGATAAAGGAGTGTATTGAAGTTGTCCTCCTCTCCTTCTTCCTGAAGCTCAGGAACAGGCGAGGTATTTCTAGACCGAGCTGGTCTGGAACAGAACATTCTAGATACATGATACGTCATGGTAGACTTGTATGGAAACATGGAGATATATCTCCAACCTTTTCCGAGGCAGGCAACACACATACAGGCGAATGAACTACTGCCAAGCATATCGTATATGCAGTCATCGCAATTGGGCAGCCATGAGACAAAAACAAAGCGGGGTTTTTACCTCAGGTTGGCAGCCCTGACCATCATTCCCGGCCGGGAAGCCCTGACCGTCATTCCCGGCCCGGAAGCGCTCACTTTTCGCGCACTCCTGGTGGGCAGGGGGCGCGGGCGCACGGGCCATTGAGCTCATTCCGGTACCCCAGGTTGAGTTCATCCCGGCCAGCAAAAGGTCAGCTAACCCACGAACCCCCCCCCCCCCCCCCCCAGCAGGGTCTAACCTTAACCCCCAGCCCAGCCCGTCCGTCCAAGGGGCCAAAAAGGAAAGCGAGTGACGGGCAATAATGAGAAGAGCGCGTACGCGTAATGGGACTAGCCCGGGGGGTTGAGGGAGCAGGAGGATGAAACGGACGTGTACGGGCTCGAACAGCGACGCCAGCTCGGGGTCTCTTCCCACGATGCACGCGACAGGAGAAGTACAGTAGTAGCCCCAAGAACAACAGGCACAGACAGCAGGTACAATGAACCGCAGCAGCAGCCAGGGGGGCGATTCCGACAGCGATCGCAGCGATGCTGAGGGAGACAACGTCGCGCAACAGGAGCCGGACACGAAAGCCACGACAACGATAGAGTCAGGGCCGGCGCGAGCCACGACGATAGCGACGCCAGCACTGTATCTACGCAGGGCAAGCCGCGTACTCATCTGTACGCTATGTAAGGCAGGCATCCCAGCTGCCGTGGGTGGTCTAGTTACCCACTACCGACAGAGGCACCGGCTTAAGGGCGGCCAGCTACAGGCAGTTAAATCGGCAGCGGCGGCAGTAGCAGCAGCGGTAGAGGGCTGCGTGTGGTCCTTATGGTCCACGACCGACAGGGGCTTAGCCACAGCTTCTGTCACGATGCACTCATGGCGCGATGCTACGGGCATGGTTACGTAGCAAAAGAATTTTTCAATTGTGTATCCATCATTAAACAGTCTACCTGATGCTAAGCACGCCTTACAAAATGTTTTCGCCGTCCAGCACTTAAGCTCAAGACCAACTGCACGACCTCCCCTCACCGGCTCGAGCGATCACTCGAGCTATCGCGCTTCCTTCGCTCCGAATAGCCCCAGACGTCCTTGTCACGATGGCCCAGCACGGAGCCTGAGCGGGCATCGGCCGCCGACTCCGTGACTACAGTGATCTCCTTGCCAACAACGATATCCTTGTCGCCCATGACAGCCGCCCCGGTGCCAGGGCTGAGCGTCTTGCCACCTCCGTCGAGGAGGATATGCTCGTCACTGCCCCACGCGGCGACTGCAGTCGTAGTAGCGGCACCGGCAGCCGCCGGGCCGGCAGTCGCATGGCGAGACAGCTGGGTGCCGAACTTGGAGCGGCTGCCGAGGCCGTAGGATTTGGAGTGCGGGCCGGTCCGGGGGTTGTCGCTGAGCGGGTAGCTCTTGCCCGACCCTCCGCTTGCGCCGTCGTGGGCACCGTTCTTGCCGGAGCGCCCGCCAGACCTGCTGAACAGGATGCTGAGCCCCGTGTGGCTGGCCAGCTTGCGCAGCAGGGGCTGGATCACGGGGAGATTGGACACGACTGCGGACACGAAGATCTCGCGGCACGCCCACTGGCTGCCGGAGACGGCGCCTTCGGGGCCGGCCTGGATGATAGATATCCGTCAGTCAAAGGTCCAACTGATGCGATGGAGGCCTGCTAACGATGACCTGGACGGGTAGCTTACCGTGATAATGACGACGGCGCGGATCGTGGCGGCGGCTATGACGAATATGGCGCCGCTGAAGAGGAGCATGAGCGTGAGCTTGCGGCGGAGCGAGATATTGACGCCCCAGAGAAGCTGTTTTGCAGGGGGGAAATCTGATGTCAGTGGATTGCTCCGTATACCAAGTCCAGAGGTGCCGGTGACCAGAACAATATGTACGTACAGGAAGAGGAATGGAAAGAAGGTACACGTCCGTGATCACGTTAGGTAGATAGACCATGAAGACGTTGAGCTTCGAGTTGGTAGGTTGGCAGAGATCTGACCACGGGACGGTTTGTTAGTTGTTTGTGAACCAAGAAGTCAATTCGCGCGCCTCTGCCTTGACAGTCTTCTAGGGAAACAGAGCGATGGTGATATTATCGGAGGGCAAATTTGGCGAGGGAGTCGGTCTTACTTCCGGGATTCGGGTGAATCTGCCAATTACGCGATATGGGCTGGCATCCTAGGACGATTGAGAGCCCCACGGCAATGTAGCTCACGCCAATGACGCCGTAACCCACGAGGACGCGGGTGTGGAGGTTGCTTAGGCGAGTTCTGTACAATTTTGACGACGCTTTAGCCGACGATCGTTGCTTGCGACAGCAGCAAGGCATGCCGATCTCGAGGTGGCCTGAAGCTCAATGTGAGAAGGGCACTTACGTCAACCTCGAGTAAAACACAGTGATGCAGACCTTTAACACCCACAGCTCCATCGCATAGAACGACCAGCCGATCACCTGGATCTTGGAGCCCATCTCGCGGTTGTAGGCCTCCTTGGACGTGGGGTCGAGAGCCGCACGCTGCTCGTCCGTCATGTAACTGTTCGTGAGACCGTCGTAGTTGGCACCAACAAGATACGCGAGTGTCGTGACGAGGGAGAATAGTAGCTGTGGGAGGAAGTTTTAGACTGCGTCCTGTAACCAGCACAGCCCAAGAGAGCAAGACCGGGTTCTGCGAGACAGGGAGTGACCTACGCCAGAGACGGGCATGATATAGTCGTCCAGCTGGAAGCCGGAGAAGCCGACCTGAGACCATCGGTACCAAGTCCGCACGGCGATTGTGCAGAGCGCGATGGACAGCAAGGTGAAAGACTCCACGATGGCCGACATGTTGGCTCGCTCGACTTGCTCGACGAGTGGGAATGTTGCAGAACGGGAAGAACCTGCCTAATAGTAGATGGCTTCGGCGCTAGGTGCTCCACGGCAGTTGGGATGGTTGTTGGGGGGGAATGCGACAAGAAGTGGTGGTTGAGGTTGAGGGCGCGAGGCACAGATATGTACGAGTCCGGAGCCAGAAGTCCTTGGATGCATGTGATATTGGTCTGTGTCCTGGCCGGCGGACAGGAGGCTCCGCAAGCTGTGCGAGGATCTGCACACACCTACATCTTGCCCATCTTTCCAGGGATCCTTGAAGCGAACTAGTGGTGGCCATGGCATCCAGAGTCCAATACATAACCAACTTGTCGTCCCTTTCAGGCCTGCTACTTTCTGTCCTCCATGGGTCTCCATCATAGAAGGTCGGGGCTTGCAAACAAGCATGGGGGACCTTGCAAGTCCGACGGCTGCGTGGAGCAGTCCCTGAGCTAGCAAAGGGGCGCTGGGGGGCTGTCGGTCCTGCATGCATGACACTAGAGGTCTAGTTCGAGCGAATAGCGCTGCACAGACACAGCCAACACTCCTCGCCTCGAACCCCGAACTGACTTGGCTTGGCCCAATATTCTGCTCAAACGACTGCTCCACAAACGACACACTGCGGGTCCGGATCCCGGCAGATGGCGGGGGATCTGCGTTGTGGAGGGCTGACGCCGGAGACCCTTCCGCGAATGAGGATGGCCCCGGTCCCTCCCTCCCTGTGTCGATCAGGAGGGCAGGCAACCACGCGGAGCCCAGCGAGTCGGTATTCATCCTTGGACATCCCTTGACCGGGATAAGCACGCAAGCCCCAGGGGCTAAGTGACACGGTCAGCGCGGAGCACCCGACTCGGCTTGCTTCAGCGGCGATTATTAATCTGTAATATAAAAATTAAGTTAGTATTCATTAACTGTTGTGTAACCACCTCGAGAGAAAATTCGAACAGCTCCTTGCTCCTACCTATCCCATTCCGAGTCAGCTGCTTAAGCGACGTGCGAGAGAAAAGGGGGTCGCCATCAGAACAGGAGCCCCATTCAGGGCCCATTCAGGGCTCATCTCGTCTGGGCTCGGGGTAACGTTCTTATATTCCCCAATAGAAGGCGGGAGGCTTTTCTCCGCGCCGGCACTTGAATATGTCCCATACACCAGCATAATCTCGGGCCAAACACTAGAAGGTCACCACCGCATGCGAACACCAGCACCACTACGCGATCAGCGAGACAGGAAAGGCTTCAGATGGTTTAGAGGGCGGGCCCTGGGGGCGATAGTAGACCATAATGATCGACTCCAGCAATCTCTTTAGGGTTTCAGGAGTACGTCATAGTGCTGCCTGTCGTTGGGGTAGTTCTGGACTGACTCGTGGCTGAGAGGCAACTATCGAGAGGATAGCCGGTAAGCTTAGGGCTAGGAGAAGCTGTGAAGCGAGCATTGTCGGATACCGCTTGATACAGAAAAGGAGAAGCAGATCATTAACTAGTGGCAATCTGTGGCGCCAATCTGCTCTTGATTGGCCGACGCGCGAGTCGCTCTCACGAGGTTTCCCTGTGGAGTTTCAAGTCTTGGAAGAACAGAGAAAATCCACGTGTGAATGTTCAGTCTTATCAAATTCCGTATAGGGTTGATGACCCAGCTTCAGGTTAGCCATCCCCACGCCAAGCTCCTCAAGGCAACACAACGTGATGTGATGTGGATATGGCAGGTCTGTTCTCCAGCACGTGGTGCCGACACTGACACCAGCTGAGAAGGGGCTTGTAGCACGGCCGACCAGATCACGAATTAGTGCCACAAATGGTACGATTACAATACTGACGCCTAAGTTCATGCTGGGAATGGCGGGGAGCATAAAAAATACGCTCTTGCCGGCTCCGGTTGGTAGTACGACAATAAGAACTTGGTCTCCCTGGAGTGCTAGAATCTCCTGCATGGCGTCTCGTTGCTCGTCGGTTCGCCAGCCTGCGTCTGCGCCTAGTAACTTATGGAGTCCGTCGTTCAGCTTTGCGTTAGTACGCGCAGCTAGTGGGCTACTGTCGTTACTTCTGCCCCGTATGATCAGATCTGCGACGATAGCTCGTCTGGCGGACCAGTCTGGAGTCTGGGAGCCACTGCTGTCCTCAATCCCGGCCTGGGCTCGTGACCGCTTCGCTGACGCCTGCTGCCTCCTATCTGGCGTCTGGAACTGGTTTCTTACGCCGCAGCTGCTGCTCCTATTGCCGAGAAACTGGTGCCATAGCCGGCTGATCTCCCGATAGTTAGCTACCATCTGCGGCTGTAGCTGGTTCGAGAACTGGACGTTGACTGCGTAGTGCTGCCGGGCGGTAGCGCTGCCGTGCGTGGCCTGCAAGTCCCAAACGTACTCGACCTTGTTCTGCCTGCGTGCTTCGCCAGTAAGCCCGTCCTCAAAGTTCTGCGGGTTGTCCCAGTCGGCCTCGTCGCCCATATCAACCTCGAGCTGCTGGATAACTAGTCCTCGAATGTGTCGACCTAGCTCGATAGCGACGTGGCGATAGTCAGCTACGCCCAGCTTAACACCGATATGCTCTGTCGTGACGGCTGCCAGCTTGTTGCTTAGCTCGGCCGTCGTCCAGATCCCTTTCCGGTTGTCCTTCCAGAGCCATGCGTCTAGCGAATTCGAGAGTCCCTGGGCCTGGGCCTTGGCTTCGCGAGTAGCAGCCGCTCGAACGGCAGAATCCATAGAATATATGCGACCATAAGTCGTCCGACTATGTCTGGTAAAAACCGTGCAACCTTACGGCCGATTCCGCGGATCGCCTTGGATTTATCGCGGTCTGTGACCAGCATGACCTGGCCGTCAAACACAAAAGACGTTTCTGATCATATCCTGTGTATCACAGTGTCGGGCCGTCATGATCTCCGGCCCTCTCCCGGGCTGACCTCCCACGTGTGCGTACTGGCGAGTAGAGCCTGACGGAACGACTGGAGCTGGCCGAGCCACTGCTGGACCTGTACGATACGGAAGTTTCCCGCCTCGTCGTCCCAGAGCTGGGTAGTTCCTGGTCCCATCAGCCTCCGGAAGCCTGGCTCGAGCCAGCGGTTCTTCTCGTTTGTCGCGAACGACGCTCCGGGCCCTTCGAAGGCGAGACTATCGGTGATCTGTCGGAGTGCGACGATCGGGCTAAGCGGAACCCACTCTCCGAACATAATCTGGTCCATAAGCTCCTCTGCGTCCGTAACGAGACTGGCTGCCATTACCCGGAAGTCGTCGAGCGGCACACGCTGGCCGAGATATCGTAGTGCCTCCTTACTGTCCTCCCACATAAGCCGTGGCGTACCGCCCTCCTTCTTACGGAAGCCCTTGCCGTATGTCATCATCCGGGTCATCGCACTAAATGGTGAGAATGAGCCATCGGCGAGCCAGTCGCGGTGCTGTACTCGGAAGTGCTCGATAGCTTCCTGGCCGATATCCTCGCCGTCCTCGCCGTCCTCACCGTCCTTATAACCTGCGAAGCTATGTTCCAGCATAATCAGACGGGCGCACCACACAAGTCCTGCGATCTGGGTGGTATACTCGTTCGCTGGCCTCCAGGCGTGGCTCTTCCGAGTACCGCTAATCCCTAGCACAGCTGTGAAGTATAGGAGCGGGTTGCTGAACAGTTGGACCGCGATCCTCTGCTGGAGCGACTCGACACAGAAGGCCATTACGGCCTGGTCTATTGGATCCTCGACGTGGTTATCTCCTCCGTCTAGCTCGTACCCTAGAGTCTCTGGCTCTTCGGAATCGCTGTAGGTAGACGAGACTACAGAGATATTGTCGTCCTTATTACGAGTAGAGGTATTGTCCAATCTCTGGATGATGTCCGTGAGTGTAGCCCACTGGGCGTCGTTAAACCGGATCCGGAGCTTCTCTGTGGCCTCTTCTCGGCTAAGCCGGCCTGCCCGGATGCAGTAACAGAGATATCGCTTCCAATAGACTAGGTACCGGTCCTTTGTGTTCTGCTCCTTCTCCGTCTTGAAAGGGCCTGCAGCCGGGCGGCTGGCGTCCGAGCTGGCTAGGTAGCGGAGCACCTCGTTCGGCACTTGCGCTGTCCGCTCGAGAGCCTTCGCGATAAGCCGTTCGAAGCTCGCCCCGAGCCGGAGGAGGCGGTCCTGCTCGGTAATTTCTGTCTCGCCTCGGAGTTTAGCGCGCGCTACGGCAGATAAGGCGCTCAAGCTCGTCCGGAAGTGCACGCCCATGTCGCTCCCGGCTAGGTGTCTCGCCCAGCCCATCTCGCGAACCCAGGTTGACTCGAAGTTTGGTCCTGTCCGGCTATCAACTATCCGGCGTGTCTCCTCGAGCTCGGCCGCCAGGCTTTCTTCGTATCTCGCAAGACAGTCCGCTAGTAGACGTCGAGGGGAGCCAGAGGCGGTGGACCTTAGGCTAGTCGTCCCGTCAGGTCCTATGCTACCCTGTACTTGCTCGACTACCCAGTACCGAGCGCGGCTTCCTCGCGATAAGCTCTGAAGTCGTACCTCCTTCCAGGTACTGTCGTGTCCTGACTGCGAGCGGTGGACCCTGATTAGCTTCCGGCTCGTCGTAAGGAAGCGGCAGTCCGAGCAGCTGAGGCCGTCGACGATTGGCAGCTGCTGCACGTAAGGCGAACCGTCGGCGGGTACCGGGACGGCCTGCGGGTTGGCGATCGGCTCGGCCGTGTAGCTGTAATCGAGGATCTGTCGCATCACCTCGCCCTTTAGACGGTGGATCCGCCAGAAGTATAGCTGTACGCCGTCGCCTGGCCGAATCCCGACCTTACACGACATGCAGATCAGGACCCGGTGCTCTAGACTACCGCTACCACTGCCGCCGCCGCTGCTCGCAGACCAGCTTAGCAGACCGACCTGGCCCCCAGTAACGCCGCCGTCAGACTCGTAGCGCATTGCCATAGCCGATAAGCTGCTTGTAGTCGTCATTGCCACGGCCGAATGTATTGCAGCTCAACCAGTGAAGCGTACTTTGCAAACCAGGAAATACGTGTCGCCTGCTTCCCTCTCTCACTCTCTCCCCTCAATTACTCCCTCGCGCAGCCCCCTTTAACCCCTAGTCCTTACCCCAGGTCCCAGGGTTTGAGGCAAGGGGGCGCGCACCCCTTGTTTCCCCTGGTAATGACTGTCATGGTAGCGGCCGTCACTCGAGCTAACCCCCAGCCCGCTGAGTCAGCCTTCACTATGGGGCAACCCCAACTTGCCCCTGGTAGTGACGGTCACTACCGGGCTGAATGAGGGTCAGGTATGAGCACCCTGGCCAACGTCCTGAAGAAGGCCTCAGAGCATGCCGACACCACCTCGTTCCCCGCTGCCAAGCTCTACGAGGACATGCTGGCACTGTCCTTTCAGGTCCAGAGAGCCTCCAACACGGCCAAGAGCTCCATCACGCAGCTGACGGGCGTCGAGACCGAGGCCTGGGATGACAGCGAGAAGACGCTCGACGAACTGATCGCCCGGTGCGAGAAGACCGTCAGCTTGCTCAAGGGCGTCGACGCCAAGCCGGTTGAAGGCAGGGAAACCGCCAAGGTGGAGCTGAGCTTGGGGCCAGCGGGCACGAGGCAGCTCACAGGCAAGGAGAACATCTTGGCCTTCGTCCTCCCGAACTTCTTCTTCCATCTCCAGACGGCGTATGCCATCCTGCGCATGAAGGGTGTTCCGCTGGGCAAGGGGGACTTCTTGGGGCCGTTCATGCAGCCAGATGCTTGAGGTGGGTGGGGCTGGCCACGTACAAGGGGTTAGGAAGAGTCTCGAGAACGATGCCCCGTATATCTCCACTGCCGTATACGAATAGACTACGGAGTACAGAAGCATACTTCGTTGGAGTTCTTGGGTGCCTGACAAGGATGCAGGGATGTGGCGTTTTGCGCTTGAGCCATCTGTACTCTCACCTTAACCATCTCACGAATTATTGGTTGCCTTTGATGGTCGAGTAACTGGGATGTCGAATGTGGTACTGTACGGAGGGCGCTTTCAAAAGTTTGGTCCTAAAATTAGCCACAGTTTTCAAGCAGCCAATCAAAATGAAGCAAGATACAATAAGTACCTCGCCCTTCTTAAGTCCCCTATAAGCCCACGAGCTACAGTGGATATGCAGTCGCTAGTAAATTAGCTATAGTGCCCATATCCCTTAGAGCTATAGGGACTTTAGCAGATGTACTAACTAGGCTAGCAAGACCTCTATGTATCTTCATGTAGCTGACAGGGTGCGAGGGTGTGGCGTCATTATCGTGGGACAAAACTTTTGAAATCGACTTCCGTAATGATGATAAAACTAGTAACGTAATCCACGGGTGAGCGGGTCACACGGGTGAACGGGTCACTTTACTGCAATTTAATTGAGGTTCACTTCCTTCTCCTTTTTCTCCACCTCCAATCATGGGACGACAATCAATTGAAAGTGATTTGGTTCTAGCGTTAAATGCGCTCCAATCCGACCCAAAATTAAGCGTACGAAAGGCTGCGCAGATCTATAATGTATCTCGTACGACACTCCAGCAACGATACCACGGCCGAGCTGCGAAACACGACACCCGACCACCCTGCCAGAAATTAACCTCGTACGAAGAGGAGAGTATCGTACGATACGTACTCGACCTAGATTCGCGTTCATTTCCACCGCGGTTAAGTGGTGTTCGAGAAATGGCGGATCGACTCCTCCGCGTACGCGACGCGCCACGCGTTGGAACGAACTGGGCCTCAACCTTCGTACGACGACGACCTGAGCTCCGTACGCGTTTTAATCGAAGAATCGATTACCAGAGGGTCCTTTGCGAGGATCCGGACGCGTATCGCGCGTGGTTTGAGCTCGTACGAAACATAATCGCGAAATACGGGATCCACGATGACGATATCTATAACTTCGACGAAACGGGCTTCGCGATGGGCAAGATCTCCGCCGAAACTGTCGTTACGACCTCCGATCGACGCGGGAGGCCAAGAGCCGTACAACAAGGCAATCAGGAATGGGTTACAGTAATCCAGGGTATCGCGTCGTACGGCTATTCAATCCCGCCATACATTATCTTCGCCGGGAAGGTCCACCTCGACTCCTGGACCGCGAATAGCCCTCTACCGGCCGACTGGGTAATCGCGCTTTCAGAAAACGGTTGGACGACGAACGAGAGAGGCCTAGAATGGGTAAAACACTTTGATTTCCATACAAAGAGTCGTACGAAGGGTACCCACCGCCTCCTTATCCTCGACGGCCACGAGAGCCACCATTCCGTCGATTTCGAGCTCTACTGCAAGGAACAGAATATTGTCACGCTCTGTATGCCTGCTCATTCGTCGCATAAGCTCCAGCCTCTCGATGTTGGGTGTTTTGGACCTCTGAAACGGGCGTACGGTAAAGAAATCGAAGGTCTAATGCGGGCGCACGTAACCCACGTTTCAAAGGAGGACTTCCTCCCAGCCTTTTATAAGGCGTACGACGCTGCAATGACCAAATCAAACATCCAGGCAGGCTTCAGAGCGACAGGCCTAGTACCGTACGACCCGAATTATGTGATTTCGCAGCTAGATATGAAGTTTCATACGCCGACACCACCAGGTTCCTCTGCTGGACTACCACCCCCATGGGTTTCAAAGACGCCGAACAACCTAATTGAGACCGAATCGCAGACGAAGTATATTGAAAATCGCATCGTACGACACCAGAATAGCTCACCGTCGTCCATTGTTGAGAGCCTACGGCAGCTGAGAAAAGGAGTTATAATGATGGTACACGAGCAGGACCTTATGCGCCAAGAGCTCGCCGAACTTCGAGATGCAAATGACCGCCTCAGCCGCCGTCGTCGTACGAAAAGAAAGCAGCTACAGAAAGGAGGGTCCCTCACGATTGATCAGGCAAAGGATTTGAAGGCTCAAATCGATGCGACGCAGCAGTTAATAGCGGAAACGAGTCAGAATAGTGGTCGTACGAGGAGGCCCGAAACGCGCGCGCGACGATGTGGCGTCTGCGGCGAGCCCGGTCATAATGCTCGTACGTGTCAGAAAGTTGTATCTGCCTCTGAAGAAGAGGATTCTGAATAGTTTGAATTGATTTAAGGCGTTGTGGTTAAATTGTCTTATATATTGTCGTACGAGTTACTGGAAGGTGACCCGTTCACCCGTGTGACCCGCTTACCCGTGGATTACGTTAACCTTGGTAGAATTAGCTGATTTAGCCGTGACTGGGGTCTCGTTATTACGGCACCCGTGCTCATCTCCTCCGCTTAGAGCAACACTTTCTATGATTAATAATTCAAGTACTTGACGATGACAAATTAGGGGTTCTTATTGACCAGGGGCGCCGGCTTGAATACATGCTTTTAAATTACGAGCCGAGTGTCCCGGTTTTGCAATGCTCATAAGAGCTGCACGAACATACTGAGCCGCATTTGGTGAAAGGTCAACATCTTATATTCATCTCTTCAATATAATGCTCTTCTCAGGTTTCATTCTACTCCCCGCCTTGTTGGCATCCGTCATGGCATCCGTAACGGCATCCCCAGTTCTGGCCGCAGAGAATGGACATCACTCTGATCAAGTCATTGCACGCACTCTCTATCAATTTGAAAATGGCACCCGGATCGAGAATATCGCTGTGCGTAAGAACGGGAATCTTCTCGTTACCTTATCCGATCGGCCCGAGCTGTACGAAATTGACCCATTCAACCCGGCCGCTCCGAAGCTCATCCACCACTTCGCTGGCTATTCGGGCCTGGGTGGTATCACCGAAACTGCACCAGACCATTTTACGGTGAACGCGGGGAACATCACTTTTGAACCATTCCGTGCCGTTCCGTAATCATTCTCAGTGTGGAAGTTGGACTTCAACAACTGTGGAGGTAGAGCCAAGGTTTCCAAAGTTACCGACATGCCTGACGCTCTGTACCTCAACGGCATGACAACTCTGGATTCTCGGGCTGGCACTATCCTCACGGGCGATTGCGCCAGTGGTTGCGTCTTCCGTATTGATACGCGGACTGGAGACTACACTGTGGCGCTCGACGACGAACTGTTGCAGCCTCCGCCGAACGCCATATTGCCTGTCGGCGTCAACGGCATCAGGTTGATCGGGCACTATCTGTACTTTATGAATACTTTTAAAGCGCTTTACGGCCGCGTTCCCGTGGACCTAGTTACCGGGAAAGCGAAGGGGCCGTACGAAGTACTAGCTGCAAACATTATCTCCGACAATCTTGCTGTTCGGTCAGGTGTCGGATACCTTGCGGGCAGCCAAGGGAACGTCATCTATGAAGTTCAATCTCACGGAGACAGAAAGGTTATCGCTGGTAACTTGAATTCGACCGTGGCCCCTAGTTCTACCTCAGCTGCGTTCGGAAGAACTAGGAAGGATAAGAATACTCTATACGTCGTTACCAGTGGAACGGAGGCAGCCCCTGTTAGTGGAATGTATATTGAACCGGGGAAGGTGGTGGCTCTGGATGTACATAGCTTCAACTGTTAAAATCTGATGAATTGTGGGCGTATAAGGGTTAAGTGGCAACAATCCTATCGCGTACAATCACTCCCACCTGCCTCAAGGCATAGTCCTTTCGTTCCTCAAGGCAAGGCATTAGTGGGAGAAGTTGAAAGCTGGCTGTTGGCGGAGGCTTGATACAAATCACGTGAACTAAAATCGGCGAAAACTGGTATGATACGAGCTCGGCCTTTGAACTCTGCACTTAAGCGATCAAAGGAACAGACGAAAGAAGCTCCCCTTACCAACTCAGATTTCTCACATATCCAACCCGCGGTTCTCGTAGGTATCAGCATAGATCGCTAGACTCTTTCCAATTGTGACAGTGATCGGCCATGCCGAACTATTGCTGAACACCCTCGACCAGATTCGCAGAACGGCAAGCCCCATGTGGAATGCATCTTCTAGCCACAAACTCGTATTTATATCTCCCCAATCGGCCGAAGATACGGCTTCAGTTAATACTTGTCGTAGGCAGTGTAGTACATATTCCTCAGATCCTGAAGGTTAACAGTTAGTCAGATCATCTTGAGAGGTATCGTTTCAGATATCTCGGGCTGAAGTATACAGTGATTGTTTGCTTGACTCACGATTCATAGTTTGCACTGCCTTTGCAGCAGAGATTGCATACAGCCATTTACTAAGAAACACCGCGCACTCGAGACTACCAAGTGAATGCTGACAACACCAGAATATCGCTTGAGTATGCACCACATACTCGATGCCAATTGCAACCGGTATGCTGAGCGCATGGATCGAGTATAGAAGCGCGGAAACTGCGCTCTTGGTCTGCTGTATTTGTGGAGAGGGGACCTTTGCTAAAGCTGCGGCAACCTGGGCCGGAAGTTTGTATGCTAGACCTCGGTAAGGCCCAATGTCCAAATGCACTCGGACGTGAGCGAGACCGAGAAGGGCAACAGATGTGAAAGCGATGGGGCCGTTCTCATCTCGTGGGTTGAGACTGGACTCGGACGTTCGTTGCCAGGTCGTGGCCCAATTTGAAAGGGCTTTACTGTTGATGAATGAGGCCGTTAGCTCATCCTAAGTGAATTCAATAGTTGCTGTCACTCGAGAATTGCTTACTGCAGGATGATGATGTCTTCTTCTCGAAGAATCGGTGTAACCGCAATCTGTCGGATTAGGTAAATGCGCTGAAGAAGCCCATGAAGAAGCACGTAGTTTCCAAGAGGCGAGGGCGCAGGCTGCATCTGCGGTGTTTGTCCATCCGAACTCAAGAGCGCTTTCAGTGATTCGGGGAAACGTCTCTGCTCGTTTACTACCTCTTGTCGAGCAAGAAGCCACTGAAACTCCTCCATTGCATGCCATTCTCTTACTGTACAGGGAAGCTTCAGGTCAACCTCGTGCCAGAAGAGAACTGGCGGGTGATCGTATGCGATTGTATGCAAATTCAAAAAGCAAAAGGCCATGGCCTTAGTCCGAATGCGGGTTTCTGACAGTGCCCACAAAGACCAGTCCTGATTCGACATCTCATCTTCGTCGGTCAGACCGTCCTCTCGCAGACAGAACATAAGAGGACGATGAAGTTCGAATGCTTCGTCAACGAGTTCGGCATTTGCCGACCAAGTGGCGAGCACAATTAGCGTGAGGAGAGCGCTGGCAGACTGAATGATGGCTTCTGACTGATCAAGCCCGGGCGTAGGCTTTGCTTCTTTATTTCTCGAGCAGGTAAGGCGTATTCGCTCGAGAGCAATGGTTTTACCAGCATGAAAGAGCAGCAAGGACGTGCGTGTTTCGTATCGTTGTTGGGCACCCAGAGCAGCAAGAGCCAGCACTAATTCCGGAATACAATGATTCAGACATAATGTTGGTATGTGAATGTACGGTAGATGACTTGCCAATGTCTCCTCCCATGCGGACAGACATTTCGTGAATGTGTGGCATGAGGGGAGACTGATGTCGGCCAAGCTATCTTTGAACTGCTGAAGTTTACTTTGTAGGTTTCCGAGACGGTCTTCCGTCATTATAAGCGGAGATGTGTTCGGATTTTGACGGACAAATTGAACTGATCAGTCTCATCCAGAGGTTAGAGATCCTTTCTACGTTGCTGTGGGTAAACAGGGAAGGAGCTAGGGCAAGAACGGTTCCTCACCTTGGTTGAAACCCATGCCTGTAGCATGACCAACAAGGCGGGACGTGAACGGCATCGGGCCATCTGATCTCTTCTCTGCAACTGGAGCCATACTGACGTGTAGATCGTCGTGTCCCGGAGGCACGTCCTCTTGCCGAATGGCCTCCGCGGCGGGTTCAAAGAGACCCGGCCCAAACCAATCAATGTGCAGTCCTAGGCTTCGGGTAAGGGTTTCGAAATCCATTCGTGAGCTGGCGAAGTCTAGATCTTCTGCTTCGGACGCATCTGCTTCTCAATTAACAACGTGTCCGCCCAATTCGCCAGCGTACGGTCTCTCTGTCTTACATACAGTTTTGAGACGATGGTTGCCAGGAAGTATTTCTGCTACAGCCCTCAGCTGCTTGCTTGCCAATGTCGGTACCTGCTTGATCGTTACGCTCGACGTTGGCGGGAAAGTTGACAAGTCCCATCGTCCGGCTCGAACTCGCACTAATCAAATGCAAAGGGTCTTCGGAGTCGTCTGTATGTGCGAGTCCCTCATGGCGGCGAAGGAGATCTTTCCGGGTGAAGCATGCTCCGCAGTGGCACACGTATGGCTTCTCTCCAGTGTCTACTCAGATCAGTCCGAGTTTGAACAAAGATTAGGTAAGCATGACATACGAGCGCGACAATGCCGTCTCAAATGTTCAGGCCGTTTGAACTCGCGCGAGCAATGCGGACACCTGTGTACTTTAGGCATTGTGTGGTAATAGAGAATGTGGAGGGGAAAGTAGAATGGCTCCAACAGCTCTCAAGTAGCTCCAACAGCTCTCAAGTAGCTCCAACAGCTCCAACAGCCCCAACAGCTCCAACAGCCCCAACAGCCCCAGTGAGACTGCTGAGGAGCCCTAACTTGATTATAAACCATCCCGACCCACTTATTAGTATGCCCAAGCGTAACATTCCGTTACTTCCCACAGATTGATTAGCAAGTATGACGTTTAAGGTACGTAACGTGATTGCTGTTCTCCGAACGATGTTTCTTCTTGGAATGGTCAATCCGAGGCACTGCACCATCGTGCTTAGAGCCCACATAAGTCGTGTCGTCTTACTTTTTCGTTCCATCTCAGACATCCTCAACCATCTGACCAAGAATCCCAATAAGGCTTATTGCAATTCAATTCCGCATCATGGCAGCTCAACACACCGTCTTCCGTTTGAAACATCGGAACGGATTCGACGGTCTTTATCAGCAACAAGAAGACGTCCCCAAGATCACGAAGCACGAGGTCCTTATCAAGGTCCGCAGTGTTTCTTTGAACTTTCGCGACATCGCCATTGCCACGTCGAAATATCCATTCCCAGTTGCAGACAACGTGGTGCCATGTTCCGACATGGCTGGCGACATCGCGGAGATCGGCGAAAGCGTTCAAGAGCTGAGTGTAGGAGACAAAGTCGTCGCATCATTCGATATCACCAACCTCTACGGTCCGCAACGCGACTGGAACTATGGACAAGGCGGCCCTATCGACGGTGTACTTCGTCAATATGCAGTATTGCCAGCCTCAGCCATCGTCAAGGTCTCTTCTGATTCTCCTCAAACCTATTCTCAATGGGCGTCTGTGGTCTGCACGGGTGTCACGGTGTGGAACGCTTTCTATGGAAACCTACCTTTGCGCCCAGGGCAAGTCGTATTGTGTCAAGGTGCCGAATCTCTTCCATCGCTTCGCCAACTACATGCTAATGCGTCCTAGGAACCGGTGGTGTCTCGATCACTGCTACAATCCTAGCGAAGGCAGCAGGCGCTACGGTGATCATTACATCTTCCAGTGACGACAAGCTGGCGCTCGCTAAATCCAAGTTCGGAGTCGACCACGGAATCAACTACAAGAGCACACCCGATTGGGCAGCCAAAGCTCTGGAGTTAACTGGAGGGAAGGGCGTCGACTACATCGTGGAGAACGGCGGCTCTGGTACAATTGCCCAAAGCATCAAAGCAATCGCTTACGGTGGTATTATCAACGTAATCGGTTTCTTGGCTCAAGCGTCGCAAGAGGAGATGCCTGATGTTGCCGGCCTTGCTCTCTCCAAGGGCGCAGTTGTCCGTGGCATCATGGTCGGGTCTAAACAGCTCCTGGAAGAAGCGGTTAGGTTCGTCTCTCAGCGACAGCTAAAACTTCCAGTCGAGAAGGAGTTCCCATTCACCCGTGAAGGTGTTCGAAATGCATATGAGTACCTGGTTTCTGGCCAGCATGTTGGCAAGGTCTGTATCAATGTAGACTAGACAGCTGTCACGATCCTGCCTCCGGGGTCAACCGTCTGGCAGGGCGCTGGGGTTGCTGTTCTGCAAGATAGGTAAAGCCTGTGCGATAACAACTAACACTCTGCTGTCGTTCTCTCTTTGGGTTGTCGTGTCTCTTGGAAGAGATACCAGTCTCGGCAATTGAGTGACTAGTTCAAGTGTGTGGTGAAACTGATACTTAGATTGATCGCTGAAGTACAAAGGTAATGACTGTCTGTCTAGGAGATCCTTCATCTATATATCCTTTGTCCTTCACCGTGTGCTTGTGTGGTCCTCCCTTCCTGCACGACGGTCATGTCTTTGATGGTGACCGTCATGCTTGGCGGAGCGACGGTCATGCAGATATGCATGACCATTGGTACGGTACCCGGGTCCGATCCTTATCGGCCCCTTATCGTTGCTGACATAAGAAAACCTGTGACGGCACTGCCACATGATCCGCCCTTGTCCTTGGCCTGATCCTGTGGCCTAGTTGTTTGTGCTCCCTTTCGTGCCCAAACAAATCGTCCCCTGCTGGTTGGCCGTTACAACAGCCTTGTATGCATTTTTCTCTGAGCAAGAGCACTAGTTGATGAATACAACATGTGTACCCGTTATCAGGAATGTGCGTTAACATTTGGTGTAAATCTACGGGTTGCCCTAAACACAAACCTATTTGGTGCTAGCTTCCAAGCTCGCCTGGCAATGAGCCACTGGCACTCTTTACTATTGAAGATGATGAGAAAATGATGCAATCGCTCGACACCGTCCACCATACTTCAACAATTTAAGTTGTTGTTGGCGAGTTCAACATGCAGACTAAAGCCATAAAGGTTACACAAACATGTTGTGGATTCCAAAACAACGTAAAGCAGTTACAGCAATGGGCTTGTTGCTTGGGAGGAAGGTCTTGCGGTCCGAATCTAGACCTTCTTTACCCGGCCCAGCGCCGCGATCCACTACTCTCACGTCCTCATCGACGCTGGATGACCTGTTCTTCCACCGCTGCATCGATGGCCTACGTAGCATGCCCCTCATGACAAGGCTCCTTCTTGCAAGCCCTACGCAGCAGGATGCGCATGCTCGTCCATTCAGGCCACTGCAGGGGAAGTCAAGCATGGACCGGTACCTGGTATATAGCAAGCGCTTCCTCTGCTACTGCCTGAATGTCCTCGACCTAGATGAGGCCACACTTTGGGACCAGCACGGCTTCCGCATCACCCCAGTCCAGAGGACCAGCCTCGAGCAGCTCCAAGAGCGCCTCAAATTATTATGGTGCCTAACAGAACGAGGAATTGAATTATACGCAAGCAGTTAAACTTGACCCCTACAAGTTTATTGGCTCTGGAAGACTCATTTACACGAACGCATCTAGTCAGGCCCAGAAGGCTGAGTGGATTGCTGGGCATGATGTGGATTGCATAAAGTCATAGAAAGATATCAACGAAATATAGAATGAATCCGAGGGATGATGTCTGCGAGACTCAACTCAGACATGATTGAGAAGACGATGAGCGGTGTTGTTCGGTATAATATAGTAGTAAGCAACATTAACTTCTGTCTCATCGCATGGAAACGAGACAGGTCCATTGATTATCAAACACAATGCTCTCTTATACACTCTGCTTAGATGACCTATCGCTGCGACCATCCTCGCCATTGTCCATCACAACTGTAGTCTCGACCGTCTTTGTGATGCCATGTGGGCCAGGATCTGTGGCTAGATGTATCTCCGAGCCAGAGCTGCCTTGACGAGCTGGCGCGTCTATTCCTAACTTGCTCAAAATATTGTTACCCGACTTCGTCATGGCGTGACTGCCGCTCACGACAACTCGGGAAGTGATATAATTGGCTGGGTTAGATTTGTGACTGCTGCTCCCGTACCGGCCGTCTCCTTGCTCAGCCGCACCGCTTCTCACAACTTTCGAGATCAGATTAACCATTACGAGCTCGATGTACAGCTTGGCTATGTATGCGAGAGGGGCGAATTGGACGTATCTGCGCGAACAGAGTCAGTTAGTTGTCCACGCAAGAATCAAGGGCGGAAGAGCCACGGCGGCCAAAAGCTCACAAGTAAGGGTTTGGCAAGCTCAAGAAGCCAAGTAGTAGAATATCTATGGACGTAGAGACAACCACCATTCCGGCATTGAAGTTAAAGAGCCTCCAATACTTGCCTAGCCCGTGAGCAATCAGCCCGAAGCGCACCAAATATAAGAAGGATGCATTGAGCCCCAAATCAATGACGAGGAAGAAAGACTTCTCAGCTTTTTCGAACACAAGGTTAAGATGAATCTGGGAAGGTGTAGCTCCTGGCATGTGGGCGGTAGTCCAGATGTAGTAAACGGCGATATCAATGCACCCGATAACAATCACAAGACCCCATTTCAGCCTTCTAGCTCTGCCTCTGCTAGTCATTAACCAAGCGGCGCGGTTGGCAATGATTTGGGGTAAGAGTTGCGTCTGGATTGCCCATAGTGTCACTACATAATTATTAGTCCAAGAGTTTCTCACAGGACACCCATCCTATTTATAATTACCAGAAACCAAGTAGAACGGGAGACTGGAGATGCTAGTTAGTATTGACCCTGAGTGCGACTACCGGATGACTAGGACTCACCTTCCGGGAATGATTTTATTCAGGTACAGATATGTGACGGTGGCAAATATGAAATTTACCCATGCCTCTGTCCAGATCATATACAAGTACGCGTTGTGAAGTCTCCGTGTGCGTCTCCATACGCTCCGTGTCTGCTGCACAACCTTTGCAAGACAAACACGAAGACGCCTAGAAAGAAGCCGAAGTAGATGGAAGCGAGATCCATATCAAGCTCTAGAGATCAGAGCGACAAAGCAAGGCGATGGACTAGGCACGCAAGCGAGACGTAGCAGTTGAAAGAGGTCATAGAAAGCAGTACTACCCAGCCCACCTTATATAAACAACTTGCCTTTAGTAGTAGGAGAGTTATGGGTGGTGAGGTACTTGGTCTTTCAGAGCCGATCGACAAATTCGTTTATTTTGCAGGGTGCACGCGTGCAGATTCCCCCCTTAGCACTTACAGGGGACATGTCAAAAGTGTTATGCTTGAAGGAAGCCACGACTAAATCTCAAGGCTCGTGAGTTCTTTTAATTAGGATAAACACCGCTAGAGGTGGTGGCGTCCACTCTCGCGGCCCTCCGTGTAAAATCTGCCCACAGACCAAGCTGCTGTGACATCTACGGCCAGCACTTGGTTTGGCAGGGTGAGGAATTACTCGCGCTGCACCTCTTCCATGCCATGGCTTTGGAAAACTTGCAAACCTTGGTGTTAGATCCAACTGGTTTGTCACCAACACACCTCAATGGCAGTTTCGAGTTACGTACCCTGTTCTCGACTCACACTGGAAGTATCTCTCTGTCTACTCGTTTGCCGCCACATTTGTAGGTTTGTTGGTTGTACGCCACCCTGGCTTTGGGTCAACTCCGATTCGTCTCCGTTGAATCAGGAGTCCCACGGGCCACATCTTGTTTGGGGGAATACATGCATACAAGCACAGGATGGCCCCATCAACACCACCAAGGGAAGTTACAGCGAAGCTAGTCGATTCCGGGACAAGGATTGGGAAGCGAGTGCTCAGCTACCTCGCCTAAGAGTCGAAAATCCCGCTTTTCTTGGTTTTCGCCTCTGGATTTATGGCGTTTCTGCTTGTGCTTGGCTGGGTGAAAATGAGTACCGAGGCGTAACATTGCAGTGGTCGGCTCTCGATCGCCGGCCGGAAGCTTCGTAGAAGACGGTACACGTCAACGACTATCGCCTGAAGACCTAAAGCACCCTGACGATCCTGCCCGATTCAGAAATCTTAACGTGCAAATGGGCATATATAAACATACCTAAATACACTACTTAAGACCCTCTAATGTAACGATGCTATCTAAGATGCCACGTAGTAGACTCAGCGCCTCAATCCAGTAGAGAGCCTTATTCCGCAAGAAGCTATCTGCTATTCCACCGCCGCGTACATTCCTGCCTTCATCCTGATTCGTAATGTTCTCTTCTAAATGATTGACCCAGTAGATGCAGCAATACCCGATTATCGGGAGTGGGCCAGGCGTCGGCGGTTTGACTTTCTCGAGTGGGAAGCCTGAGTCGCGTAGGTTGTAGATGTCACGTTTCACCGGGAGTTGAAGGCAGCTCTCCTGGTGCTCCACGTTCCGCGTGCCGTCGGTCTCGGCTAAGAGCGAGGAGCCTGGATGCAAGTCACGCCCAGAATCTCCCTCCTTGCTTCAGCAACTCGCTGCTGGGAGCTGGGCAGTCGCCAGCATAAGTTGGTGAGCATAGCCGTGCCGTCAGAGTTCGGCTTGGCACAAGACCATGCTCCGCCGCGACCAGCCGAACTTGGAAGCAAGATTGATCAATGGGGCCAACGAGGACTCCTGAACCGAGAGAGAAGAATATTGTAATCCTGCCGTGGCTGCTAGGAGCTCAAATGTTAGCGACACACAACGCGTGCGGGTAGCTGTGGCGAATGAAACCAAGCTTAAAGGAGTCGTGCTGCTGGCTTTCGGGTTGGGATGCCTGCGCCGGCCTCGCGGGTCGTGTGCCGCGAAGGTTTAGTGCTAGAAGGCACTTACGAGGAATTAGCACGTTGTCTCAGGGGAAGCCGTTAGCGCCCAAGAACAGGGCCCTGGAGCACATTGTACTAGAGAATGTTCGGGGGCCGACCGCCACGGCTGAGAGACTAAGAGAAGACCTGCACGGATGTGCTGATCTAGTTGCGGTTTATGAGATGATCTACTCTCTGCGGCTGAGAATTGAAAGGGGCTCGGAAGGCTCTCTTGAGAGAGTGGTCGACGAGATCTGGCGCGGCACAGTTTGGTGACACGGCGGGAGGCAGGGTTTTCGAGGGCGTTTGTCTTTTGGGTGGTCTTGTGTGGTTTTGTGTGTCGTTTGTGGCTGGCAGCAGTTGATCAGGGGCCAGACCTCGACGTGCTCGGTGCCGGTTCCCGACGATGGATGACGAAGAGGTTTGAAACCAAGACTAGCAGTATAGCTTATGGCTTATAGCTCATGGTCCGGGTTGATGCTCTCGGGGTGCTCGGCGGCCTGTGCGGGCCGAGAGAGTGTTTCGCAGCAGATGAGGAGGGGAGGGTCCAATGATTGGTCGGGCGAAGGGCGAGAAGGGCTGAAGCTTCAGCCCTCTTCAGTGCTGGTGACCCGGGGTGAGGGTGCAGGGGCAGGGGCAGCGGCCGGGTCAGGGGCTGGCAGGCACGACCCGGGAGCCAGATCCTCGTCCACGACCAGGCTGGGGAAGTGGGGCGCACCATCCATGGCAGGCGCACTTGAGCAGTCGCGCACGCGCACCCTGGCGGACGTCGCTCGAGTTGTCCTAGTCGCCCACCACGCCCGCAGCTAGCGCCAACAGCCCCCTTGCCCCAGCATCCATGGCTCGTCAAGCTCGTCAAGCTCGCAGCCTCGGCCGCTCCACAGCACGCCACTCAACGGCGCGGAACCCGCAGCTGTGACAGCTTCGACCCGGCTTCGACCCAACTTCCCCAGGATAGCCTGCCAGCATCAGGTACGCTAGCGTACCTTAAGGTATTAGGTATCCCAGGGTGCTCGCTTCTGAGTGGCCCTTTGTCATATTCAGTGACCAGCTCGACGTCTTCAGACCATCACTCGCCGCCAAGACAGCTCCACGACTAATCACCTTGGTCCTTGAGGCACTCACGAAGCCTGTCCAATATATCTGCAGAGCCACCAAGCCACAAAGGCGGCACAGGCACACCCTACAGAACGCTCTGGCCGAAGGCGCGTACATCGACCATTCCGTCAGGTAGACCCTGCACTGGTCCCGCAACACACTTCTTATCTGCACACCTCGAAATACGCCATGCTGGAGGATATCTGGATACCTATAGGTAGGTGTTTACTACATTTGGGTAATACTGGTGGGCGTCGGGGAGCTGTTGCGCCACGGCTGTTGCCCCACCTTTCACACTTTCACACCTCCATAGATACCGCTGGAATCCGGGGAAGCTTCCAAGCTCGCTCTGCTGTAATTTCCCAACCTTGCCACGAAAGTCAATATTGCCCGGAGCATGGTACCACCTCAGCTTGTGATATAACACAACCTCAACCCCTCCTCGATTTAAAAGAGCGCACTACAACCCTTCCATACTCGAAGATATCATGTAACAAAACACATTATCGAATCAGCCAAAGACATCTATCTTGCAACTTTGCAGATCCCCACCATGGCCAATTTAGCTGGGCACGTTTTCACTTCGGGCGTCATCTTTCTCGTTCTGACTGGCTTCTTCATGGCCATGCGGATTTGGGCCCGATTTTTCATCATTCGCTCCATTGGTATTGACGATGGTATGTCCTATGCCTTCCTGTGGTGCACCTTTACCAATACTGATATTCGCATTTATAACCCTTAGCTTTGATCCTGTTCAGCTGGGTATGCCCTATACTTTACGTATCCCGACCGCGTCTTTGAGCGAGCGGCAGTAGACAGATTACTGACTCTCGCCGACTTTCAAAGATATGCTCGATAGCTATGATCGCAGTTGTGATGGAAGGTACGCAGCACTAACATCCTATCTGCAGATAACGATTTCCGTACTTGGAGGTATGCCGATCTGTCACTAATTACGCGGGCATATAGCCGCCCGCCATGGTCTTGGATATCCCATAGAAGAAGTCGCCTATCCCGACCTTGTGTTATTTCTGAAGGTAGGCACACAGACCTCCGTTCAGCTTAGATGGAAGACTCAACGGGAGAGTAGCTTCAAACCGCGTCCTCAGCCCTTTACACTGCTGGTATCTGCGCCGCCAAAGCAAGCTTTGCCGTGCTGTATTTAAGATTGCTTCCAAACCCGAAGTACAGGTGAGTTCTGGTCCCCCACTCCCTTGATTGCCGCAGCGAACGCTGACCAACTGGGCAACTCCAGAATCCTCAACTATACGTTATGTGCCTTTTTGGCCTGTCAAGCTATAGAAGAGATAATGGTGGTCACGTTCGCCTGTAGCCCGGTCGAGAAATCCTGGGATCCGCTCATGGAAGGCACCTGCCTTAACTTATGGGTGCTTTGGTGGACTGATGTAAGTGTCTAATAACCCAAGCAGCTCATACATAATACGGTGGCATTTCTGGAGTTAATAGTCTTGTTTGACTAGTTTGTGTTCAACCTGTTCACGGATCTTTCGCTTTTCATCCAGCCAATTCCAGCCATATGGAAGCTGCAGATGCCAGTGGCAAAGAGGATCGGTCTCATTGCCATAATGTCACTCGGTCTGCTATAAGCCAAACGGATAAAACTTTGACCCATCGCGCGCACAAAATACTGACCATCTACCTTGCATAGTGTGACATCGATCTCGGTCATCCGCATTCATGCGGTCACGAGCATTGATTGGAAGAACATTACATATAAGCATGATACCAGAAATGATTGCAAGGCTCGTACACGATTGACTTTTTGCTGACCTGGGACCGTCCGAGATAGATCTGCTCGCCGAACCACTGATCTGGTGTGAAGCCGAATTATATGCTCTGATAATTTGCTCCTGCATACCGCCACTTCGACAAGTCGCCAGGAAGATCCCGGGGCTCAACACGGCCCTGGGGCTTTCCACTGGGGACAGCTCGAATCGATACTATGGCAACTCAAGACAACAGGGAGCTTCCTATCGCCTGCAGAGCCGCGGAAGCATTGCCTACACTAACAAGGGCACGGCCTCGAAGAATGCCAATCGCATCCACTCGCGGGCATACGGCACGTCGAGCCATGTCGAAGCGCTTCGGCACGCGGTGGCACAGAACGAGTCGCAGGACGAGATCTTCCCGCACAAGTCGACCAAGGATGGCGACGTGATCATGGTGACTCGCGAGGTCCTTCGCCAAGAGTCACATGCGGACGTAGATGGGTCGAGGTCCAACTCGGACGGCATGTCGAACCATTTTGAGGGCGCTGAAGTAGATAGCCTTCATAGCTTCGTCAAGCCATCACCAGCCTCTCATCCTTGACGAGTTTTCTCCCACTGTCGGGAGTTTGGGTCCAAATATATATCCAGTACTCGCAAATATTTTCTTCTCCCTCGCCTTCGCTCTTGGTAAAAACGACAAGACCGCCAAGGAGAATGCCAACATCGCAATCCATGGGTGGCGCACTCAAGCTTTGCCGAGGTAGCCTCATTTGTTCCTGATGCCCACTGAGCCGCTTTGAGAACTCTTCAAGACCCTCTCAAATCCACCGAACCATTACACCTGAGAACTTCGTCGTGGAGGCTAACTGGAGACCGGCGGACCGCAAACCACCCACGCGCCGGGACTAAGACGGCGTTACCCTGGCCTTTCCCCGCAACGGGGCTGCCTGCAGCCCGACACAAACGAGCCACGAGCCTCCCGTAAGCTTCCGGAAAGGGAACATGGTGTGAGCTCCGTGATGATGCCATGGCTTCCAAATGAGCTCCATCGTTCAACCCAGTTTGTGGAGTGTAAGGCGTCAGCCTCACAAGGTAGTTACGGTACTGTACATCCAGGCAGCCATCTTTCTAGCCATTCTAGCATGATTGCATGAACATGTACAGTCCCTTCTCTCTTCGACACACCCCTGTGCCAGATGTAGTGGATACGCTGGTGGCGCTAACGCCCACCCTGGCTTGTCCGAGGTTGAGCCAGAAGACAGAGTGCGTGCCCCAACTCTGAATGTCCCGCATTGCCGTGACCGATCTAAAACCTCAAATAGCCATGGCGCCGAACCTCGCACAAGCTGTCCACGAACAGCTTGAGCATATGATTACAAGTGGAAAATATGCTAACAATGAGATAGCTAGGACTGTCCGATGCAGTGAGCGCAATGTCCGACGTACACGATCCCATCTACGACACTTTGGCACCACGAAAGCCCCTGCGAACGTTGCTGGTCGGCCGAAGAGTATCACCCCGGCCATGCTCAGTGCGTTGTTCGATCGATTGCTTGAAAAAGCTGGGATGTACCAAGACGAGATGGTGGTGTTCCTCTGGGACGAATTCGAGACACTAGTAACAACGTCAAGCATTGGCCGTGCCTTGCGGGCGGAAGGCTGGACTAAAAAAGTGATTCGTCGAATGGCCGAAGAGCAGAACGCAGACCTACGTGTGTGCTTTGAGATGGTGTGTTTTTAAGCGGTATCGCTTCTTGGTCTCCCTATCCTGCCAGCAGTATGGCCCGACGTAGCAGGGTGGACCTGGGCAGCGAAAGGTCGCGTACACCTGTTGGCAAATTGATGGCTGCCCACTGGAGCCTTCCTCGGCAGCAATGTACATATCACGTTGTGCGAGCATTCGTTCTGAAGTAGACGCGAAGCCTCGTTTGGTCCCTAGCTTGGATGTCACACCAGCGCCTCCACTTGTTTGGATGTAGTTGAAGGTGATCTCGATCCTCAATCGTCGTCCAGCACGAAACAGATTGCTCCAGAGGAGAAGTTGCTGCTCTAGAATCGACCATTCGATGTCCAGTTCGTCGAATGTTTTCACGAAGTCTCTCTCCGATCGATCCTGCACATGGACTACGACGGTGGTGTCGTCTGGTCGATACGATCGATTCGAGGCTAGCTTCTTCTTCAACAATTTATCGAGTTTGCTTCGTAGGGTCTTCTCCCAGTAGTCACCTGGCGCGAGGACAAGGTTTTGCTCGCTATCTTTGGAGCCAGGGACGACTCTGCCATCTACTGTCAATTTCCATTCGATCGAGTAATGTATACAAGTAGGCGGATCCTCATCATAGGATTTCTCCTCGACCCAGTCCTTCAGTCGAATCAGGGGTAGTTTGCTGGTCACCGAGGTCTGGCTTTCGATTGACGGAGTCTCGGCAATTCCTTGACCATCATCCGCAGGTCTTGCCGCCGGGATTTGCGGGCTTTCGTAGTCATCGAGCTCGTGGACTTGCCATTCGTAGTCGTTCTGCCACGGGTCTGGATAGGCGTCGGATGGCATCGTGATCGGTTGCGATGGTGTGAACTGTGACGCAGGACAGTGTCTACGTGGCCATTCCATCGTAGTCGCCAGACACAGAGCCATGGTGCCTCTACAGGGTAGCTATATGAGACATTGGATCCACATAGAGATGAGTCATCCAGCCTGTGTTCCAGTACTCAGGAGCTCCCGCAGTCCCATGCTCACTAACCTGAAGCAGCTGAGCATGGCTTCCATCGAAGACACACGGTCAATTGACGATGGCGCGAGGCTCGACGGTGGTCAATTGACGTGCAGTTTTGGCCATAAAATGGTCGGAGGCTCCTCTGACCGCACTCCGTCCCGTAAACATCTATAGATCTGGCGTTCTAATTTGCGTCCTAATTTCATTTCGCTTTTTGTCGAAAGCCGCTTTCTGTCCCTTGCGGAACTAAAATGTTATTGATGAAGAGGTGGCCGTTGCGAGCGCTACGTGCAGTCCGTAGACTGTACAGCCCATCCTGCCAGAGGACTGCGAACTCGCGTTTCCTGCCAACACTCCGAACGAGTTCACGTTGCTTGTCCACCACGCCTTCCGCTGAGCAGAGAGTCTCAATAGAGGACCTGAAAGCCAAATGGGCCATGTCATCGCCACAAAAGACGGCCGGTCGAAGTCAAAACTGATATGGCTATAGGCCCTTGAGAGATTGCAGAAGGTCGCCGTGCAAGCTATGGCTTTCAACTTCGGCCGATCGACAGAGAACGAATAAGTGTAGAAATGTTTGGTAGCAAGACGCTTATTTGTTGCAGCATCGTGCGTTTTTCTCATAATGTGATGCCTTCATCCATGCAATAAGCGTGGAGTCCTGATCAAGCCATTACTGACTATGGAGCACGAATTGGCTGTCCTCTACCCCACCTTTTTGCAGAGGTGCCCACTTCTCCACTGACTAACGTGGTGTGCCAAGGTGCCTGTGCGTAGAACTATTTGTGCATGACCTACACGGACACCGATTTCGAATCTGACTGTAAGGGTTCCTCTTCAGACATCATCCTGTATATGCAATAACTGAAGATTGGGACAGTCCGATGTATAGTACAGCCAGAAATGGCTGTCCGGAACTGCCCCACCTGCCTGCAGGCAGCTTGTTTATTGCCCGACGGTCTTGGCATTGCCAAGACAAGACGGACCGTGCGCAGAGAGAGTTGAGTCAAGCGAAAGTGGACACCGATTTCGAATCCGACTGTAGAACCTGATGACCTTTGTCAAGTCTGGTTGGCTATCAGCGCAGTTGCTGAGTGGAACAAACAAATAGGTAAAGAAACAAGGCTAACAAAGCTTTATGGCACCAAGAACACAAGTTTTCAGTGCAGCTTCAACTCTCACGGCTAGGAGACGCGCTCATTCAATGGACAAGTTCAGTCCTTCTATACTGTACAGTACTAAGTTGCATGTTTTTCCGGACCCTCGGAATCTTGCAATATCTAAGCCCCAGAAGTGACTAGTTTATAACGATCAACGTTCCCCAGTTCCACGTCGGCATAATGAAGGCCCGAGAAATTATTAGTCTAGCTGAGCGCCAGCTACCAGAGTAGAGTCCCGACAACGAGATGTGGATCAAATTGCGATAGGTATGACACACAAATTTGCAAGCATGACATGACTTACGGATGACAATGATATAGGTATAAGAATCCGGTCTCTAATGCGTAAGTCCGAGAGGCTTCGACTATGAGCACAGTTTTCAACATGACCATAAGGTTTGAACGAGTCTTCATAGGCCTATTGAACGTATCGTTCACAGTCGTATTCACCAGTGTGGCCGCCGCTTGCGGCCCAGGTCTAATCTCTTATGAGTCTGCCGATAATGGAGTTTCCTATAGAGCATATATGATCATGCTGTCCCTGCTTTATGCGGCCAGCTTTACAGGAACCAGCTCCATCTTCTTTCTTGCTTTAGCCTCTGTATCCTACAATGAAGAATACTTGGAAAATCCCAAACTTTACCCTGTACAGGAAGTCTGGTACGGGCTGTCGCTTATGCTGTTTGGGATTACATCTATCTGGGGTGTGGAACGGTCTTTTTCCTGGGCGTCACAGCTGAAATCCAGCTCAGATCTTGGAGAGAGGGCCCTGTCTACTACTTGTATTGGAATAGCCGTTGCATTACTGATAGGATTAGTGGCCAACATAGCAATAGCTTTAAGGGTATGGAGTGGGCGATGGAGGGAAAGACAGGAAAATCTAAGGGCAGGGCAATATTAAAGGGTTGAATTACATGATATACAACTGATTGAACTGATTATCAATGAATGGACTGTGAAGCGGCCAGGTCATTTATGAAGCGGCTTACGTCGTTGCATCTAGCAACACAGCGGGAATCGATAGATATACTTTGATTCCAAGGGGTTATGAGCGCGCAGTAGTTATAGCGTCCGATGGCAGTGAAGTGTCTATTATACACCCACACACATATTTATTTCAAGACCCAAGTTGCTAGAATGGTAGTCTCGGCTAGTATTCCATGTTGCTCGGTGAGGGGCGATGATAATGCGAGATATCACTTTTGTCTATGACATGAACCATTTGGCTACCTTTCAGACCAAAGCCAAAGGATAAGCGCGTGGTACATGTGCACGAAACGGACAACAAAATCGCAGTGACGATGGGGTTAGGAGTTTGTGCCAACTGTAATGACATAATGTGCCCCTCTACTCTAGTGACGTTAGAGTCGACAAATGTGTTGCCTCCGCGACGTGAGCCTTTATCTCTGCACCGCAAGGTTACTGCGTGTTCATTTAATCGTGCGTGCCCTCCGCCACATCATTGGAATGGATTCGAACAGCCGTCCTATACGCGGGCGAACCGACGTCCATAACCAGCCTGCATTCATATATATAGCCTTAGCGACGATCCTAGTGCTCGCATACTTAATCCCGTTATCTGTAAGCATTGAGAAAGCAATCGACGAGGCACAAGATCGAGCTTCCGTGGCCTGCCTCAAAGCAGAAGCGGTGGGGAGCACGGTTGTCTCAATGCCACATTACTTATCCCAAGGCGTTAATTCTTTGACGGCGGGCGGCGTTACAAATTCGGTCAGAGCCATTGCTAGCTCGCTCGATCTTGTCTTGGAGGCAATGGAGAAGCTTTTGCTCTTTGTTTTCCACTCGATGACAGACACCTATATGTGTCTGCTGCTCATGGCTATTAATGGCGGGTTGAATATAACCATTAGCGCGATGGAGGAGTTTCGTTCGCTTTACCAAGACGCCACTACCGGGTCCTTGCAGTCTATCGAACAGAGCATAGCGACTACGAACAAGGGTATAGATAGCGTAAATGCTTTCCTAAGTCAAGGTGCAAACACAGTAGGCGGTATTTCAAGCACTATCAACAACTTGTTCGGCTCCCGCACCAAGCGGCAGGACGTACAACAACTGCCACACCTCAACGTAGAGGATGCGCTGGAAAGCATCAGGAATACGAAAATAGATATTGGGCCGATACTCACTGACTTGAATGAACTGGAGCGGCGCATTCCTGATTTCGCGACAGTGAAGAACATGACCGACATGGTTCTGACAACGCCGTTCCGAGCAGTACGGACGGAGCTGAATCAAATGCTTGGAAGCTGGGCATTCGATCCGAAAGAGCTTTTCGTTCCGGAAAAGGAGTCTTTCGTGTTTTGCCCTAACGACACCTCATTTACAGATGTCTTCAAAAAGCAACGCGATCAGGTTCGCTTAAAAATTGCATGGAGTATCGTAATCATAATCTGTCTCGCGGTACTACAGAAAAACGAGAGAAGTTGCTGTTGGTGACGCCAAATCCGGTTGGTGTATGCCGCCACTTTCCGCGGCGCAAACAGAGTGGGCTGTACCTCCTCTAAGTACCGGGTACTTAGGGACCCCACAAGACCCTGGACATGCTCAAACGCACCCATGCGGATATCTGGGCTGAGGTTATTTCCGGCCGACACGATTGATCTGATGTCGGCTGCTGATAATATAAAGGAACTGCACATGTTGAGGTTCAACTTTCCTCATTCTACCTCGGATATCATACTCATCAATCACTCTCATGACTGCACATCTTCCATTCTCCCAGCTGTACATCAATCTCTCTGCTAACTGCACATTTTTTACTCTCCCTACTATACACATTAGTGTTCAGAGCTGGCAATGCCAGTCACGCGCCGGCGCACAAAAGTGCGTGATCTCCTCGGAGCAGACCCTTGCGACTTTATCGCTCATTTTGAGGAAGCAGAGTCGGTCCAGAAAGCCAAAGAAAAGGCACGTGGGAAGCCCCTGACTCGGGAGCAAGATGCAGAACTTCGTCGGCGGATTGTGGCAAAAGGTCACTTGCAACCATTTCTAGCAAGAACGACGAAGAAAAACATTATCAATATACAGAAGAAATTCGAAGAGTAAGGCCGCAATCGCTTCGACTCATGCGCAATATCAGACTAAGGACTCACTAGGTACTGCAATTTTCGGGGACTTGTCCTCTGGTCCGAAGCATTGGCGAACGTGGACGCAAGCGCGATAATGGCCTTTCTTTTGTACCTTTGTCAAAACACCAAGATCAAGGCGAGAGACACACTATGGGTTTACTTTCGACAATTCAAACAACTCTATCATCATATCACTGGGAGGTATATCAACAGAGGAGATACTGAACAGATTCGCAACGTAAGACTTGCACTTGACATTATACAGTGGTTTGTCGAGCTAACAAAATATACGGGGTAGTGGTATAAGAATTTCCTTGCAAGCCAGTTCTCACTTCGGCATCCCAACGACGGTGGCAAGCCAGTCGTTGGTGTGGATGACTTGCACTCGCTTCTGGTATTCAATGTCGGCTACGACAAAGGCGTCTTACGACTTGAGAGATACCGCGTCCAGCTCTCAGCGATCTATCTGATACTCGCTTACACCGGAGCACGACCCGCTGAGCTTGTCCACAACGAGCCAGAATTGTCTGCGGGCGCGCAAGAGCGTCAGCAGCAGATTTTCCAGAATATCGAGGATATCACAAAAGGACTACTTGACCAAGACTTGGATCGTACGACAAACGAAGAAACACAGATTCTAGTCGAGCAGCTGAACCTTGAAACAAAGCGACGTGGTAGGACTAAGGCGCTCTGCTACGAGGACATACAACTTGTAGTGGTTCGCCACCCGGAAACAGGCAAAGACGAACTGAACATGATGATCAAGTTCACACATCACAAGGGTGCTGATCGAAAGCCAAAACCGTCAGTCCAATATACCCACTCTGTAAGCACTTTCTAACAGTGTCAGTAGGACAATTTTCTTCTTCACTCAAACGAGGAGACTGATTTTCTGCTTGATCTCACATATCGTGAGCCTCGCGATATCGGATGGTGCCTTCCGCGCAAGAAACTTAACAAGCGCTGAGCAGGTCTTCCAAGTGAGGAACAAACCGCCCGTGCAATCAACCAGACTCCATTGGAAGAAAGATTTTCTGAAATTGCCCATCTTCCGGCGAAGAAACGGAACGTGTACCTCTGCGGACCAGCCGTTTCCATACTCTCAACTACGAGATATTATGGAACGACAGACACTCGATGCAGGATTCGAAAAGAGCATTGGACCAAGAGCATTTCGCCGAGGCGCAGCGAACGCCGCAAATGGTGCGTACGACTTCGTTATCCGTTTCTTCGATCACTAATTATTATGAACAGGAAGCGCCTCTGACGCTGTGAGAGACCAAATGATGCGCCATGATCCAAAGTGGGCCATATTCAACAGTGCCTATATCAACGAGAAGGTCCAGTTTGATATCCAAAGCACCTTTATACAGGAGCCTACCAAGGACAGCCTGATCAGACTGTTCGCGCATATCGGCATCAGCAGTGATCCGCGAGCAAGTCAAAATATGGTGCCTGAAGAAGTCTGGGACAATCTTCCCCCGGATGGGGAGATTTCTCGACTGCAGGAGGAAAGACAACGCCTTAAAGGCGGCAAGTACCGCATTGGAGACAACCCTTACCAGCAGAAGATCCAAGCTTTAACAAGAGAGATTGCAAGAAGGAAGTCCCGGCGTTTCAAGAGAGTTTGTCAGGAGTATCGGGCATACTACTTCGATACTAGACCAACCCTGGACATTGAGACCCAAGTCGAAGGGATCAAGCATCCTGACTGGACTACGCCAGACTTTGAGGCAGAAATCCCCGCACGTAAAGATCTTGCAAACATCCTCTGCAAGCAGTCCGACAATCTGAGCGACAATCAGCTACAAGCTCTACGAACGAGTGCCGTAAAGCAATGGTAGAGCTATGTAGCAAACGCGAAATACCTAGGCGGGACGGTGTTTCGGAAGACGATTCTGACCTGGATATGGGGCAGAAGAAAGTCACGACGCAAGATGACTTTCCTCTTCTAATGCGGAATACGCAATGTCCACGATGTATCGGTGATCAGTCACTAACATACAAGCAGAGGACATTTGCATACAGCCGACCAGGATCTATGAACGATCATTTTCGAAAGGTTCATCTGGGAAAGTTAGAGGAGGAGCAACAAGCCGCGTCACTTATCTGTGATCATCCCAAATGTATCGCAGATAAGGTGACATTCAAAAATCTTGACCACTTCAAACATCATGTGCAAGTCAAGCACGGTGTCTGGCTTCGACCTACCTTTTGAGACTCTTAATCACGAAGGCTTTCTAGTTGACTATACAATTCATCAATAAGAGAAATAGTTACAATGTATCAAGCAAGGATTAAAAGAAATCGGCTTTGATATAACTATATGATAGACTAGGAGTATTTCAAGGAGTGATAAAGCATAGTAGTAAGTATAGTACTACGGGGATCCTAGATTTCGAACGAAAGAAATTCTAAGACTAGGCTTAACAAAGGTAGAGACCTAGAAGATGATCAAGGATTTAAAGTTTACTCACTCGCCCTTTGGCTAAATAAAAACTGGCTTCTGTGTTAGCAATCCAGCCCTTCTGGAAGTTCTAAATGTATCAAGGCTTACTATGGTTATACTGAAGAGTTCTTACCAGAGGAGAATCTAAATCTCTTTTTAATGGACATGCTAGCCGCTACTCAAGTTACAATACATAAAAGTTTGCCTAGAGGCTAAAAATAGCTAGGGAGGGTTAGCCGGGTTCTTGAGTATAACTGTGTTTAACTATATAATTCTAATTATAGCTAGGCTTTCTGAACTTCAACAAGCTTAAACAAGCATAGCAAAACTTGACTGAGGTTAACTGAGGTTGACTGAGCTGGACTGAGGTGGGCTGAGCTTGACTGAGCTGGACTGAGCTGGACTGAGCTGGACTGAGGTGGGCCGAGCTTGACTGAGCTGGACTGAGCTGGACTGAGGTAGGCTGAGCTTGACTGAGCATCAGCTGCCCCCGTGGTGTATACAGTATTAAACACTTGTCACGATCCGATCTCCGGGGTCAACCGTCTGATCGGCGCGGTGGGGTTTATGTTCTGAATAAGGCAGGTAGCGACCTCATGCAATACTGACTCCGTGCTTCTCGTGTTCTCGAGGGGGTTGTCGTTCGTGTCTCTTGCGAGATATCACACTCGGATCAATTGAGTGACTAGGTCAAGTGAAGGGTGAGGGTGATACTTAGATTGATCGCTGAAGTACAAAGGTAATGACTGTCTACAAGGAGATCCTCCTGGTGCTATATATCCTTTGTCCTTCATCGTGGTTCCCTGGATCACTTGGTTTCCTCGTGATCCTGGATCGTCTTGGATCCTTGGTGATCCTCGGTGATCCTGGATCGTCTTGGATCTGTGGTGATCCCAGCGATCCACTTCCGTCTGGCTGACATAATGGGATGCTTATGTAACCAGGGGTGTGCTGCCCCGCGTGCATGACCTGCCCTTGTCCCTGGCCCGATCTTGCGACCTGTTGGTCGGGTCGTCACAACACTCTTCGGATGGTTGCGCCTGTTTTGGATCAGCACTAAAGGCTTGGAATCAGACCCAGAACTTATATAGTTCGCCGAAAAGGAGTACGTCTCAGCCACATGTAGCCTGACTTGTTTCATACTGTGCCTGTGTCCTTAGCTGCAACCTCCTTGCCCGTCACCCCTGTATCTTTAGTTAGCGTTCAATTCCGGCTGCTCTATATTTGGATGACAGACCTACAGTGGCGCACCTGGACCAATCATACTAAGTTGGACCCAAATTGCGATGTATATCTTATAGGTTGAACTGTGCAGTACTTCCGCCCATTGTTAATCAAACTAGATACTATCTATGCAAGAAGAATCGAGATGAATTCGTCTATACGAAAGAAGACACAGACGCGTAATCGAGATCGAGAAAACTTTATGAGAAGTTTCAGAAACATTATGAAACGGCTTGATGTTCTTCATAAGAAGTACTCGATTGATGTTTACCTCTGCGCTAGGGCTGGTAGATATCTAGAGTACAGATCCTCATTAGAGTTTCCACCTGCAAGATCGGAAATCGTAAGTCGTCCCGTTTTCATCTTACGCAAAGATTATTAAATGAGACTCTAGGACACTAGCTACCCGCTCCCAATAACTAAGACGTCCGCAGACTATACGTACGATGGACTAAAGTAATGGAGATATAATGAAATTTTTCAAGTTAGAGTTTGTTAATATACCTAGCGTTATAAGTAAAGCTAGGCGTGTAGCCCTTGCTACGAATTAGTGGCTTACAAGGAAAGTGCACGTAGGTTGCACCAACTAGTGATAACGGAGTTATTAGTCGAGATGGGACTGTTGATAGTATCTTACTAGATAGCTGATATTGTTCGCCATCATAAGAGGATTAATCAAGAGCTCAGTGTAATCATATTCATTACTACTATCCTCTCTCTGCGAAACCACGATTCAACTAACCCTCGTACCAGATAGTCCTGGTCATCTTCCCGTGTCACCCCAAAATTCTCGTCATAGCGTGAAAACGAACGAAATACCGAGTTCCTGCCGCTATGCAAGCCTACAGTCTACTATGCACGCATCAAGCAGAGATATGAAGCAGGTATCCTGGTACTGTAGGAGCCAGATAATGCAGGCGCTGGGATGTTCCACGGGAATGCGCCAATTGCGGGGTCTCAACCATATGATCTATACCCCTTAAAATTTGGAGCCATATCTGGAGCAGTAGCTGTAGGCCAATCAGAGCCTTTGAACAGGATGATAGCGCACTGCGTTTGACAAGAAATGACTGGATAGGACAATATTCGAAAGTCATACGGGATATAGCACAGCCGTTCTTCATTTGGCCGATCAATACAACAATGAGCCGGCCAATACAGGAACGGGATGGATGCCCCTTGTATGCGCTAATTGTGGCGTACCCAGGGATGATGACCCATGAGACCCAGAGCCATTTCCGAAGCAGCAACTAAAGGCCAATCAAAACCACGAAACACAATGCTGTCATTCGGCATGCGCACGGGTTATCCGGCCTTAGCAGGATCGGATATAGAAGTGGACAAATACAACATATAGGTAGGGCATCTCGGACAGCCGTTCTGCTCCCTAATGTCATCTGTGGCAATGTTTTAAGTCTGAGGCTTATCTCTCTTCAATTTCATGGGCTTTTGCGTGTTTGCTATCATACCTCACACGGAAGGATGAGGATCTTTCTCTGATGCAGGAGCTGCCAGGCACAAGGTGTCCCACATGAGCAGCATTGACACTGATCCCATCATGCCTCACGCGACGCGATGCTTTGGTATGACTGGAGGAGCTAGGGTCGAAGCAAAGGCTGGTGCACGGCCAAAGCGCTGATTGTGGTGCTTCTGTTGCAGCAGGAAGTGAATGGCCAGCGGCTCTTTGATTATGCTAAAATTGGCTTTGCCGCATGCGCGACGGCGCATAGTGCATGCATTGAGCGTACATGTGTTCCCAGAAGTGCTTGATGCATATTTGTGCATGGCGCACACGAGCACAAAATTTGTGTGACACGACAAGCCTCGGTGATGGTAGAGGTGCAACACAGAGAAGTACCGAAGCTTGGTAGTGCGACAAGGGCCAGAGTACTTGACACGGCTCGATGGTGCTGTGACTGCTGTCTACAGGCTTCGTGGTGGAGCTGCGGATGAATACACGCTAGTCTCCTTCCGGCTGTAAACAAAACAATAAACTAACCAAGCAATGGAACTCGCCAGTTGTCGTGCGAACCAGTAGCCGCGGACAACTGTGGAGCAAGTGACTCAAGCAGGCCAGCCGTGCGATGTTGAACCAGGCCCTCCTTCGTCCATGACTACAACTGTGGTCATCAGCAGCCAGCCGACAATCGCCCTCGGCAACATCCATCAATGGCGACAGTAGCATCACATCACCAACAATCCCCTCAAACTCGTTGGCTCGCGTCCTGGGTGGAAGACGTAAAGTCTGCGACAACGCGCGCCACTCGGAAGCGCCCCGCTATGTCTTCCCCTCCACGGAGCCCAAGTCCAACGAAGCGACCACGACGTCAACCCGGTACTTACAGGGACGACGTAGCCTCTACAGAATCATGCGCACAATCCATGTCAGACGCCGAACACCAGAATCCAGATGACACGGCGTCGACGCCACGACCATCACGAGGACGCGTCTTCGACACAGTTGCAAGAGCGCAGCCCGCACCATCACTTGTCTCATCCCCATCGTCCAATTCGATTACCTCGCTTGCGTCATCAACAACTTCTCAGCGCTCGCGCACGAGTATCAGCCCGCGCAAACGAGCCCTAGCTTTGCTACAGGCTGACGACCTGCCTATTGTGTCGTATCCGATGAGCAACATTCATAGTCATGCAGGCATGACCACGGCGACACGCAACCTCCTCGAGGATTTGACAAAGATTCGGGCACGGCAAGGTATCTTTCCTCAGCAACTGAAGCAGCACATCCAGGAAACCAGCGATCCACTCGTCGATGCCATTGGAGACTACATGTTTTCGATCGACAAAGCAGACACCACTCCAACATTATCGACTTCACTTGATGCTCCGCTCACCGTTGCAGCAAGCTCAGGTATCCTGGATCGGCTGTTCGCGCATCGGTCTATCATCGAGGTCGTGGCAGCCAGCAACTTCTGCGCAGACCCCATTCGACCGGTCAATGAGGCGGGATGGAATGATAGAGTACATGCACGAGTTTTGGACATGGCACTCAAGGAGGCAACATGCCTTCTTTTTCACAACATCACCACTGTCAGCCCAGCTCACGATTTCCGTGATCCGAATCCCACATTAAAAGACAGCAAGATTGATTACGGTATATTCCTCTCGCCGTCTTCAACAGAGCCACTCAAGGACGCTTTCGATTCTTTCCTCCGTGCTAGGCGGGGTCCTGTTGGTTTTCCAGTTCGGCAATTGAATGCCCTCCATCAGTTCGAATCCGACCGCCCGATGAGTGTGGGCATTGAGACCAAACGCGAGCATGGTGGTGATGCCCAAGGCTCCAATCAGCTGGCGAATTGGGCTCGCATCCACTTCCGCCATCTTCGGAGCATACTCCGTGCAGTCGCTCCAAGAAAAAAACCGTTTCCGACTGATATCTTGACGCTTCCTCTAATCGCAGTGGAGGGCGCGAGATGGGATCTCAAGCTGGCTTTCTACCGGCCGTCAGGCTCTGGCGAACAAACTACTGGCACGGTGGTGATATATGATCGGGTGTCTCTTGGTTCAACTGCGTCCGTCACCGACTGTTACGCCTTGCTGTGTGCCTTACGCAGATTGGGTACGTGGTGTGAAGATGCCTATGCTGTAGCTTGGAAAGATCTGTTACACGACAACGAAAGACCAGGATAACACCAACCACAACCAGAGGGGGAATGTACTCTAAAGTGAATAATCTACCAAGTCCTGCAATGCCGTGTCCAGTCTCGCCTGCTTCACGTCGCTCCGTGACATGTAGGCAGTCACTGCCTTTCCCTAGATCCCATCCTTCCACACTCCTGATGACGTGCTTCGCTTCAGGGGTTTCGACGCGCTTCTTGGTGATGGGAGGATGAACTCTGTCTACCTCACCGAAACTGCGCTGAGTGATCATGCCATCCAAGGCTTAACGATAAGGCCAGACCTGTCGGGTAGCCTTAATTGACATGACCTTGAAATGCTCAATCACGGCTTCCGAGATTGCAGGTTGACCTCGCTTGGACCCAAACGTGTGAAAGAGAATGGCTTACTTATGGTCTTTGTGCTCCAAGTTACTTTTCGGGGCGCGGCGTGACAACGTCGATGAATCGCATTGTGTTGTGTCGACAAGAGGCGTTGTAAGAAGAAGAGCTGGTGAGTGAACCACTAATAATCTTTGAGGAGTAAACGGTATTTCAAGTCCTCCTTGAGCACTTTACTCCAAGGAATTGGGAAAGGCCCTGCCATCGCACTCAACCAAGCATCCCTGCCCGGGATTGACCCATCTCTGCCATATGAGAACGAGCATTGAGTCTTCATCTCTCCTCTCGATAGCTAGCTCATCCACCAGGCTTCAGACAAGTGGCTACGTGCTCATGCACTTCACGAGCCTCGAGAGATCCTAGTAAACTTAGAGGACCTTAGCACTAGTGAGACTAGGGCGAAATACAGAAAGGAGGACTTTAAGGGTAATTTGCTTCTATTCATTTAACACAGCAGCTCTATTAACGATCCGAAGTCTCATGCTAGTACAGACGGTGCTTTCTAAGGCAAGACAGTAAAACCTCGCTCTCATCAACCCAATGCGCTTCTGATAACGGTCGTTGGCACCATGCGAGAAGCAATTGTTTTCTTCCGTCTTGTTCCCTTGATCCGAGGATGGACTTTACTCCAGGACCAAAACCACGGTACTGTTTCTCGAAGGCTTTAACGTCTTCAGGGTCAAAGTTCGCTTCAGGCTCCCATGTTATCTCGCCATTCTCCCACTTAACTAGAAACTTGTTTCCCCACTTCTCCAGCAGCCTCTCGAATGGATACTTCTTACGAGCTTCGAGCCTAGCTTGGATCTTGGCGCGTCGTCGAGTCGTCATCGTCGTCTTCTGATTGGGTTGTCGCTTCCCATCTATCTCCCTTCTCAATACGGCTTCGCTAGGTTGGATCTTGCATCCTCTCGAAGCTCGAAGGGACTTTGGCCCACTCGCGACTGTAGTTATTGTCCTTGTGCAGCGTACGGGATTCCGCCGAGCCCCTGACAGACTTGGACCAACTTGACTACCTGGCACCTTATCGGCGGTGCCCAGCGCTACTGATCTGCCTGAATCGCAGACTGTATCTGCCTGAGCAGGCGACTCAGCATAGACTGTGAACTGTGAAGTTGTGGTAGGCTGCGTTCCGGTTGTTATAAGTCTCTGAAGACAGGGCTCTGGCGCACAGTCTTCTATCGTCGACCCCGTCGAGCAGGATTTCATCATCAGCATGCCTGAGCGATGCTGCTCTACCTGCAGCAAATACAGGCAGTACGCAAGATCGGTGAGGACTGTAATTTCTTCTTTGTCAGTAAGTTGCTCTCAGAAGTGACTGGGACATTCATACATCTTGGTGGATCTGCGGCCACGCTCAAGCACGGCAAAGCGTCGCGGCTGCTAGAAACCACATCCAACCCATCGCACTGACTAGCCTCTTCGAACTCTTGTGACCTCTGGTGCGCTACCCACCCCTCCGTGTCGCTCAAGTTGCACTCATCGTCAATGTACATGACGTCTATCGTGAAATGGCTCGTACCGGCACCACCGAGAGTCGCCGAGGTGTTCTTCGACGCATCCATTAGATGGTCTAGCATTGGGGACCGCTCGTTAGCACGCTCGAATGGACGTGAGGTCTCATGAGGCTCGCTTGCGGGCTCTGGGCTACTGGAGATCCGGTGCGATATGAATCGTATGGGGGGTGACGAAGGAGGACTGGCAGAAGCCGAGAGACTTGTGCGACACGTCGAGGTTTCCCGCAGACTGTCTGTTGTGGTTGCCGATGCAGTGCGAGAGGACCATCTCGTGAAATCAGAACCGGCACGGATGGTTCGAGCTGAATAGTCACGTTGACTGATCCAGCCGTCGTCTGGCTCCGTATCGCTCGAGTCGTGAATGACAATTGGATCGTCGCGCGAACCGTCATTGATAATTGGATCGCAGTACGACATGGTGCTTGCCGGATGTGTATGGTTTGAAGGTAGAAGACGGTGAAGATGGCCAGTCTGTGAGGTGTAATGCCGAGGAGTTCAGTCTGTCTTATATACCTGGCCGAGCGGTCGCCCATCATTGCTAACCGCGTCAGAGAACCATGCCGCGGGGCGAGATTTGATTGAAGGGAATTTGACCCTTCACACGTGTTCGCAGGGCGTGTTTCTGAACACTCTCTACGCCCCGACGTAAACCCTGATTCCAAGAGCACTTACCATCCAAGGAGAAGCGACACTAAAGTCTGGCTGCCTACATCAATGCATGACGAAGGTCGGCCCACTGTATGTCCTTGAAAGCTCGATAGCCAAGAAACTGTCTTCCTGAGGCTATCAATCGTTGCTGAGTCGTTGTCAGACGTCTTCCGCGCCATGCATCCGCTCGACCGAAGTGACAAGCTACGGCTTGATGAAAGTCTCGGACACCGAATCGCTGTTGTGGGCGCTTCTAATGGCGCGAGTGGACAACGGTAGACGGCAGATCTTGCTGGGATTTGACCGATTGTGGGTGCGTCCTCGAGGAAGCACCCGCACCGGTACTTCCGGTTTATCCCAATGACGTTGTCTCACCAGTCCATAACACCTGCTTCCCAATGTCGCAGCCCAGTCAGTTCCTACGGCCCTAGGACAATCGCAGAAGACCGCAGGAATGGGGCACAAGCTGGGCAAGAGGGAGCTTAAACGCAGAAGGGTTTGGTGCGAGATTTGCGCTGTGTAGTGTCTTTGCGCACTGTACAGCTCATCTTGCACGGGCACAGCTTCATGACGGCTGAGTCATCATTCACAACCCCTTTCTTGGTGCGCATGTCTGCCCTAGCCCGATCCTACGACGTTGTTTGCTGCACTTACCACAAACAGTGGACGCTTTGTTGACAGTCGTCACACGCCCCCGCTCAACTTCACGTCGTGCAATTTGACAGTGAATCTGACTAGCTGCCTCTTGTATTATGTAGGCATGGCCTCCGTGAGTTTGAAATCTTACCGCATCTATTGATGGAGGGCGACGTCTTGTCTTTCGCATGCGGGTAAGCCGCAGATGCCCCCACATGGGTTGACACCTTTGACTGAACCCTGTTGCAGCCGTGGTTGGGACCAGAACTAGATGTAGAGCCTGGACCAAAAGGAGACCCAACAAGCACAAGACTGTTGGCTGGGGCCTGATCGTTGCAAGTTAGTTATGTGTCATCCGAATACAGTCGAATTCGAAATCGGTGTCCACTTTCGTGTGACGCAACTCTCTCTGCGCACGGTCCGCCTTGTCTTGGCGATGCCAACGGTAGGTGGGGCAGCTTGGAACAGCCATTTCAGGCTGCATGTCGGATGGTCCCAATCTTCACTTATTGCATATACAGGATATGTCTGAAGAGGAACCCTTAGAAGGACCCGCATGCTCACAATCGTACGGCTTTTTGTTCCACCACGCCGGTCCTGTGTTTAGGCGAGACGTCGCACGCTCAAGTCCCACCCTTCGCCTTAATCCCAGAACTGAGAATTCCTCCATCATGCTCAACGCAGGGACAAACCACGATAATATGTATTTTGCCTGCGCATTTGCACATCAACACGGTGTCCTGGCCAGCTGTTGTTTACTTCGTGGTGTGCAATGTGAGCCTGATGGAGCATCCGGGCATGCCGTCACTCAATGCCTGCTTGGATTCATTGCAAGGAGGGTCCCACGACCCCGCATCCTTGGGAGCACACATCACTCATGGGGCCTCACCAAGGTCCAGCTATCTATGCTCGTAAAGTCTCGATGAATCGCCCAATTCCCTCCATGTTTAATTTCCGATATCCACGACTATTCTATACATAACAAGTAGGATAGCTACCCGCTCGGTTTTGTAAGCACGTTGACAGAGCCAATCGGCCGTATCATGGTACACATAAGCGCCGGGATCTCGGCCATCAAGCCTTTGCAGCGACAGCCTGATCGAACCATCTCAGGCAACAGCCCACGCCAATCATGTACGACCACGAAGCGCAGGCGCCGCGACGATGGGAGATAGCTGAACGCCACTGGGGCCTGGTTTTGTGCCTAACAATTTTTGCTTTTTCTCCCCATGAGGCCTCCTATGGCCGCACTCTTCAATGGGCGACGAAGGCCTATATCCGTCGCTGACTCTGTCTTGTCCAAAACCGATAATACCGCTTTCGCTACCCCTGAACGCCATTATCGCCGTCCAGAGGCGCCCTTACGATGTCAGCCCTTCGGGCCCTCGATAGCCCTGACTCGTACACAATCGGTTGGATCGCTGCCCTACCAATCGAAAGGGCCGCCGCGGAGGCTATGCTCGACGAGGACCACGCGCCTCCAACCGGCTTTGTTAGACATCAAAGCGATACGAACGTTTACACCTGGGGTCGACTGGGAGAGCACAACATTGTTATCGCCTCCCTTGCAGCCGGGGTATATGGCATCACATCAGCGGCGACGACTGCGTCGCGCCTCCTTGCCTCCGTGCCGTCCATCCGCATTGGCCTCATGGTCGGCATAGGCGGCGGCATCGCTCGCCCGGATGAGGATCAAGATATCCGACTAGGCGACGTTGTGGTGAGCCAGCCAGATGGGACGACGGGCGGGGTGTGCCAGTACGACTTGATCAAAACAAAGGCTGGCGGTAAGCGCGAGCGCAAGGGCTTCCTCAGACCGCCGCCGACAGTGTTGCTCAACGCGCTAGCCAAGATCCAGGCAGATCACGAGCGTAGGGACTCCAAGGTTCCCTGCTATGTACAAGAGATGCTGGAGAAGAACCCCAAGATGGGCAGGAAGACTAAGAAAAGCCCCGGCTTCGCTCATCAAGGCTTCGAAAACGACCGCCTGTTCCAGGCGTCCTACGACCACGTCATCGGGCTGGACTGTCGTCACTGCAGCGCAGATAGCGAAGTCCAACGAGACGCTCGCGACACAACTAACCCTGACATCCATTACGGCATCATCGCATCCGGCAACACTCTCGTCAAAGATGCGGCAGAGCGCGACCGAATTGTCGACGACGTTGGCGGACACTGCCTATGCTTCGAGATGGAAGCGGCTGGCCTGATGGACCACTTCCCTTGTCTTGTGATCCGAGGCATCTGTGACTATGCCGATTCTCATAAGAATGATCGGTGGCAGCGGTACGCCTCAGCAACTGCGGCCGCGTACGCTAAGGAGCTTCTCGCGTATGTGCCGGCCGTCGAGGTACAGGAGACTAAGAAGGCATTGGAGGTGCTACACTCAGGTCAGTTATTTATTGTATTGTAGGAAATGTTAGCCGGGTGAAGCTGATGGTTGAACCGACGTCCATGATGGCTAGTCGATCAAAAAATCGATGAAGTACAGAAAACTGTAACAGATACGCAACATATTACTAGTTCGATCAAGACCGGCCTTCACAGCGACAAAATCGAAAGATGGTTACGCCCTTCCGACCCGTCCACGAACGCCAACCATGCGAGGAAGCTCCGACATGAGGGCACCGGAGCGTGGCTCTTGAGGCACCCGGTATTTCAGTCGTGGAAGGCGGGGTCGTGTCAGCATGTATGGCTCCACGGGCTCGCAGGATGCGGCAAGACCGTTCTCAGCACGACAGTGCTAGACCACCTCGAGGAGCGTCAGGACCGACTGGTTCTCAGCTTCTTCTTTGACTTCAGCGACACCTCGAAGCAGACTGTGGACGGGATGCTGCGGTCACTTGCCTTCCAGTTGTACCGGACCACGGCTACGGCTGTAATGCATTTAGACACGTTGCACGGGACGCATCACGACGGCGGCAACCAGCCGACTACTGAGACGCTACTGCATATCGTATGCAAGATGCTCGCGAGCCACGAAAGGGTGGTCATCATCCTAGACGCCCTGGACGAATCAACCACGAGGGGCGAACTCGTCTCCGGGATCAAGGACATTGCTTCTAGACCGGAATTGAGGCACGTTCAGCTGATCTGCACCAGTCGGCCTGAAGCGGACTTCCAATGCAGCATGCCCGAGCTGATGGGGGAGGGGAGTTGCTTGAAATTAGACAAGCACGCGGTGGACGGGGATATTCGATCCTACGTCGCAGCACAGCTTGTGCAACGCCGCGACTTCCGAAGCAAGCATCTGTCGCAGGGCCTCCTCGAGCGGATCCAAAGCAAAGTTGGGGATGGGGCCGATGGCATGTAAGCTGCCGATTTCATCCGGGTTGGGCCTGACATATTGACATGATACAGGTTCCGATGGGCTTTCTGTCAGTTGGAAAGCCTTGCGCAGTGTCTTCATGAGACGGCGGTGGAGCGAGCGCTTGAAAGCCTGCCGCGCGACCTTAACGAGACATATCGGCGAATGCTTGAAATCGTACCGACAGAGCTTAAAGACGACGGACTCCGTCTTCTACAATTCTTGGTGCACTCCGCGCGGCCACTTCGGCTGGCGGAGGCTGTGGAAGTACTAGCAACACAGACCGAAGGGGAGACCGCCCGCTTCGACGCCAGGAGTCGATTGTTCCGCGAGACTGACGTGTTGAGATACTGCCCAGGTTTGGTGGTCATCGTTCACGCTCAAGTCGACGAGCTTCATCTCTCTCACTTTTCGGTCAAGGAGTACCTTGAAGGTATTCAGCAGATCAAGCTGCCGAGTGCCAGCATCTCTATTGCAATGACCTGCCTAGCATACCTCACTGACATCGAAGGCAGCGACGCCGAGATCAGGCAGCAGTTTCCGATGGCGCGCTTCGCAGCACTGGTGTGGACTCGGTTTGCTGCTTCTGCCGGAACCGCTGGGGGCGTATTGGAAGCGAGCGTAAGATTTCTTCAAGGAGAGGCGACCTTTCAGAGATGGTACCGGCTAGACCAGCCGGATGAGTATTATTGGAAAGCTGATCCTGGACCTCCAAAGGGATCGCGATTGTACTACGCTTGCTTTGAGGGTCTATCCGGAACTGCGGCGTCGCTCTTGGAGGAGGGGGCGGACGTCAACGCGCAGGGCGGCGAATACGGCAACGCTCTGCAGGCTGCCTCGTTTAGAGGCTACGCCGAGATTGCCAGGCTTCTTCTAGAGAAGGGGGCGGATGTCAACGCGCAGGGTGGCTCCCACGGCAACGCTTTACAGGCTGCCTCATATAATGGCCACGTCGAGATTGTCAAGCTGCTCCTAGAGCAGGGGGCGGACGTCAACGCGCAGGGCAGCGAATACGGCAACGCTCTACAGGCTGCATCATATCAAGGCCGCGTCGAGACTGTCAGGCTTCTTCTAGAGAAGGGGGCGGACGTCAACGCGCAGGGTGGCTTCTACGGCAACGCTTTACAGGCTGCATCATATCAAGGCCACGTCGAGACTGTCAGGCTTCTCCTAGAGAAGAGGGCGGACGTCAACGCGCAGGGCGGCTACCACGGCAACGCTTTACAGGCTGCCTCGGCTGAAGGCCACAACGACATTGTCAAGCTGCTCCTAGAGCAGGGGGCGGACGTCAACGCGCAGGGCGGCTACCACGGCAACGCTCAGGGCGGCTACCACGGCAACGCTTTACAGGCTGCATCATATCAAGGCCACGTCGAGACTGTCAGGCTTCTCCTAGAGAAGGGTGCGGACGTTAACGCGCAGGGCGGCTCCTACGGCAACGCTTTACAGGCTGCCTCGGCTGCTTTACAGGCTGCCTCGGCTGCTTTACAGGCTGCCTCGGCTGAAGGCCACAACGACATTGTCAAGCTGCTCCTAGAGCAGGGGGCGGACGTCAACGCGCAGGGTGGCTTCTACGGCAACGCTCTACAGGCTGCCTCGTATGGAGGCTACGCCGAGATTGCCAGGCTTCTTCTAGAGAAGGGGGCGGACGTCAACGCGCAGGGTGGCTCCTGCGGCAACGCTTTACAGGCTGCCTCGTATGGAGGCCACGTCGAGATTGTCAAGCTGCTCCTAGAGAAGGGGGCGGACGTCAACGCGCAGGGTGGCTACTACGGCAACGCTCTGCACGCTGCCTCAGGTGGAGGCCACGACAACATTATCAAGCTGCTCCTAGAGAAGGGGGCGGACGTCAACGCGCAGGGTGGCTTCTACGGCAACGCTTTACAGGCTGCCTCGTATGGAGGCCACGTCGAGATTGTCAGGCTTCTCCTAGAGAAGAGGGCGGACGTTAACGCGCAGGGCGGCCCCTACGGCAACGCTTTACAGGCTGCCTCGGCTGCTTTACAGGCTGCCTCGGCTGAAGGCCACAACGACATTGTCAAGCTGCTCCTAGAGCAGGGGGCGGACGTCAACGCGCAGGGTGGCTTCTACGGCAACGCTTTACAGGCTGCCTCGTATGGAGGCCACGTCGAGATTGTCAGGCTTCTCCTAGAGAAGAGGGCGGACGTTAACGCGCAGGGCGGCCCCTACGGCAACGCTTTACAGGCTGCCTCGGCTGCTTTACAGGCTGCCTCGGCTGAAGGCCACAACGACATTGTCAAGCTGCTCCTAGAGCAGGGGGCGGACGTCAACGCGCAGGGTGGCTTCTACGGCAACGCTCTACAGGCTGCCTCGTATGGAGGCTACGCCGAGATTGCCAGGCTTCTTCTAGAGAAGGGGGCGGACGTCAACGCGCAGGGTGGCTCCTGCGGCAACGCTCTGCACGCTGCCTCAGGTGGAGGCCACGACAACATTATCAAGCTGCTCCTAGAGAAGAGGGCGGACGTCAACGCGCAGGGCGGCCCCTACGGCAACGCTTTACAGGCTGCCTCGGCTGCAGGCCACAACGACGTTGTCAGGCTTCTCCTAGAGAAGGGGGCGGACGTCAACGCGCAGGGCGGCCCCTACGGCAACGCTTTACAGGCTGCCTCGGCTGCAGGCCACAACGACGTTGTCAGGCTTCTCCTAGAGAAGGGGGCGGACGTCAACGCGCAGGGCGGCCCCTACGGCAACGCTTTACAGGCTGCCTCGTATGGAGGCCACGTCGAGATTGTCAGGCTTCTCCTAGAGAAGAGGGCGGACGTCAACGCGCAGGGCGGCCCCTACGGCAACGCTTTACAGGCTGCATCATATAAAGGCCACGTCGAGACTGTCAGGCTTCTTCTAGAGAAGAGGGCGGACGTCAACGCGCAGGGCGGCTACTACGGCAACGCTTTACAGGCTGCCTCGGCTGCTTTACAGGCTGCCTCGGCTGAAGGCCACAACGACATTGTCAAGCTGCTCCTAGAGCAGGGGGCGGACGTCAACGCGAAGGATGGCCACTACGGCAGCGCTCTACAGGCTGCCTCATATAATGGCCACGTCGAGATTGTCAGCCTTCTCTTAGAGGATGGAGCACATGCCAATCATACAGATCCATTGGGCCGTACTTCTCTCTTTTTTTCCTCTAGGTTTGGACACCTAGGAGTCGTCCGCACTCTACTTAGCAATCGTGCTACTGATTGCAATGCTATAGACTGGTGCGGCTCAACAGCATTTCATGCGGCTGTAAGGAACGGCCATTCGCATGTCGTTTCTCTATTGTCATCAACTAGAAAAGGCGCAGCAAGTAGTGTAGACGTCTCGGGCTGCGATTTAGTATGGTGGGCACATAGGACTGGCAACCCCGACGTTCTCCGACTTCTACCTTACCAGGCCGAAGGTGCCTCCGGTGCTCTTCAAAGCAAGGACAGGATTCTATTCGATAGAGACCAAGCGTGGTGCGATGCCTGCACACTAACGATGTCGAGCGAGACCGGATTTTCCTGCAGGTTTTGCTGCGGCGGGAGGTTTTGTATTTGTATGAGTTGCTTCGAACTGGGGATCCGGTGTTTAGATCCGTCTCACTCTCTTGTGGCCAGATAGTCGCGCCTTTCATGTTTCTTCTCAATTTTGCGAATGATCAGCGATGATGTTCTTCCAGCTGATTGGCCTCATCTTTCCACAACCGCAACCGAAGCCACGACATCAAAGTTCTGGCGCCTCAATTGCTATTGAATCTCTCTGACCTGGTTTATCGCGATCGCCCACGGTGCCCAGCGACAATGCGCTCGCTGTAGATGCTACTAGAATATACCCACAGGCAAGCAAACGACTTGCACTCCAGTTTTGATCTGGACGACTGTCACCAGCCAGTAGACCGTCAGTAGTTGCATGACCTCAGAAAGACGAAGACCCGCCTTGTTGCGTAGCTTCGAAGACTTAGGCCCCACATCGGCCATTACCTGCGTTTCAAAGACCATTTGGCGCGCGGAAAACGGCTGTCCAAGATGCCCCCCACCTCAACAATTGCATGTGTCCACTTACGTGCCCCACGTGGCTCGTGCGCCCAGAGACTTAGGCTCAACGAAAGCCGGACACCGATTTCGAATTAGACTGTACCCTGCCCATCTGATTATTCATAGGCCACTTCGAAACAAAAAACGGAGGTCTCATGAGAACAGCACTGACCTGACTTGGATCATACAAAGTGTGCCTCGTAGTGTACATGTCAAAAATGGATGCGCCAATTGTGGCGTATCCACTGATGTGGCTCGCACTCCCTAAGAGGAAGAATTACCCAGGCAGCCGCTGAAGGCCAATCAGAGCTTTTCGACACGATGCTGTAGCACTGTCTCTGCACGCCATGATTGGGTCAGAGACGTGTATTGACATCTCCACGGCGAGACTGCCCTCGACCTGTCCCACGATCCGGCAATTAGGGCTCCAGCCGCTTAACTGCATCCAGATTCCGATCCGTGTCAGAGTCAACATAGGACAATGAGAATTCTTGGGGTTCAGCTCGATGCTTGTTACAGCGGCGACAAAGACCCGCTGCCACTAGTAGCTAAGTTTGGGTGCCAGGGCTGTGATTCCTTGAAGATATCGCGAGGCTTGGAATGCGTCTACGAAACCTCACTCCTTTAAGCCAACCAGTTTATCGACAAGCCACACAAGCTGCAAGCTGCCTGGCTTTACGCTGCATTCGACATATCGTATCAAAGCTTTAGTGGCTAGCAACAACATGTATGATCACGTGCAAATTGCCAGAACCCTGGTTGCCCGTCGCTCACGGCGGCTGCTTGCCGGTCTCCTCGTCACAGGAGCATTTGCATTAACAGCCAGCGTATGGATACTGATGCAGAATCATTCCACTACTCCGAACTTCGTACAGAGCTCAGACGATGGGCTACGACAAGATAGCGACAGGACTCCGCGCGAGCAGGCTGGGAACAGAACGCTAGGAGTGAGACCTGACTATCCGCCCCAGACACCGTACAACCATCATGACGACGGCTGACCAAGCATATACTTCAGCAGTTCGAGAAGATGCTCGTCCTTGCAAAGGCACCTAGTTGGAGAACGCGTGGTCTCGCCGCCGCTGCGCAGCTTACAGGCCTCGACTTCACCATTCCTCCGCAACCACCAGTCACAAAACTATCAATCGAGACCTTTCGCAAGATGGGTCCAGCCGGCAAGACAACACGCCCGGAGCCCGGATCGGCGGCAGCGTGGCTAGCACATCTTGATATATTGCGGCACTTCATATCTTCGGACCTTGAAACGGCGCTGATTCTCGAGGACGATGTAGACTGGGATCTGCGCATTAAAGACCAGATGAGGCTCGTTTCAGACAACGTTCGTGCCTTTGGCCGCAGCTACGACAAGACTGGGCACCAGCTGGTGAGCGATCTAGACGATAGCACACCTTATGGCACGGGCTGGGACGTGCTATGGGTTGGACACTGCGGCTCATTGGGCCACAATCTGAATGGTCATGACAAGAACCACAGAAGACCCGTACACTATGTCGACCCAACGAGGCCTACGAATCAGCAATATCATGGATGGGCACGAGACTTTGTTATTAACGAGGTTCCCCCGGGGCAGCGAGCCGTGCAAGAGTCTCGCATGACAATATGCAGTTTCGCATATGCAGTGTCACGGAGGGGCGCGCACAACTTGCTTAACCTCGCTACAGCTGCAAATGGCGAGGCATTTGACGTGTCTCTACACGAATACTGCCGCGATGGGAAGCTGAACTGCGTCGTCGTGTCGCCGCAAGTCTTCAATCATTACCAGCCGAGTGAACGACATGGCTATGTGAGCCCGGTTAAGGAGGGAGATGGCAAGGGGAAGTCGAACGACGAGTCTGAGTTCGAGGGATACATCGGCTCCACGGAGAACATTGTCAAGAGCGCAAGGTGTGAGGCACTGTGGGGTCAGAGCTGTATGGCAACGTGAGCAACGGCTTGTAGGCTCCCTCGGTAGGTAGTTGATGATCACAGAAGCCAACTTATGCTTTTCATTTAGATCGTGTTGTCTGGATGCAATGCATCATGTGGTGAACACCGCCCTAACGGCCTGTGAGCACCCGGCAGCTCAGCTTCTTCTCGCCGTCTAGGCACGTAGAACTCTAGCGAGCTTCACTCATAGCCCACCTAAAAGCCCGACACTTGATTCACGCAGACGATAGCCCTATGAGATGTGGTGGATCTTAGGGCCAGAAAGGGTGGTGACGATGCTTGGATGTATTTACGAAGAGCTCACACCGGCAGTATCACACGTGTGGCAAAATGGAGGTCCGACATCTACCAGCTCTTAGCGGTCACGAGCCCACCACAGCCAGCTATCCTTGGAGGAGGACGTAGGGATGCACACCGTTCGGGTGCCTGGTTCGAACATACCAAGGCTCACATGCCATCGATGACGATCTTCCACCTTCAGTATGGCGTACGACTCCATGATACATCACATGAACAAACATGAGGAAAGTCTCGCCAAGGGGCTCAGGCCAAGGGGCTCAGGCCAAGGTGTCGTCTGAGATCAGGCCGAGCTTCAAGATTTCAGAACACTGTGTTCTTGGAAGTCTTGGAGGCATAGAACACGGACGTATTGGACTCTGACTGGAGCGAGGCCATACGCGAATCTTCAAGGTCATTGGGTTGAAGAAGTTGGTCCAGGCTTTGGCTGGGGTTTCCGAGAAGGTGGCGTCGCACCCTCACTCCAGACTTCGTGCACAAAGGATCTGGTGGAAGGACGTGGCTGGACCAACAATCACCCCAGGCGTGCTTGTTCATTGTCTATATAAGAGCCCTCACCTGCTGCCTCGGAAAGTCTTTTCTATCTCGACCACATCTTCCTCTTCATCTCTCTCTATCTACCTGACTTTCCATCAAACGCACCTAGTCAGTCACACAATGGACCCCAAGACCGGCGACCCACGAGCTTATTACCTCGCCCTCCAGGAAGGTGGGATGCAGACCAACGAGTGGAAGGCATTCGACTTCAACACTCTTCAAAATTCTCTCTCCCCAATTCTCCCCCCCAGGGCCCTTCTGCAGCGGACCTGATACCCATGGCACCGTTTCCTGAGCTTTGCTTCGAAGGCGAGCCAGCAGCTCCGGCAATGAGCTCTGCTCAGATGTATGACAGCCTCCAAGCTTCATTCGCTATGTCGCTCAATATCGGCAATCATTTTCCGGAGGGTATGATGTCCACGACGACCCAGCCGCTCCAGCCGGTCATACTCTGTAGTCCAAAGGAGGACGTTTCCCACTGTTTCATGGCCCTCCAATTTGCACTCGGGCCTGTTGAGTGCAGCCCCTGCAACCTGCCATTAAACGCGGAGGGGGCTATGGACTTGCCCGTGTCGTTCTACTTTGCTCACGAGCAATACAATCCTTGGTGGCCACCCCAGGCAACTGTCGATGACATCGGCATCCCCTCCTTGGGCACTTCGGACTCCATCGAGAGGTTTCCCAGGACGCCTAGTCAGTATGTCGAACTCGGACCGCCACTCGATTTCCCTCAGGAAACAGCACTGTTTCAGTCGTCCCAAGGAATCCTCTCTCCAGTAGGAGGTTGGGAAGAAAGTACCTTTGCCGGATCTCCTGACGCCGACAATATAGCGAGCCTGTGCAGTTCAGAAGCGACGCTTTTCTCACAAGTGTCTACATCCGAGCCCGATTCTTGTTACAATGGCGTCAACGGACGCGAATCATGTGGCGACCCTTTCGGCTTTTGCGATAAAGGAGCCGAGAATGGCTATGACCGCGGTATCTGGTGGGATGTTGTATTAACCGATGACGGCGATGGCGATGTTTCCAAAACGACTGCCGCAGGAATCAGCTCGTCTGAGGTCGCCGACAGTCAGTACCATTCACTCCCCTACATAATCAGGATCACCATCCAGATGGATGTTGGCCGAGCTGACAAAGACTTATAGTAAAGAAACTACCTCTTCGCGCGGCTGCAGAAAGGGCAAACAATGCTATCTCCCAACAAATTGCTAACAATCCCCAGTTCAGAGAGAAAAGACTAAAGAGCAGGAGATAGCGGGGTGAAAGAATGAGAGGTTTACATTGAGATTACGGCTATGAGCGATGCCCTGTAGCCAGGACTATTATATGTATTATATAGCAGACTGTAATATTACAACCTGATCGAAGTACGTGGTTAGCCAACATCACCCCAGGCTTGCTCGTCCATTGTATATATAGAGCCTTCACCTGCTGCCTCGGGAAAAGCAGCTTTTCTTTTTCGACAACATTTCTTCTTCATCTCCCCTTATCTGCCTGACTTTCCGTTGAACGCTCATCCACGACGAAACGGTTCACATCGTTGCTATGGGCGCCCTCAAATCACCTGCCTCCAAATCGACGGACCGACGGTCAAGACCAAGCCAGTGATGGAATCTCTTAGCTGCCTGCCACTTGAGCTGCGCCGCATTATCTTTCGCTACGTCCTGCACAGCTTCGGCGAGTCGGCAGACGACGAGATAGAAGATGGAGAACCGGTCAACAGAAATGTAATCACCATCGGCGTGAGGGGTGACGGACTATCCGACTTTCTCAGTTGTGGGCTGTTTAACCCGGGAAGAGAAAGTGGCCGGCTTTTCATGATGGACATATACCGCACGACAAGGTTTGTCCTCGAGACGAGATATAATGTCAACTTGCTGAGCAGTCGCATGCAGCTCCTCTTCGCCGACGCGAAATGCCAGACGTACCGCCCCCTTCTGGGTGCCCCGCCTCGTCGCCCCTGTTAGCGACATTCAGGCTAGGCGCCGACCATGTGTACCGGCACCCTCTGCTACACCAAGACGCATTTGGAGTTCGTTAGGGAGCTGGCAGGACTAGGGACGCAATATGGATCAAGGGGCTATCCTGTCTGGTATAAGAAGGTTGTGCGCTAGCGGAGAGTAAGATCGCGTGGTCCGCCCTTGCCGTCTCGGTTTGCCGGGAGGCGCACGAGTGGCAGCAGGTAGACGGCTTCTTTGCGACTGAGAAGCCGAGCATGGCCGAGGCTATCACTTACTCCGTCAAGGCCACACTGCCCAGCAAAACTCCTCACTCCGTGCACAGCGAGTAGTCTGTGGCGCATGGCTATAGATATCACGCAGAGTCTGTAAGTTTACAACGTCGTCTTGATGCCGCCCCCAACACCCCTAGTCTGAACAGCGAAGGCTACCTTCCGCGGACCCTAATAGAAGAAATACTATATTATCCCAACATGCTTCCGTCTCTAGCCCGTGTAGTAACTTGTACGTTCAATCTGTCATAACTGGGTGATGAGGTGGCTGTGTCCATGGGCGCCTGAATGGTAATGGGCTCTGGGTCATCAAACATCCGAGGCTGGCGGGTTGGCCCGGACATTGACACTGGCTTAGGCCGAGAGCACGGCCTGTAGGGTCGCCACCGACGAACTACGGATCTCCTCCGGAATTGCACCTGATAACCCCGGAGCCCATCACCATTGGCTATGGGAGTGATCATAGGTCTTCTCTTCCAGTCACGAGCGCGAGATTACAGGATGAGAGTCGTATTCGGCGTGCGCGGGGTGTGCAAAGTTGCTGCCTGCTCTGGCTATTACAGGCCGTCACGGGGCTGACCTCACTTGCTAGATGTCGCCATTCTACGGTTATGGTCCTCTTGGCTTAGGACGCCACCAAGAACCGGGTGCGGTGTCCTGCTTCGCAGCTTCAAAACCCCCACTGGGTGCAGGTTACTACATATCTCTGAGTGGATGCGTTGCTCCCGGTGACGGTAATCACGAGCTGGGGACCTTCTCCGGAACCGGTGTAAGCAATGTCTCTTTATTAGCGCATGCAATCACGAAGATTGGTGGCCCTTGTTGAGATAGCTGCGTCGCACGCTCATCCCAGGGTGCGTACGTAGAGGATGCTGTCGAAGTCCGTGGCGAAGCCAAGATCACCCGGGCTTGCTCGTCCAGTGTCTATATAAGAATACTCGCCCGCTCTCTGGGAAAGCCTTTCTTTCTCGACAACATCTTCCTCTTCATTTCTCTCCAGCGACCAGGCATTCCATCGAACAACACATCCAGTCCTTCATTCGCTATGTTGGTCAACATCGGCAATCGTTTTACGGAGGCTGTGATGTCCACAACTACAACCCAAGCCGTGCTTTTTGGTTCAGGGCAGGACGTTCTACGGTGTGCGAGGGCCCTCCAAGCTGTAATTGAGGCTGCTACAGGCAGCTGCCGCATGGAACTATCAGGAGCGGAGGAAACCATAGACTCGGCCATTTCCTTCTGCCCCGCAAAAGAGCAAGCTGGACTCAACCCACAAACTCACAATCCTGGCTGGCAGTCACTCCATACAGCCTTCAACGACGTCGAGAAGTCCTACAATACTATCCGGGATCTCAATCTCGGGTCGCCAATTGATCTCCCACGGGTAACAGCACGATTTCAGTCGCCACAAGGAACCATTCTATTTATGGGAGATCGAGAAGAAAGGACATCTGCAACACCTCCTGACGCCAGCGATACAACGAGTCCGTGCAGTTCGGAAGCTGCGTCTTTCTCACAACTGTCGACATCCGAAACCATACCATGTGGCAGTCCTTTCCACGGTTGCGGCACGGCAGCCCAAGGCAGCGTGGAGACTGGATGCAGACCTCAACGAATGATCGAGAATGGCCGTGACGAGTATGGCCATGATCATGGGAGCGAGTGGAACCCCGTGCTAGTCGACGACAGTGATGACGACGTCGATAACACGGTCGCCCCAGGAAGCCGGCGGAATCCTGTGCTCATAAGCGACGACAGTGGCGTGTACGTCGACAACACGGCTTCGCTGCACCAGCCCACAATGAAGAGCAAGCCAGTCCACCAAATCCAGCAAGGAATTACGCATTCGAGAGTCACGCATCACCACGAAACTCAGTCTCAGTGTCCACGAAGACCCCAACAACGCCGAGGGGCTTGCACAACATCTGACAAGTCCGTAGCCAAGAACTCTGCTCATCATACAACAACTCGGAATAATCAGCCAGAGCCTCGGATTTCCTCTCACATACCGACGGGACAGCATATAAACCAGATCATGGAAGGTTGTCAGGGCAGCGGAGGTTCTCAAGACGGCAATCAGGAGACTTCGGCTAACAGCGTCTTGAAATGTATCGCATGTGGGTTGCCAACCGAGCATCGGCCAGATTCCTGTGAGTACCCTACTACGCCTACTCTGTTCAAACTTAGCATGTGGTTGCTGATTCTCCAAAGGCTGCGTGCTTTGTGAACCTTGTTTCGAGGAGGACGACAAGTATTGCTACGGTTGTGGAGAGGAGCTGTTCGATAAGCCTGACGAAGAACTTCCACATCCGTCAGAACTCGGCCCAGCCTTGATTAAGCACCTCAGGGAGATGTTCTCCGCTGCGCCGCTAGATAATGCGTGAAGGTAGTGATGGCTTCCTCCCGCATACCTACGGGACAGCATAGAGACCAGACCATGAAAACCTGCGAGGGCGACGCAAGTTCTCAAGGCGACGGTCATGTGAGTCCAGCCAACCACGGGAGCAAGCCCAAGGGTTGCCACAACATCTGACAAGTCCGCAGCCAAGAACTCTGCTCATCACACAACGACTCGAAATAAGCAGCCAGGGCCTCGGACGTATAGCGAGACTTCGGCCAGCCGCGAGAGCGATACTCTATGTATCGGGTGCGAGGAGAAGACAGCCAGCTGTAGGACAGGGTGCTGTCAGTACCCCCTATTGAACCCCCTCTATTCAAGCTCGGTATTCAGTCACTGATGAACCAAAGACCACTACTCTTGCCAATCCTGCTTTACCGAGATAATTGACGGAGACGATGATTGCCACGAGTGTGGAGGAGCATGGGTATTCTACAGCCAGTACCCTCATTAGTATAGCGATATCCCAAGGCCAAACGTGGAGGTTCATGCGATAAGAATGCTCAATTAAATGAACAGCGTTATAATATGGTAGAACTCATAGCTCAGTCTTGTATAAGCAGTCAATCGCGGTGCCCCCTAGCACTCAGAGAGAAACGCATCATATATAGAGGTGCTTCGGTCGCTGGTAACGCCATACTTATTCAACTACAGTAGTGACCCCTAAATGTGTCCGCTTTTCGTACTGAATTGCTGTTTCCGCACGGACCAGCTAGCTGTGGCACACTGTGACAAATACCGTGCAGGAAGCCGCACAATAAGCACCTATCAGAATTGAAGTTTACTTCTGGTGGGCTCCTTTTGCAAGAGTGGCTTTAGTCCCAGCTCTCCAGCAATCAACTAAGCCCCCGCTCGAGCCCAAGATTGTGACTAATTATGGACGACTGCGTCCGTTTATCATCATTGCAGCAATTCCATCAACGGCTTTTTCAGTGACATTGAACTGAAATCATGAGCAAATACGGTACATTGTATGGCATCCTGCTACTTATCTATTTCACATGGAGCCCAAAAACCCGCTTCAGCTTATCTCATCGTCTGGTCTTCGACAGGTTGGGTTGTGTTGGATTAGCCAAATGTTGGTCATCCTTCGAAAACGTCTCAGCTTCGAGGGCCACATTCGTAAGCTCGAGAGTCTCCCGCGCTGATTGGACAGCCGGATGCGATGGCCCGAGAACCTTCTCCAGACCACCATGAGCACGTTGATAATATTGCCGGGCTTCGCTCATACGGTTTTGTTCTGAGCGTAAAGATCCCAGGTTCGAAAGGGTGTTAATCGCTGGTCGATATGTCGTAACATTTTCAATCCCAACGGCTTGCTCGTATCCATCGAGCGCCCGTAAGTACATCTTCTCAGCCTCATCCAGCTTCCCCTTACTTTTGTAAAGGAGCCCAAGGTTGTTGACTGTTTGAAGTGTTGATGTGTGATCTGGTCCAAGTGCCTTCTCTTTCCCATCGAGCGCCCGTAAGTACATCTTCTCGGCCTCACCTAGTTTGCCCTTACTTTTGTAAAGGTTCCCAAGGTTGTTGACTGTGTCGAGTGTTGATGTGTGATCTGGTCCAAGTGCCTTCTCGCGCCCATCGAGCGCCCGCAAGTACATCTTCTCGGCCTCACCTAGTTTGCCCTTACTTTTGTAAAGGTTCCCAAGGTTGTTGACTGTGTCGAGTGTTGATGTGTGATCTGGTCCAAGTGCCTTCTCGCGCCCATCGAGCGCCCGCAAGTACATCTTCTCGGCCTCACCTAGTTTGCCCTTACTTTTGTAAAGGTTCCCAAGGTTGTTGACTGTGTCGAGTGTTGATGTGTGATCTGGTCCAAGTGCCTTCTCGCGCCCATCGAGCGCCCGCAAGTACATCTTCTCGGCCTCACCTAGTTTGCCCTTACTTTTGTAAAGGTTCCCAAGGTTGTTGACTGTGTCGAGTGTTGATGTGTGATCTGGTCCAAGTGCCTTCTCGCGCCCATCGAGCGCCCGCAAGTACATCTTCTCGGCCTCACCTAGTTTGCCCTTACTTTTGTAAAGGTTCCCAAGGTTGTTGACTGTGTCGAGTGTTGATGTGTGATCTGGTCCAAGTGCCTTCTCGCGCCCATCGAGCGCCCGCAAGTACATCTTCTCGGCCTCACCTAGTTTGCCCTTACTTTTGTAAAGGTTCCCAAGGTTGTTGACTGTGTCGAGTGTTGATGTGTGATCTGGTCCAAGTGCCTTCTCGCGCCCATCGAGCGCCCGCAAGTACATCTTCTCGGCCTCACCTAGTTTGCCCTTACTTTTGTAAAGGTTCCCAAGGTTGTTGACTGTGTCGAGTGTTGATGTGTGATCTGGTCCAAGTGCCTTCTCGCGCCCATCGAGCGCCCGCAAGTACATCTTCTCGGCCTCACCTAGTTTGCCCTTACTTTTGTAAAGGTTCCCAAGGTTGTTGACTGTGTCGAGTGTTGATGTGTGATCTGGTCCAAGTGCCTTCTCGCGCCCATCGAGCGCCCGTAAGTACATCTTCTCAGCCTCGTCCAGCTTCCCCTTACTTTTGTAAAGGAGCCCAAGGTTGTTGACTGTTTGAAGTGTTGATGTGTGATCTGGTCCAAGTGCCTTCTCTTTCCCATCGAGCGCCCGTAAGTACATCTTCTCAGCCTCATCCAGCTTCCCCTGATCGGAGAACAGATCACCTAGAGAATGGAAAGCCCAGTCCAAAGGAACGTTGCTCTCTTGTACTGTTGAACAAGACCGGATCGCATGCGGTAGTAGTCGCTTCTGAAGGAGCCAATACTCAGCTTCTCTCTTTGATGGAACCTGCGACGCCACACTTTCGACTGCAACCTTGTTTAACCAGCCGTCCCGTTCCTTGTTTAAAATATGAATCGTCCAAGAATGTAGACAGCTATGTATGCTGTACCCCTGTGGCTCCTGAAACATGACTGTGGGTTCGACAAGGCCGTAGTCGTGGAGGACGCCCATAGCTTCATTGAAGTTCAGCTCTTCTGAAAGCTGTTCCATCCACACAAGACCGTCTTCGCTCCTAGTGCGTACAAGATCGAACCATATGTCTTCATTGTTGAAGTAGGCCCACCAACGGAGCAGATGGGCTGCAAGTGGGTTTTGTGCCTGTACCTGCGCATATGACAGCTGCCATGTTGAATTCAAGGTACGATCTGCATAGGATCCGAGATGCAGGGCACCGGTGACTCTAGCCCAAGATTCTTGGTAGTGGCGAAGGTAGTCGCGTGTGCTGATCGGGACGCGCTTCAGATATGCTCCGGCCGTAGCTAGGGCGAGAGGAAGCCCGTCTAGCTTTCGTGCAAGGTCTTTTGCATCGTTATCTAACACACTATTAGTAGCCGAAAATGAAATGACTCGAGACTCTTACCATCTTGTAAGCCATTTCGGCCTGATGTCTTCGACAGTATCTGTAGGCTCTCCTGTTCGGATTCGAGCTTCTTGATTCGAATGTGATGGCCTATGTTGATTTCTGACACCCGTGTTGTAATCACTACTGAGCCTTGATCTGCCATTGGAAGAAACTGGTGTATGTCGACCGTGGCATCAATTTTCCGTCCTGGGAGCTTTGGGTTGTCGTAGTTGTCATATACAATGAGCCATCTCGTGTTGCCGGCCAAGCTGAGCCACGCCTTCACAGCCTGAACAATCTTGTCGTGGTCTTGCTGCAGGTTCAGCCCCTTGAGGCTGCCGGCATCGGCACTCTGTTCGAGGATGTGCGTTGCGATCCTAGCGAAGCTTTGCTGGATGGACGCTTCGTCCTTGATGTTGAGCCAGAAGATGGCCGAGTACTCGTCTCGATACCGCTTGATGTAAGTTGCAGCAAGCTGTGTCTTGCCGATGCCTCCAAGGCCATAGAGCACGACAACGTGACGGCTTCCGTCCGAATGTAGCATTCTTCGTATCTCCTCTACTTCCCCATCTCTTGCCACAAAATTTGGGGTCTCGGGGACGCCCGATAGGCTAAAGGTGATCGAAAAGTCGTTATAGTGAGCGCCTTCGTGTTTCATTTAGTATGGATTCTCTTTTGCTGAACCGCTGAGCCGGCCTTACCTTTTATAGATTTCTGGACCTCTTCCCGCAATCTTCTCTGCGCGCTTTCGCGACCCTCGCCATAGATGAGTGGCATGTGAACGCCAAATATCCCAAGAAGAGAGTATGCCATGTCTTCCTCATACTTCGTTTCCCGGTTGCGTGCCCATGCCTCTCGCTCGGAGGTCGTGAAGTTGGATAACGGTGTATTTCGTAAAGCCCGGGCAGGAATACCTGTCACGTTGCGTATGACAGCCTCCAGTGACTCCTTACCGCCCAAGAAGACACCTTCTTTTGAGTAGAACTCAACAATCTGCGGGGCGATGAGCTCTTGAAGTGTCCAGCCACGCGTGAACCACCGACTGTTTCGGAAGACCGACTCCCACGATGCCACGCCTGGCTGCTGACTGGAGGTCGGAGGACCGGATGTCGATGGACAAGAGACGTCGGACAGGAACACGTAGCATCGCTTGGCGCCACGGTACCACCTGAACATACTGTTGATAGCAGTCTGGAGTTCGATGGCATCAGATTTGTCAATACAACAGGAGTCTACCCAGAAATGCTGCAGGCCATGTCGCTTAGCCTGATCGGCGCAGAATTTGATCTTTTCGTAGCCGGCTTTCTGTTGCCAGTCATTTGAGCTCGTTTTGACATCGGCGTAAATGACCTCGTCGGCGCCCCAGGTATGGGAAAGGATTGCGTAGGGGGGGATGTCGTCAGCGCGCAGATCGTCCGTAAGGGTGTAATTGTTAGCATTATCTCGTTGCAGTAGCCGCATTGCAAATCACTGCCGATGGCATCAAGGGTTCGTCGTTGAGGTGAAGAAATCTCGATCGGCCAGATATTACGCAAAAAGGTCAAATGGGCTTTAGGCATCGGCATCATCACCGTGGAGATAATGGGCGGTCTTAGCCCTTGCGTAAGGCTGAAAGTGCGGGGTAAGGAGGGGCTTCGATATGACAATTACATGGCAAGGCAGACTCATCACCCTCTTGTGACGCTGTATGGTGCATGTCCAACGTAGCAGCTCAAAGTAAGTGCGCTAACTGCACATGCCGCTTCTCCTGATTGAAAAGGTTCGGCTTCCCCGCTTAAGAGGAGTTTAGCCATTATGCGAAGTTGTGGTTGAGGGCCCCAGCATGAAAGGGGTGTGTATGTGCATGGAGAATAGATAATGCGGTTAAACGTCCCATATAAACAGATAAGAAGAGGTCTTTGTTTTTCTCCACGCTATGGTAACATCGTCATACTCTGCCGTCGTCCTGGGATGGGCAAGGCGAAGATTATTCGGCAGTTCGCCATGGCCAAAACTGCAGATACAGTACAGTACAGTAGTGCGACGAACGAATAATCTTCTGTTCGTGCCAACAGCAGCACGAGATGGTGCAATCCACTTTTGGAGCTTCTGGCTATGGACTGTCGGTACAGTGCATCTTACAGTGCAAAACCGTTACTGGTCCGTGCGGAGTTGTTTTATAATGCTAGGAAAGCGGACACAGTTCGCGGTCACCACTGTACCACTACGAGCTATGTTATAGTAGGCGGCTGCCGGATCGGACGTCGAATGTCGCATCTGAGTCTCAGTACGTAGCTTCAAGTTTATTTTATCATCCAGAAATGGATTGCTTTGGTGATATCTAAGATTGTCGAAGCGGGGGGGAGGGGGGGAGAGAATGTATAAAAAACAGGGCATGCTTACCTGTTCACTGAGTCCCTGACTGGCAATGATCGGAGCAGTCCAGTACCCCGCGCTACTTCACACGTAATCATCGGCATGCTACTTATTGCTCCCGCCGCTTCCACTCTTGCCACTCTGGTTCAACATGTCCAGGCGCAGACGACTTGCAGCACCTGGATATATTCCCCCGATCCGACGATCTGGAACGTTATTTGTCAACCTGTCACTACAGGTCACCCTTTAGTAGGCACTGCAGCGTCTCATGCACCCATGAGTCAATCGAACCCGGGAGACTCCAATGTTACATATACCCAGCCGCATTCAAGGTCGAGGATGGGAGGTGGAATCCACAACTCTACACAGTCCACAGACTCGTCCACGAAGAGCCGTCTGATTCCCACAGCTGTACCACTCGCCGCTGAGACTACTCTCCAATCTGTCAGCTTCTGCTGCACTCAGTAGTATATAGTCCGCTCGTTGCAGGCTCATCATAGGGCGTGTTGAGTGTCTTCAAGGCGTTCGGAAATGATGAAGAAAGGCTCGCTGTTCAGCTGGAGTTAGGTGCAGCCTCCCTGATTCCTATTCGTAGCAAAGCTCTGATATCGATTTCTAAATGGACAAGAGTCGTGCTCAGTTGAGGGAAATGAGTATCGGGACACACTGTGGCAATGTTCGAGGAGCTCGGAGATGAGGAATGGACGCAAAGCTGGCTACCAGGCAGTCCCGTTGTTCTCGTTACTTCTCGGGGTAATCGTCGTCAAGAACGCGTGGAGGTATCTAATAAGGGGGGAAGCATATGTGACTGGGCACAACCTGTCTATTTTGAGCGTTATTAGATTATTGCAGCTTGCTATACACGGGTGATAGTCCTTGATACGTCCTGATTGCGTGATACCGCTCATTTGCTCAAATGCTAATGTATATCTCGCTGTCGAAAACCCAACTGTCTTATACTCTTTTATCTTTCCCCTTAAACCCGAGCTCCTTGATAATTTGTCGGGAAACAGCATTGTGAGCAATATCCACCCGAACAGGTCGTTTATTTCCTGTACGTCTTTGTCAGCTCTATCAACCTCAGTAGGACATGCTCCATTGGGAAGCCTCATTGTTACCTGTCCGATTGCTAGCCCAGACGGCCCAAACGATCCTGGTTTGTCGGGTAACGTGGCGAGCTTCACCAAAGGGCGGGCGGGCGGACGAGATGCTAGGGTTGTGCAAGCGCACATACAAATACAGCTCTTCGTCACTCCTCCGGATACCCTTGGTCCTCGACAACTCCCCGAACGCTTCCCCCCCCCCCCCCCCCATCACACCTTAGGACTATTCCAGAGCCCCCAAATTATTCAAGACATTTTTTCTTCGACTCCCAAATGGACGCGCGAAGTCTCGGGCATAAACTCGATGCTGTCCTAGCAGAAGATGCCGAATTCTACACTCTCTGGCTTGATTCTCTTCTGCCCCAGCTACCAGCAATCCTTCTGCAGTGTTGCGAATGGAAGGGAGAAATAATCATCATTCAGGGCAAGAAGGGCGAGCTTACTAAACAAATTACCTCGAACACCATCGATCACAGGAGAATCACCCTTGAACGCTTAGATGGAAGCAGGTTCCGGCGTCTGGGACAGCCTTCTTCTCCCGCAGTGATGCCTTGGCTAACACTCGTCGAGGCCGTTAAGGCCCAACTCGAGGACGACGAACTTCGCCCGCCGGCTGCATTTACTCTACTGGGGCAAATTCAGACTGAATTACAGAAGCTTGACCCAAATATACGCCAAATATCGAAGAAGAAAATGCTTCAGTTTGAGGCCGTCGCCATCGACGAATTCAAGAGATCAATGCTCTGGTATGAGACGTCATGGAGTGACTCCAGACCATGTGCGATAGAGGTCTTCCACGACGACGGGTTCACCTTCGGCCAATCTCTGCAGCCTCTGCTCAAACCCATTTATGGCAGTGAGTCCCTAGCATACTTGGTTGAGTATGTTTATGTCGGAACTAGTCTCACGATTGCTAACCTATGCGTGTTAGTTCGCCATCTCGTCGCTATGATGCACGAGCATGAGTCTTATAGACAACGTGGCGGCAGCATTGCTTACACGGTGCGGTACAAGTTTATCCGGAAGCTGCTCAGAAGGGACCCGAACGCGCGCATGGAGCTCTTCAAGTCTTCAGAAAGCGTATTAAATCTCGTCAAAAAGCAGATGCGTGCTCATCTCAAAGCAGAAAAGCAGAAGCCTGGTTGGCGACAGGCAATGCGAGACGCAGGCATTTGGGACGACGACGTCATCAAGCCGCCTAAATTCTCGCAGCATGGGACTAAGCTTGAGTTACTTGAAGGATAAAACAGGACCTCTATTTAGCCCTGCACAAGCACCAGGGGTCAAGAGGAAGGCGAAGCTGACCTTGAGTTCAGGCTTTGTACGTATCACTGGACTGTGTACCGCAACCCCTCCAACATCAGTCGAGGGCATAAATAGCTGAGAGGGCGAGAATCTGTATTGGAGTTCTAACCCTAATATATGGAGTCAATATAAGCTGGAAGGACCGCGATCTGCAATGTTGTACTTGTCGAAGCGTCAAGAAGAAACCGCCTATTTGTGGTACTGTACTGTACTGTACTGTACTGTAGACTCCATTGTCCTTGAATTCAGAATTGGCTCGCGCAGACATCAGTCCACTTTTCGTCTCTCACTACTGTACCATCACGCTTTCTTGTGTGATCGATTCAGTTGAGGTTCTTCAATTAACAGCACAGCAAGGAACGCCGCTAATCATTGCTCATCTAAGACTAAGCTATGAGTTTTATTATGGTAGTGGAAATGGGTCCTGCATTCTTCTCCCGTCAGGCCTTGGGAGGTTCGCGTCGGTAAAAGGAGGTTTGTCCGAGTAAGAGAACCACTCTCCTGCACACCCCTCGCAATACTCGTCCTCCATACTGGAGATGAAGCAAGAAGGACAATGAAAGCAGCCTTCGGAGGATTAGCGGCTGACTGCTGAGGTTGAACAGACTAGGTTCATAAGGGTACTGACAGTATGCGCAATTTGTCCTAAACTTGGCTGGTAACGCACATGAGATACAGTTGAAAGGTCCTGATTGATTATTCTGAGCGTTTGTGCGACGAGCAGATTTCTTGGCTACGGCCTTGGCAGATGTTTTGCACACCCTTGGGCAACGTTTGGGCTTTCGTGAACGCTGTGGTTGAGTTCCGTGAGGACGCGTGGCTCTAGACCCCGTGATTGCTTGTAGGATTTGGTGAAATGGCTTGCTCTTCATTGTGGGCTGGTGTAGCGAAGCCTCGCTAGAGGTTTGCGACTTCTTGAACGTAGAACGCAAGATTACTCGTGGTGCGATGGCGAAGATCCTCTGAGGTGATGAAAGGGAAGGAATCCTGTTCGTGAGGAACGGGCCTCGACGGCTTCTTATACAGGTTTCGAGCTGGGATGCGCAATCCAAATCTTGAGGGGCAAGGCTACCTCAGTATTGTCATCCTGGGAGAGCGTGAACTAACTAGAGCCTGTGACTGTGGTCAAAGCAACGGGACCGGATCGATGATGGCTATCGCAACACACAATCTACTTGCGACATTGGCCCTTGAGCGCTGCGTGAGAAGGCATCTGGCGGTGCAAGGACGATGGTGCAGCAGCACTTACATGCGATCCAAGTCCTGTCTGGCCCATCAACGCTGCCCAGCCTGCCGTGCTCACGGCTTCCGAGGTTGTACCCAGGTACCTGGAGCCAGGTACGGCGCCTCGCGCTCGTGGTGATGCTGCCTCTGCCACAAGCTCGTGTACAGTAGTGACCGCGAACTGTGTCCGCTTTTCAGACTTTAGTTGATGTTCCCGCACGGACCATAAGACTGTGGCGTATTGTGGCGCACACTGTGCAGCATGTCCCATATCAAGTACCCTCCAAAAGTGGATTACGGTATGACATGCATCAGTTGGGGCTGTTTTCTTCGTCACCCCATCTGCTGTAGTGGCCATCACGAATCGTCGGCCAATGTTCGCCATGCCCTTCGCAAGATGACGGCAAAGTATGACGCGACAAACACAATGCAGAGCATTAAAAGCCATTTTGTGCCTGTTTATAGGAATACTCGTGAAGTGAATATCTATAGTAGTGTCCACTGGATATGTCCGGCTTTCGAAGTTAATGGCTGTTTTTGCACGAACCAGCCGGGTGTGGCGTGCTATAGAGTGTTGCTTCATAATCGTCCACGTCAGAACTAGACAGTACTGTATTTCAAGCAGCAAATGGCCTTCATAATGAGGTCGTTCGGTACGCGTCTCCTTTCAGAATTACCTTCCGGCCCTTTCGTTAAGGGGTGGGATGCAGCCAGATTTCATGTACAATAACTCCGGAAAGAAGTCCACTCTCTCTCTAGTTGAGACTTTATGCATGAATAAAGCTGAAACTTGATTATTGTCCCAGATGCGATCCACTCTATGGTGCAGCAGACTCCCCGTGCTTCGTTGTCTAAATTTGCATGCTACTCATAGCCTTTATGAGCCTCTCGATGGATGCATGCCTGCTTATAGTAGTGTCCTTGTTGTGCCCCTGGTCATCGCCATCTGGGACCGGGGTGTTGCTGTCGATATTCTCATTACACGATTCGAGTTGCATATGTTTCCGCTAGCAATTCTGCGGAGAGAACGCGCTCAGGGTCGTCCTCGGCATAAATCTGAGCTTCAACAGCAACGACATGCTCGAGCATCTCGATTGCCTCCTTGATCCGTCGGTCTTCGAGGTATGCACTCGCAAGCATATGCTCCGATGCTAGTCGAGAATGATCCTTCTCGTCCAGTGTCTCCCCCCGTGTCGCTACCACATACTCGAGCATCTCGATTGCCTCCTTGATCCGTCGGTCCTTGAGGTATGCCCCCGCAAGCATATGCTCCGATGCCAGTCGAGAATGATCCTTCTCGTCTAGTGTCTCCCTCCGCATCGCTACCACATGCTCGAACATCTCGATTGCCTTCTCGATACGTTGGTCTTGGAGGTATGCCCTCGCAAGCTCGTGCTCCGACGCTAGTCGAGAATGATCCTTCTCGTCCAGTGTTTCCCTCTGCACCGCTACTACATACTCGAACATCTCGATTACCTCCTTGATCCGCCGGTTGTTGAGGTATGCCCTCGCAAGCTCGTGCTCCGATGTTAGTCGATCATGATCCTTCTCGTCTAGTGTCTCCCTCTCCACCGCTACTATATGCTCGAATATGTTGATCGCTTCGCTGATCCGTCGGTCGTCAAGGTATGCGCTCGCGAGCCAACTCTTAACATTCTCCTCCGATAACCCTTGCCCTATATCACCTTGTTTTTCCCAACGACACACTTCTTCGAAGCATCGTATTGCTTCTTTAAACCGTCGGTCGGTATACATACATCTCCCAACACTAAACACAAGCTCATATCGCTCATCTGTCTCCGAAGCCTTAGTGTCATGAAGAAGCCGCATTGCGTGTGGCATACACTGCCGCCACCGCTTACGGTTCTCCCGATCGTTTGAAGGAAATATATCGTTGAAGCGACGAATAGCATCATAGGCTACCCGCTCGTGCCGACCCTGCGTTTTAAGCCATTCCCGCGTGGCCAAATGCACAAGACTGTGCATATCGAATATATCGTCGTCTCCTCGCCGAACAAGAAACGAAAAGCCGCAGAGGATGCCGATCGCCCATTCCGTCTCCTCTGACTCTGACCCGGGCATGATCCATTGTGGTATCGCCTTCGGCTCAATGTATGCCGTGAACGAGAGCAGATCGATTGCAATTGGATCGGACTTCAGGACCTGTTCGAATGAAACAATCCATGTTGTGGCTATAGCGTTATGCGAGTTCCGATATCTTGTGCTGTCGCGAAATTCTCGACCTAAGAGCCGGACGGCATCTTTCTCGGCCCCACGAAGTAACCCTAGGTATTTACGGATTGGTACCTTGGTTTGATTGAGATATGCTACTGCCTGCGTGATTGCGAGCGGAAGATAGGTCAGTTGGATAAGAAGATCTTCCACTAGTGCTTCGTCCTGGGGTGTCTGTCTCTGCGTGAGAGACTTCTGGAGAAGTAGTGTTGCCTCGTTCGAGTCCATTTCCTCAATGTCGACAATATTGGACTGCGTGAACTGCACAGCAACTTGTCTCGATCGCGTCGTTAACAAGATCAACCCGTTCTCGCTCTCAGGAATGTACTCCTCGATACCGGCCTTGTCGTCAGATCCGAAGAACAGCTCCTGGTCGTCAGCGTTATCAATTACCAACAGCCATTTGCCGCCTTTGTCCGAGCTCAGATATTGGCGAACCAGTTACTTGATATCTTCGTCGTCGGTCTTCTTCTGGACACCTAGCTTCCTGGCGATTTCGACGTACGCCTGTTCTACGCTACTATGGCTCAGGACTGGCACCCAGAAGATAGAATAGTCGGGTCGGCTTTCTTTGATATCGTAAGCAAACCGTAGCGCAATCTGCGTTTTGCCGATGCCGCCTAGACCAACCAGTGCTATTCGTCGGGTTTCCTCTCGCGTAAAGAATGTTTGATTCAATGTGTCCAGGACGGTATTTCGACCAGTAAAGCGGGCGTTCTTAGGAAGCTGGATATAGTAACATGGAAGAGCAGATTCTGCCAATAGTTAGTAGGATGCTAATTAGAGTGATACCAGCTTTTTGTAGCACTCACCGTTTGATCTCATAGCCCTTGTAGTGCCATCCGTACTACTTGTACTTTTAGCAGGAGATATCTCCCTCAGCACCGCTTTCGCATACGCAGCCGCCATCGCCGCTGCGTACGGCTGCCACTCTTTGTTTTTCTGCTGGTCGCCATAGTCGCAAACCCCCCGGATAACTCCCACGGGAATTCGGTTCATCGTCCCTGCCGCCTCCATCTCTAGGCCAATAACCCCGTACTTGTCCCTGAGCTCGTTCCGTCTCTGCGCATTTTTCAATAGCTTATCTCCCGATCCGATCGGCCCGTACCATACTCGTGTACGGGCTGAGTCTGGTCGTTGGACTCGTTCGACGAGTTCGTCCGGTCTGCCCTCGTTGGTCGAGTAGAGCCTGTCGCGGTCTTGCCCAGGGTCCGTGAAGGTGCCGTTAGCGTGCTCCCGGTCACGGATCTTCTCGTAGTAGGGAAGGAAGATCGCGGCATCGTTTGGTGCTTGGATTTTGATCCTCCCGATTGCCGACCGCACTATCGGCTTCGTCGTGGTCAAGACGTGTCCGTACCGTAGGGGTTGAAATCCGTCGTCGGTCTCTTTGCCGAGATCGTACGCGATGATCCCGGCTCTCTCGCCCTCAGGGAGACTGACCAGCACATCGCCGAGGCGGATATCGCGGGGTGGGTTACAGGATAGGTCTGGCAGTCCCGCCGCGACGCCAACCAGTAGTCCAAACCAGTGATGGGGAAAGCACTTGAGAATCTGGCTTGCGAGTGCTGCCGCCGACCCTGTGCCATACTCCTGGCCAGCTGGGAAAGTCGCTATCACGACATTGTGGCCGCACATGCTACCCGCGTGGAACACGTATTCATCGCCATGATCCACTGCAAATCGGCCTTGGTGTTGCTCGTCGAGCATATATAAGGCGGCCTTGGCTTCGATCTCGAGGGGTGCAATCCAGACGACAGCATAGTCCTTGGGGTCGAGGATAGCTGCGGGATCACCCTGTGATGTCGCCATCCCGTCTAGTCGAGAATGAGGTGGCTTTTAGCGCGTAGTTGACAGACAGCACTCCCGTCCAGCGTCCGTGCTGACGATTACCTCTGGAAGGTGCCCGACCACAGCGCTGTGCAGCCTTGGATCCGCTTTGCAATCCTGCCCGAAAGTGGGGTGGGGTCCTCTTTACCCCGCTTCAACGCCACTGAAGACAACCATTCAACGATCCTAGTTCCACGATGAGCCTTTCACCTCCGCAAAAGCGTTCGGCACCATCTACATTGCTGCTGCCTTCGAGGGATCTTCCAACCTCTGGTCCTGGGCCGCAGTAGGAATTGTCCGGAGTCTCTGCGCCGCATGATGATTTGTGTGAGGATTACTTCCTGATAAGCATATGTAGAATAGACATTCACTATCAAAGTACCCTGTACTGTATAAACAGACACAAATTGGCCTTTGATGCTATGTGTTATGTTTGCCACCTCATACTTTGCTGTCAGCTTACGAATGGTATGGCGAAGATTGGCCGATGATTCGCGATGGCCACCACTGCAGATGGGGCGACGAAGAAACAGCAACTGCTGCATGTCATGTTGAAATCCACTTTTGGAGGGTACTTGTTATGGGACAGTCTGCACAGTGTGCGCCATAATGCGCCACAGTTTATGGTCCGTGCGGGAACATCAACTAAAGTCTGAAAAGCGGACACAGTTCGCGGTCACTACTGTACAGTCGAATTCGAAATCGGTGTCCACTTTTGCTAGACGCAACCGTCTTTGCAGACCTCCTGGTCTTGGTGGTGCCATGTGAGTGGAGCCACAAACAAAGCTGCCTGCAGATAGGTGGGGCAGTCACGACAGCCACTTTAGGCTGCAGGTCAGATTGTTCCAATTTTCATCCACGGATCATACACTACTGTATTGGTGCTATGCTAGAGGGTGGAGCTCAATGTTGATGCGAAATATATACTAGTACTTGCTTATTCTGCTGCGTTGTTTGCCACTTTACCATGCACAAAGGAATTGAGGGGTGATGCTGCGTTCGTGTTCTCGAGCACCTCCACCGCCAGCCCTTGGATCACTCGTTCAATTCAGTATATCTGGTCTTTCTACACGAGGAAGTCCTCTGAAAGCCCAGCAGCAACATCTCTACCGACAGTATCCTGGCTAAAGCGCCTAGACCCCGCATTTCGGAAGACATAAGGTTGACGGCGATGCGGCTAAAGCCTGGCCAGTTCAGGCCAATTTTCGCTTTCGCGAGCATCATTTGCTTTGCCCTGTGGGCCCTTCTTGTCCCCTGCGCTCGCAAAGGGATCTTTTCCATCTCGATCGGCCTTGCGCCTCGTGATGATAGCTCAAACATATCCATAAGGGATGCTCTGTACAATGACACACTCGGTGTGAGTCTCAAGTAACGCATGCTGTTGCAACATATACCTCCTAAACCATCTTGGGTCCTACTAAACCTTTTCCGAATCGAATAATAGTTCACTAAAGTCATCGCTATAAGCCTTCCCGAGCGCACCGACAAGCGAGATGCCCTTAGCCTCAGCTCAGCCCTTACAGGGTTCAAAATCACCTGGCAGGATGGCGTCAAAGGCGAGACCATACCCGACAAAGCCTTACCAGTTGGCTGGAACCGTAAAGGAGGCGCAAAGGACGCGAATGTAGGATCCTGGAGGGGCCACATCAATGCAATGAGACGTATCATCGACGATGATCTACCGTCGGCACTGATAGTCGAAGATGACGTGGACTGGGATGTGAATATCAAATCTCAGCTTTATAGGTTCGCACTGGCGGCAAGAGAACTGCAGACTGAGAGAAGCTGGCTTCACGAGGATCCGTATCTTCACAAGAATAATCCCAATCCTGTGGCGCAATCCCCGTATGGCCAATACTGGGATCTGCTCTGGCTCGGATCATGCTAAGCCTCTTTCAACGCGGATCTGCCAGAAGACCTATCGATTCCCAAAGACCAACAAGACAATCGCCAAGTACTGATAGAGAACGATGACACAGTGCCCTCGCGGAAACACCGATCAGGAAATAATCGCTTCGAATGGGACGCATATCCGAACAACACGCGCATCGTATATGTCCAGGGCGATCACATTTGCACCTACGCCTATGCGCTGACACAGCTAGGTGCGAGAAGGGCGTTGGAATACATGTCGCTCAGAGGTCAACACAAGAATTTTGATCACCACTTGAGTGATCTTTGCCGCACGATGGGAAATGGAATGCGGTGTATTGGGATTGTGCCGAGCTTGTTTGTACATCATCGTCCGAGAGGGTTGGTTAGTGGTGACTCGGATATTGGATATGGTGCCACAGCTGGCGCTGCGAGTCCTGCATTCAGGGAGACTGGCAGTACAAACGGTATCTTGTATAGTACGAGATTGAATTTGCAGAGGCTGCTTAGGAGTGAGAAGCCAGAGATGCAGTGGGATGATTAGCGACGGGGAGTTGCTCAACTATCCACCTGGAGCAAGTCACGAAATCCAAAACGCTTGGGAATCACAATTGCTTGACATAGACGAGGCATGTTATCGCGACGAAAGTAATGGGCTGCTAACTCTGCACGAGCTGGCTGGCAAGTGTTCACTGTGCGTTTTGGGGTACTAGACATATTAGCCACCACTGTAACACCCAGGAGCCTTGAATCTAGTACTGTTACCTCTGTACAATGATGCACTACGTAGTCTTCGGGGAGCTCCTAAGGTCTTATGCTCGATGACCTGAAGTAGATAGCATAGCCTCTAATAAAGACATCCGGTCAACTAGGCATGACACGAGGCCTACAGGTGGTGGGTTGATTCTATTGGGCATGCCATTGCTTCAATCGTGCAATGCAGGTAGCTCGACAGCTTGAGGGATGTCCAATCGCCTGAGTGCCATTCGGACACCAGCCGTGCCTCTCAGCAATGATGGTCGATCAGAACTCTAAGGGCAATCGCAAGATACGGCGGTCGCGATGCAAAGTCACTCTTGGGACGATCGCGACGATACCCAAAAGCGAGGAGGGTCTTCTATCCCCTCCCATGGACAACTGCAAGTGCGGCTGTGTGGCGACCACTGATGCTCCATTGCACGTCCTGGTGATGCCGGGCTGGGATGGGTCCCTTCGGGCCAGGCGTGGACAGGTTCGCGGCCCCAGGCGCCAAAACAGGATTACGCGCGGCAAAAAAAGGCTCCAGCAACCGAGGCAGACCAGGGGCCCACTTGATAGCCGCCCTTGAGAAGGGGTCCAGCGCGCTGCGGCGCACTAGTGACATGGACCAAGACGACCTTCGGTGCATGCTCTCATTTGCGTACAGTGCCGAGATGGTCCCAAGATTCGGGCGCCTCGTGAGCGCGACTGGATGCGCAGCCAATAGCACAAGACCCTGAAGCAGCGTCAGAGCAAAGGAGCGCGTGATGCGATTGGCTCCTTGGCTAGCTGCGCGTTTCGCACTGGAACGTAGTGTACGGGGCACGGGCTACGGCGAACAAGGGCTAGAGGCGTTGAGGACCGAAAGCTGTCACGGCTGGTGCCTCACCAAAACATTACATATGAACCTGCATCTCCTGGTCGTCGCGGTCATCGCCAGCGCGCAAGCCGTCGACCAGTACCACCACCCCCTCAATCGAGAGCTGCACCAAGCGCTTCCTCCTCACAACCGACCAGCATGTCAACCAAGAGCTTCCCCGTTGAGGGAAACGCGCTGAGTGAAGCACTCGAAAAGTTCGCGAGCCGGAACGCGAACCGCACGCCTTCTCGTTCACTAAGTCCGCGGCCAGACGATGTAGCCTAGCAGTGTCAAATCCTCTACAATGGCCGCTCCGAAGAGGAAATCTACCGCCTTCGCAGCAGTATCAGCGACACAAAGTACTGGGACATAGAAGCCTCAAGCCTCTTGCGGTTGATCAAGGATAAGCGCGCGGCAGCACAGCAGCTCAGGACCTTCTCGTTGCTCAAGGCGCTGACTCCCGCAAGGCCAGGTCTGCAATCAAGGACAAGAGCTACTGGAGACGCGAGAAAGACCATCTGGAGTGGGAAGCCCGTCTGAAGCGGCAAGCTGGTGCCCAGGAGCACAAAGCCGATGACTCAGACAAAGAGATGGTGCTCGGAGAGGAGAGCGGTTCGCTGTCTGTAGGCAAAGCGCCACTGAGCGAGACGAGCGTGCTTAGATCTAGAAACCAATGACACGTACTTGCGGACACTGCGCAATTTGCCTAGACAAAAGGTTTCGCAGCTTTCTTGTTACTCTTCGTCGGGACATCAGTGATTGTCGCTGACGTCATCTACATGAAATGGTGGCAGAAGCTCCTCTTGCCCTGACTGCAATGAGCATCGTGATTCCAAAAGGTGTAGCTCCATGTGGCGGCCAGTGCTGCTTGCCTCCGTCACAAGCGGGGCTACAGTGGGATACCAAGATGATATGCTATTGAGCTCCAACACTCGACGTCCCTCTGCAGCTTCGTCATTGTCCTGCAGAAACGCCCACGCTACCGACTTGGGCCTCCTGGGCACTGCTGGAGCAAGGCATCATCGCGAGACATCATTAAGCGGAGGGCGGGTCTGGAACTGGCGTGGCAGCCCTCCTCAGCCTGGGGTTTTCCAAGTGGCGCGCCTCATTTTCACGCTTAGGCGGTGATCTCCAGCAGGACATGCTTCTCGTTAGAAGGTAGCAGTTGGGCAGGGGCACTGAGCCACCCCACCCCCCCCTAACAGCGCAACTACAGCGCCCTGGCCCACTACAAGCCCCGTCCCCAAGCCGCCTCAGTGGGTGCTCTAGTGGCCTGGTGCCCTGTAGTGACTGCCCCAGCGGCAGCACTTTTGTTGTTCAGTGGCGCCCTTGCAGCGCTAACTGAGCCCCTCCCAGATTGGCCTTCTGGCTTGCTGCGCGTTTTGCACTGAAACGTGGTGCATGGCGGCGCACGGGATGTGGCAGATAGGGCCTACAGGCGCTGAGAACCTGCGGCTGACTCACCAGCCATGACGGCTGGTGCATGAAAGCATTTGCACATCAATCTGCATCTCCTAGCCGTCGCGGTGCTCATGAGCACGCGAGCTGTCGACCATGACCACCCCACCTCCAATCGAGAGCTACAAGAGGTACTTCCTTCTGACAATCAATTATATCAACTAAGAGTTTCACCATTTATGAAAAGGCGCTGAGTGGAGCACTCGCAAAGATTGCGAGCCACGATGTGAACCGCACACCTTCTTGCTCACCAGGTCCGCAGCCAGACTAGACTGGCACCATCCTTTGCCAGCTGACCATACCCGGCTGCATCAGCGCTGGACTAGGACCTTTGTGACGCACCTCTGTACCTGGTGTCAGATACGGCGCGTCGCGCAAGTGCCGACGCTACCTCTGCTCTTGCCAACTACCGAACACGAGACATATCAACATATTTATGCTCGGGTACAGCATCGCCAATCGTTCGGTATAAGTAGCTCGTCCGCGTGAGGGTCGTCCAACCGCCTGAGTCCAGCAACAATGTCTGACCAGAGCCCTCAGAATAATTGCGGGATACCGCGTTTGCGATGCAAAACCCGGCACGACAAAGCTGATAACGGGTCACTCTTTGGACAATCGCGACAATGCCTACAAACGAGAGGGGTCTTCCACCCCCTCTTATGGACGACTCAACACCTACACCAGCTTAATTTCAAGTTTCCGGAATCTCTTGAGGAGCAAGTATACGCTCAGACGAAGCCAGCGCACAGGATCAATCCACAGGACATCCCCCCCAGCGCCATGCAGGCAATCAGCCAACTCGACATCCTCCTTAAGGATGGCACTGAAGTCGAGTTTTCTGAAAGGGGAGATGCGCTTTCCTCCGTGCTCAAATCGCTATGCCGTTCGTATCGACTTGAGAGAAGGATGAGCACAGGCTCCGGTGTCAGTCTGGATTTGAAGGTCGGTTCAAGGACACATTCAGGCCTCGTCTCTATCCAAGCCTTGTGGGAGGCGACAAAGCGCGACACCAGTCCACGAGACGAGATCTTCGCAAGGAGAATCCTGAGCCCAGTATGTACTGTAGCGCTGCCAATCTACGCCATGCATCCGCCAATTACTAATTAATCAAGGTGAAAGAGAGAGTCATAGTCGCATATGTCGATCGGCGTGCTGTCCGAACAAGGCGTGAGGAACGCCGAAGACAAGAGAGATCCTGGAATCGCGGACCATTCCCGGCTGTGGACGAGAACCGAGATCCATACATTGTAGCCACTATGATCGCATCGGCGCAGCAAACGGAAAGGGGCAGCGGTAGCTCCGTAGTGGTCATAGACGTTGCTACAGAGGATCCTCAAGTGGTAGCTGGCACTTTCGGAGGTCGTCGTGGAGGAGAACAATCCTCTCCACGCTTTCTAGTTCATTCCGCATACATTCCCGCGAGATACTTTCAACTCTTCGAAATCCCGTACAAGGCTCCAGAAAGGCTGCCGATAGTCCAGGTACGAAGTCAATCTGTACAGATATGGCCTTACCGCGAACGGGAAGGTCGGCTTCAAAACATTCTCGACCAGTCTCTGGCCAGTGCAGCCCGGGAACGGGACAAGGTATACGAAAGCCCTACACCGTGCCCTAGCGAAGACTGACAGCTGCATGTTCCGTAGGAGGAGTTCATACGATGTCTTGTCCTATCAGCCCAAGATGGCCTCTCGCTGCTTCTCGCTATGGCCATCGATTATGCTAGATACAACCCAGTTACGGCAGGTAAGATATCCGCATCATGTACGCTTGGCTGGCTCTTTGATAACCATAGCATTCTACAGACGAACACGGTAGCCAAGATGAAGAGAGCGACATTATCGGCCCCATAAGGCGCAAGTACGATTCAAAGACTGTCGCAGACTGGGCTTTTCAAGGTGCGTATAGGAGAATAGCACTCTGACAAGTAAGCTGACCGAACGACAGCCTATCGGGCACTGTCATCTGCAAAGGATGGTGCGACACATGTGGCCGTTACAGACAAACAGGATGCGGGAAAGCTAGAGAACGTGGGTCACGAAGTGAGGACGAAACAGCCGCGAACTAGCCGAGACTGCGACGAAGGGACGCAACGATCAAGTAAGAGACCAAGATGTATTTGACAGGCTTGAAATGCACGGTGCCTGATGCATCGCACTGTGCCTTGCTCGGGGGCGACATAGCTCATGTTAGTCCCGGCCCACAGAGCTATCGCAAGACGAGTGCACAAACCGCTGTTGGAACTTAGTTCTTCAATGCGCTCGTGAATTGATGCTTCATCCCTCTTCTCATCCTCATTAGGACGCGGCCGTACTTTCCGGACGCCAATCATTCGATACGTGGCTGGATCTTGCTTCTGACCCGGTGTCTGCAGCTGGGCGAGGGGCGACTACTAGCCTTAAGATCGAGGAAGAAGCCACATCCGTCCCTGGCACCCGGATCGAACTCCTACGGCATAGTATGTATTGATTCTTGCTCGTGCCAGGATCAGGCTCAAGCGCGCACATATCGCAGATCGGCGTGCCAAGCGTGTATATTGAGGCTACCTGCTCGGTCTCCAAAGTCCTGGTCTAGGGGATGTGATGAGCGGTGTCCAGTGGCCGGCATGTACATCCACGGATCGAGCAATGTGACAGTGAGGGCATCTGAAGGATACTTAGATCATCATTTATTTCGACTGATCCCACAAACCCGCTCAAATGAGATAGCCTTTCAGCTTAAAGGCAAAGACCTCAGGGCCGCGCTCAGGGAGGCGTTCAGGTCCCGAATCTTGATTCGTTCGCTCGGAAGATTGTGAAGCATCTGGGCAACGATGGCAAGGGGTGGATCATCCTTAGGAAGATTCTTACGCGTCTCCTCCACCTTCGCCAACCACTTCTCATGAGCCGTCCTCGCCCTCTTGTCTTTCTCGTTCTCGGATTGAGGGTTTTTGAGCACGGCATCCTTGATAGCCCAACCGCTTGAGAGATCAGGGAGGGAGAATATTCCGTAGACATATAGCATGACTATCCCGAGGGCCCACACGTCCGATGCGAACCCGCGGAAGCCATCGTTCAATAACTCTGGAGGGGTGTACCAGGGGCTCCCACTTGCATGATAAGTGTATGGTCCGGGCCGAGCCAAGCCGAAGTCAAGCAGCTTCGCAACCTTCCCTTTGATATATACGATGTTGGCAGGCTTGATATCATTGTGGATCACTTTGTGCTTCCTGATATATCTCAGCGCGGCCACGATACCAGAGAAGATAATCTCGGCATCCGAACGACGACCCAGAAAACTCTGCTTGTCATCACGCCACGTATCATGACTGAGGTTGTTGCCAAGGACGAGTTCGAAGACAAGTAGGTTGTGTCGAAAATCCCACGCGATTAGTCTCACGATATTGTCCTAGAGCAAGAAGTCAGTCATACGAATTTTTAGCCAGTGAAGGTGTCCTTACAGAGTTGAATGCGTGCTGAATAGTCCCTTTGACGTAGCATGCTTTCTCAAGAAGCAAGATCTGTGGCTAAAGTTGCACCCGATGTACAACCTCGTTCAGGTGCCAATCCACGGCGTAGAAGAATTCCGCAAATTCGCAGATAAAACAGCCAACGAAGCGGACTCGGAAGAAGATTTCCACAAAAGGATGCAGCTACACAAAACCCAATCGTTGAAGGGACTCAACAAGGCTCAGCAGTCGATCAAGGCTCACGCGAACATGGATAGAAACACTTTCGAGTCCAATGACACCTTAGAGGCTTTCCGGGTCTGGTGTTACAACGGCAGATCAATGAGCGACTTCGTCCCCGTCCTTTTTAGTATGCTCGATGACAAGGGGAAGGGAGCTGTCAAGCAACAATTGGCTGAAATCTTCCACCGCACTGGAAACCACCAAATACTCGATATTCTCCAACAACTCGACCAAACACCACCAAGCAAGACGATGGCAGATGGCACACCCTTTGGAGAAGAGCTGAGCAACGAGATGCTCGATGACGAGGGGAACAGAGCTGTCGAGCAACAAGTGGCCGAAATCAGTCACTGGACTGAGAACCACCGAACAATCGACCGCCTCCCACAAGCCGACCAAACACCATTCAGCAGAACGGTCCCACACACGCACAAATACGGCCTGCGGTCAACTGGCAGAAGTTCGCGCGTGGAGAAAGCCACGACGACATCCCGGCGGTCTCGAGCACCACCACAACGGAGAAGCCCACGGAGCAAACGATGAGAGAGTGCATTATCCTTGCACAGCGAAATCTGATCCGTCGATCGACGAGGCCTTGTATCCATGGACATTCGTTTTTCCTAGCGACTCCTTCCAAGTCCACACCTCCAGAATCTACATAATTTTCTGTGTTGTCATCGCCACACAGCTGGCGGCAAGCAGGTCGTATGCACTGTGGTGCCGCCACCATCAGCATATATGCCGAGCTCCCTGCTGAGGTCTGTATTCCACTTCAACACATGACGACCTTGTTGCGTCGCATGCGTGCTGAGACGATAGACTGCCGGGCGACACGAAGAACCCAAATGGCTGACCACGATGGACTCACTAGGCGCAATGCACCGACCTCAATCCGCCCGAATGTCACCGGAAGAGCATGTTGCACCTGCGGCACTAGGCCAATGTCATCTTCCATGCATAAGCCTCGTCTTCGAGATGGTCAGGTGCGCGACACATACAAGAATCGCCGTGGCACGCATCATCAACAAGCCCCCAGCTGTTGGCAACGTGGCTTCCACTGGTCGCTGTCAACACGCCTTGTTGCATGCGTCCTGTTTCTCAGGACGTCAACAACGAACCAGATCCCGCGTCTCGAGGGCCACACTCGCCATTCGGATAACACTCGGCAGCGGAGTCGTTTCATGCTAAGGAGACTCGTGTCGCAACCACGAGGGCCTCAATTCCTGGCAGACGTCGGACCCCGGCCGTGACTGTCCTCGACTTGGCTACCTCGTCAACTGCGACATGCATTTTTTCAAGTCACGGGGTTGCCAACGAAGTTGCGGGATCGAATGACTCGTTGATGTATCAGTGGTGCGTCGCGTCGCGTCCATTCATGGGCTGCTGTGGAATCACCGCTCCTCTCGGAAGAAGTGGAAGCCCAGGTTCTTGCATTAGCTGGGCTCCCTGACTCGGATCAGACAGCGCATGTCAGGTTGTCAGTCGCAAGGGAGGCAGTTTTCAGGTCAAAATGCAAAGGTTGCGCACCCAGGCGTCTCTGGCCCAGCTCAGACCTACACTCTTACGTGTCGAGCACGGACACTTGTGTACATAGACGTGATCCTTTTAGTCATTCAGAATTGTAGATGCAAAATATGACTAATACCTAGAGGGTATCTACTCTTGATAGTGCGCCTGCGTCTCAGCTGGCCAGAAGGACTTGGGAGCAGCGCGTCAGTGGCGATGTGTTCGGCTCTCGTGTTCACGGTGCAAGGTCCCACACGAAATGAGAGCTGATGACGGGTTAGTCTTTGGACGATCGTGACGATGCCTAAAAACGGGAAGTTTTTTTCATCCCCTCTCATGGGCAACTACAGGTGCTGCTGCCAGGCAACCCTTGCTGCTCTATTGCATGTGCCAGTGATACCAGGCTGGGCTGATAGGCCCCCTGGGCTAGACGTGGCCAGTTCCTGACCCTAGGCGCTGAAGCCCATCGCGCGCGGTAAAAAAAAAAAGGCTGCAGCGACAGAGGCGTAGGGGCTGCTTGACAGCCGCCCTTCGCGCATTGCGGCACACTGATGGCGCGCGAGCAAGACAAAGTATGTTACATGCCGAGGCTGTCCGAAGATCCGGGCGCCTCGTGCGCGCGACTCGATGCGCAGCCAATAGCACGAGGCGCTGGAGTGATGCGACAGCGCAGAAGGGCGTGATATAATTGGCTGAACGACGTCCGGCAGAGCGCCCAGTTTCACAAGCTCATGGTCGTCCTGGTTTGGAGTCTGGCGTAGCGATGGCCGTGGCCAGAGCCAGAGCCATAGCCGAAACGCATCACATCCGCACCAGCACAAGAGAGAGGACGATCGCAGCAGCCAGGCAGAGGATGCGCTTCACCAAAGCGAGGCCGAGCATCCCGTTCGACCGGCCAAGTCCCCGTGGCGCTCGCCCGCCCCAGCCAGCCCAAGCCAGTCCAAGCACCTCGTCATCATCACCCACCACCATCCATTAATCATCCCTGTGGCAATTGGGGTCGCCCTTCCACGACACCCCTTGCCCGCGCGGATTGCCCTATCAGCTGCCACCCGTCTCGTCTGCTCGGCCCCCGGCTAATAGAGGGCCTGCCTAGCAAGCTAGGCACCCCTTCAGGGGCTATGGTGAAGAGGGGTTAGAGTTGTAGTGCGGAGCTGTGGCCGACTCTTTAACTGTCATGGGTATATCTCAGGACAGAAATAACCCCCGACCTCAGGTTTCGGATGCTTCATGAGGCGATCACTTGATTCATAGCTATGTTAAATATATACATTCATTGCCCTCATGCTTATCCGCCCGTCGGTCTCCCCGCCCAGCTCTCGGTCTTATCTGACAACAGAAACAAGACTGAAGACACGCCGATACCTGGCTTCCCCTGACTGGCCGTCCCCCACCAAACAGCGTTCGTGCGTTCATGTGGGATGCCCTGGGACATGGTCTAGCCATTCTCGTTGGTCTGTAGAATGGAATCCAACACGGCAACAAGGTATCGGTGCCTCGCTATCTGACAAGAGCACTGCGACCTTCACTGGGGCAACTCGAGGCCAGTATTACTCGTGGTATGTCAACCGCCTCATTTCCTTCTATGGAACCATATTGAGACTCCGTCGAACGAGACCAGGGAGCAACCAGTTGTACCTCGCTCTGCTGTGCCAGATCTACTTGCATGCTTCGGCGCATTGTATGCAGCAGCAGCAGGAAGCGGTGCAGAGCTCTCTTTCGCCGTCACACAGGGACTCGCCCACTGCTGTCCGCAGCGCTTCCCTCGTGTCTTTGGCCGGGGCGAAGGACGTTTTGATCGCGTGCTAGGCTTGGAGACTTGTTGTCGAGACTTGTCTCGTTCATTCGGACTCGGCGACCGGTTGCGTTTCGCTGTGCCGTCACGCAGCGGGGAATAGTGGGTGGGATGGCGCGGCTTATCAGCCGAAGAGGACGATATAGGGTTATTGTCTGTGCTGGCCGCTTTATCAGTTATCGAGGCCCATAGAGAATGCGGGAGAGCCAGCTCCAGATGGAGGGTTTGCGATACTGGTTGGCGCCATCGCAAGGCTCCGCACAGTCCTCCTCAGCCTTCGGGGACTTTTCGCTGTCAAGATAGTATACCCCTTGCACGAAACCATGTCTCAGCTGCATCTCCAATGCCTTATGGCTGTAGAGCAGCCTCTCAGCAGTGATCCGGACATCACTGTTCGCCTGACCCAGCGTCAAAGCAGCGAGCATCCAGCTAAACTTAATGCATCCATGCTTATCATACAAGTCCTCATACGTCATGAGCGACGCCCAGCTGTCGACGACCTCTTTTGCCCTCTCCTCGCTAACCCTGAACCACTCGGTATGCCCTTTGCCACAGCCCGCGCACTGGGGCTCCTTGCGGCGCTCCCACGCCAGCTCCTCTTGCGCGAGCGTCTTTGCGCGCTGGGTGTATTTGAAGACGTCTGTACTGTGCACGAGGATCGGGCGGTAGCCGCACTTCCTGCGCCAATCGTTGAGGCGTTGCTGGATTGGGTTCATGGTCCATCCGATCTTGACGTAGCCCGGGGATGAGGCACGGCGGAAAACGTACAAGCGGCCGGGTTTGAAGTCTCGCTTGTCGAGTGGCTGACATAACTTGGGGCCCATGTCATTAAGGGGATGGACGGCATGACAGAGATATTGTGTTCCTAGAGCATAGGGGCTGCTTCTGGTGGGTCTGTCTTGTTTGGCACTGAGCTGGACCTTCCAGAGTTCGCGGAGTGCTGACTTCTCCAGTGTAATATTATTCAGCTCGCCAATAGTGAATGGTAAGTCGGTAGTATGGTGCCCATGGCGCTTCGTGGTCAAATTCCGGACATGGCTGGGGAACTCGATATGCCCTGCGACGTTGTCTCGCTTCCGGTTAATACGGCTCTGACGCAACGCGGTATCCGGTAACTTCCTGGTAGAAGCAGGTACTCGTGTAAGCGGATCGAGTAAGCAAAGAGTTGATGAAGGGAAGGCCAGGGCTGATCTGCGGAACATTGGACCCCCAATGTACAAGGCTAATCTTGTGTCCGTTCAAAAACGTCTAGCGCTCACTCCTGGCAGAGACCGGTAGATATGTATGTATCGGGCGCCTATGAGCCCTGTAGAGCTGGATGCAGCTTAGTATGCCGTTTGCTCACAGTGTGAGGTCGTGGATGGTATGGCACAGGACAATCTGCCAAGCCGGCAAACATACATAAGGCGTATCGTCCAGACTTCCAAATATAAACAATGGCGGTTATCAACAATGCCACTTCGCAAGCGCTGACCGCATCACACGCGTGTGCCGCTCCCCAAATCGTCCGAGCTCACCGTTTGTACCCTCCCCTTTCCTCTTCACAAAGCCCCGACTCCGAAAGCATCCCACCCAGTCCCCGCCACCAGCCCTCACGGCGCTTCGACGAGCTCGGAGTGCTGGGCTACTTGAATATGCCCACCGCCATGACGCTGCCGTTGGTGACCATCGAAGCCCCGGTCTGCGCGTCTCTTTGCGTTCCCACAACAAACATATCGAAACTCGGTGTCTCCTGCAACGAGGCTGCAAACGGCACCTGGATGGGAGGCATGCCGGATAGAACCTGATGACCTTGGTCGAGTCTGGTTGGCTATCATGGTGGAACAAACAAATAAGTAAAGAAACAAGGCTAACAAAGCTTTATGGCACCAAGAACACAAGTATGTAGTGTAGCTTCAACTCTCACGGCTAGGAGACGCGCTCTTATAATGGACAAGTTCAGTCCTTCTGCAGTACTGTACTAGACTGTATACTGTATACTGTAGTGCGTAGGCAATCATACTTATGCTGGCCTTACGGCTATGTATGATGAGAATAGTGCTCTATCAGAACAAGCACAGCCCGGCATACACAAGACGGCGTAGTCCGTCACTGCGCACTTCACGGTACATTGCTGGGAAGCCTTGAGCGTTTCGGATCGACAGGGCTGTCGGCTCCATTCGCTCGTGCCTCGGCGGATCTCTTGTCGCCTGCCCGTTGCCCGCTGCGGACGACTACGTCAACGAAGTCGCTCAGTTTCTTGAACTCGTCTTGCATATGCTTGTGGTGGTGCTGGACTTGTGTAAGTTCTGTCGACATGGTATCGAGCCTACTGATGAGCTTCTCCACAGCGTCGATGGCTTTGCGTCCCAGGCTGTCGGGCTTATTGGTGACCTGGTTGAGCTCACCAAGGATCAGTCGAGCCATCTCCTTGGTCGTCACATTCTTGAATTGGGTATCAAGGTGGTTTGCCTGCATCACGACACCCTCAAGCTTATCCTGGACAGCCTGGAAGTCCTCGCGCAGAACCTGACTGGCGCGTTCCTGCACTTGTGTATTCCAGTCCTCGACAGACTTTTCAAGCCCACCCAGGCGAGCCATGCAGATGGTCTGCAGCGAGTCCACTTTGCTTGGCAGGTCTTGTCGTTCCAGGTCTTGTAGACGCGATACAAGCGCCGATATTGCAGCAGCATCGGGGCTCCTCTCGAGATCTCCAGCCTCTAGGGCGGCGATGCGTTCCGCTAGCTTCTCGTCCCTAAGCTTCTGAAGGTTATTTTTCAGACCGTCAAGCTCATCGCCGAGCCAATCACTCGTCTCCGCCACCGTCGTCTGCACCTTGCAGTACAACTCTGCCAACTTCGCGTCGAGGTAATCTGGCGAGACTGAGGTTGATTGGTTCGGTAAATGTGTGGCAGGCGAGGCGTGTCTGATGGAGAGGTGATCCTTGAAGGCATAGAGTTCCTTTCGCATGTTGTTGATCTCGGCCTCATGACCCTTGATCCGCCCCGGAATCTTGTTGTCAACCCACGTGTTGACCATTTTGTCCAAGCTCCCCAGGTCAAGTGAGTCAACCTTCTCTGTGGTATTCTCCATCTCGGCCTCTAAAGATTTGATTGTACTGGTTAAATTGGCGCACGAGTCTCGGACCTGCTGTATCTGTATGCCCAGGTTGTCGTACTCCCACGCCTGCTTGTTCAGTGCTGCCTCTATACTCGTAATCTTAGAGCTTACTTGGGCCGCAGACTGAGACGATGTCTCGACAGACTGAGATAATGTCTCGACAGTCTGTTGACATAAAGCCTCCATGGTCTTGCATCGCGCTCTGCTATCATCGTCAATCCTCTTGAGGTCCTTCTTAAAGGCGTCGCACTCAATAGAGGTCCTATCAGACATCTTTTCAGACTTCTCGGAGACGTCGCGCATCTGCCTCGTGAGTTGTTTCAAGAGATTCTCGTTTTCCAACCGAAGCGTCTCTGCAGCCTTCAAAGGTGCATCATGCTGATCCTGCATCTCTTTTTGCCATGCGCTAACACTCCTCTCCTGCTCGAGAAGTTTATGCTCACGAGCTGCAAACGCTGCCTCCTGCTGTTCGAAGCGACTTTGCAGGAGCTCGAGTTTACGCTCGAGAGCTTGATTTGTGTCGCAATGTCTGTCCGAGGCCTCGGCATTTATAGGCGGTGGTTTTTTGAGTGCAACGAACTTGGACATAAGCTCTTCCAATCCCTTTCGGTGGCTCTTGTCGGCCTCCGAGATCGTGGTTTTTAACAGCTTCTCATCCTTTTCCTGCTGTCTCAGTTCTGTGCGATGCAGCAGAGCCATGGACGTGCCTTCGTCTGCCTTTTCCAGCTTTGTATTGAAGGCCTGGCGCGGCCCAGCCTCTGCGTTCCATCTTGAAAACTGCGACTTGACAGCCACACGATCGACTAATGTGTCACTCCAAGCCCAAAAGGTGTTGAACAGGTCTTGGTACTCGGGATTCTCAATTGTCGGCGGTTTGCTGCTCGGCATACAGGGTTTGGCTGCTGTAATGAGACGGGATGTGGCGGAATTAGATGATCGTGAGACTGAAGGCGCCCACTGTTAGTAAATATAACCACAGTGATGGTATCACAGATGTAAACTTACGAGAGTTAGGTGTCTGAACCACGCTGGCTTTGCCTAGCGGAGGCGAGGAGCTGGAAGCTACCGACGGCCTCCGCGAGCTATCTTGTGCCCCATGAGCAGGATTCTCGCGAGCGTCCCGCGAATCCCTCACGTCTCTTGAACCTCTTCGCACTTCGCGGTGAGAGGAGCTCTCCCGTCCGTGTGAATTATCCGTAGTGCGCCGGGTGTTCTGCTGGTTGGTCGCTGATTGTCTTGTTCGCCCATCGAAGACAACATTCCTTAGGTCTGCCATGACGGCTCGGCGCGCAACCGGTCACTATTGTGGGAGTAACTGCTGTGCTGTGATCTTTGGTCCCCACAAGCGCTGTTGTGGCAAGATCCTGCTGATACAGTTCGTGACGGGACCCGCCGTGAGCAGGTAGCCGTTGTGCTAGGTGCCGGGCATGGGGGAGGCTGTGAGAAGGGCAGTGGCGGTGAAATCGAGCTCGAGGGTGCCTAGAGTGGGGCAGTACGATTTCTGCCGATGGGCGGTTTCATGTGTTGCTGGCGTCTAGCTGACTTGGCGCCAAACACGAGATCTCAAGCGGCGCGTTTGTAACTTGGTGCAATCGACGAGACTCCTGTCCTGTGTGTTGTCCACGAGCATGCTGCGAGACGTGCGGATGGGAGGGGAACAGGCACAATGCGCGGAAGGGGGGTCGTCAGGGCTGAACTTGAGTTGCGACTCATTGGAGGCGCGAGGAAGCCCGCGGTGGTTGGGCGGCGCACAACAGCAATGTGGGGCGGGCGTCAACTCCCTACCCAGAAGCATCTCTGGATGGACAAGGCACTTGCACGCGTTTGCAGGCCAAAGCCCACCGCTCCCGAAGTCGTCTGGAACGGTCGGCACTTCATTATCCAGTATAGGCTGTGATAAGCTTATATCACCTCTGGGGCGGTTGCTCTCGCACACGGCAGTCGTCCTCGTGCTGCTGTCCAGTCTGCAGATGCTTCCAAGTTGGCCAGCATGGGTGGGTGCGGCCTGCTCTCTTGAGGCCCGCCTAACGGCCCCACCATCACCCAATGAGACTTCAGCGCATGGTCGTGCATGGCCCTGAGGTCGCCAAGGGAAGGCCAGGTAAGCTTGCTCGCGATAACAAGGATCATTGCGAGATCACAGCCACTCTACACATACGCCATGCCCTTGAACATCACATTCGTCACATTTCGCGGCTCTCGGGCTGCAAGAGGCTTCAGCCGCCTCCCACAGCCTTATGTCCAGCACCCGCAACCAACAGCCCCGCTTGCGAAAAGACTGGTCTAGGCAACATCGACAAGGTTAGCACTTGAGAGACCGGAGTCGACATGCACGGATATCGCATAAGATCGCGCAATCTCGCACCGTCTTCAATCTGATGACCGATCGTCTCCTCCTAGGCGCCCCAATAGAAATTGCGGAAAAGACGAGGGAAGTAAGCCAGAAGAGCAAAGTCTCGATGCCCCAGCCAATCGCGGTCTTTCCGATTCCCCGGCAAGGGGGAGCGAGCCATCACTCGCCGGTGCCTTTGCCGGGATAGAATCAGCCGCACAAAATGGCTCCCGATGCTGCTGGTCTCACCTTGCGTCTCTGTCTGCTGGACAAATGTGTAACAGAGTGCGTCGGGATTTTACGCATCGCCGAGACAACATGATACGATACTGCAATCTGGTTGAGAGTCGCTGCCGTAAAAGCCGGTCGTACTCCCTCGAAGCAGTAGCATCTTACCACAAAAGTCTCACACCAACATACGCTTTGATTTATGATATTCAGGGTCATTTAAGCAATACCATCAATTGGTGGCCATGCCTCGCCCACACGCTCCGGACCACCGCATGATTCTTGTCGAGCCCGAGGAACATGATGTGCGTGTAGTCGAGACAACCCCCGACAACTTCAAAGGTAAGTGCTGGCCCTTGTGCGCCCGGATTTGTAGGCATTCTGGCTGACGTTGAACCATAGAGCTTGAGCTAAATGGTGATGAAGTTAGCCTAGCCAATCTTACTCTGCCAGTTATTGCGGGCCCGACTTGACTCTACTGCAAGTACAGCCCACCAATCTGGGCGTCGCAGTTCTGCGAGGTCTTGATCGCTCGAGATATCCTGTGAAGGATAATACTATCATATTTCTGGGACTCGCGTGGTACATCGGTGCTTAAGGGGGGGATCCAGAACCCTACAGGACTTGGCCTCTGTAAGTGCCAGCGCGGCCGTCCTGTTGTTGAAGTGTAAAAGCAGTTTCGGATGCCATCTCCGCGCTATTATTTCAACGCCCACGTTACTGAGCTCCAATTATGAGCCCGGAGAACACGACCCGTGAGCTGGTATGTAGTTGCGACCCGCTCAACAGTTAGGATGACTGGGATATGACACTACCGAGTTGACTTCACAGCCATTCCACACAGGTATGTGTTGCTCGATATTAGCTATGCATGTTCGCTCAGGGACGTCTTCTTGGAAGAGTTGTGCTTGTCCCTGCGGATGCTATTCATGCCCGCCCTGGAGAGAAAAATCCAGATGTGCTCCCTCCGCTCTCCTGCTGCGGATTGGCCGACGCTGACGCGGGCGCGCAATCTCAACAGAGCTGGGAAAAGGCCCCATACGTCCTGGCACCCCCCCTGTAGGATCATGCAGGCAGCCTGGTCGTCGCTCTGGACCCAGCCCCACCCGGCCGCACATGCGGGGCTCGTGCCTAGCCTGCGCCCAGCTTTCCGCCCGGCATGTGGTGCGGCCGCGGCTGCACGATCCGAAGCTCAGAGGCAAGTTGCCTGGGACGTTGCGTTAGGGTTCTGAGCGCTCAAAGTGCTAAGCCGAGTATATGGAACCAAGATATTCCAATTGCACAGCCGCTTTCGTTGTCTATGACGGTGACAGCAGCATTGATCAGCGATGACTGGGCTTCGGTCCAGGAGAACATGGATGCCCAGAAACGGTGTCCTAGGTTAGGAAAGGTGCTCGTTCTGTAAGATACTGCACGGGGTGTGACAAATTCTTCTTGTCATGCACATGTGGCACCACTGCCCTTTCCCCTTTCCGCTTCACCGCTTATTGCAACCGAATCAAGTGGAATAAAGAGTTACCGTTGTCGGTCCTTACCACGGTCTCAACCGAGTCAATGGCCAATCATGCGTCCCTGCACATTGTCATCGAGCGGGGACAGCCTGAGCCGTCTCTAGGCCATAACGGTGCAGCCTTAATAAGAGAGACCTGGCAGGGATTGTTGGGGGAAGCGGCGGCATAAGACATACAGCAGTATCACGCAGTAGCAAGGGCCGGGGAAGGTGAGGTGATGCACGCTAATGCAGAGACACTTCGCATGTGGCTTTTGGTGCTCAGCCTGATCAGATTTTCAGCGCACACATTTCGGGCGTAATGGGCAAACTATGCCTGCCTGGTCAGCGCACTGCTTTTCGTGTTGCAATAACCGGGCAGATGAGCATTAAAGCGGGCAGCCAAACCAGGCGTTAGCAGATATCTATTGGGCAAGAGCGGAGCCACATATAAAAAGAAGAGCAACACCTTAACTCTGGAAGGGGGGAAAAGTACCTTCATTCAATTTTGACTACCTCCTCAATTAAGACCCAAAACCTGGAGGAAGTAAGCGAAGGATATCTACAAGAGAATGGCACCAGGACGAAATAAATCACGAACCTACAGGGTCATCTTCACACGCCATGGAGAGTCCGAGTCCAACGTCCCAGATAACTCTGCCGTCAGCAAGATGGACCCCTTGCTGACTACCGACGAGACAAGGGCAGCCTGGTCCAAGGCTGAGATGTCCGGCCGCGACTACTGCTCCAGCAAGACACGAGCAGAGTACCAGGATATGTTCGACAACCCTGACATCTCCCGTGTCACCACTGACAGCCCCGTCATCATCTCGAGCCTATCGAGGGCAATCCAGACCGCCATCATCGCGCTCCCGGCGAAGAGGCTAAATAACAGGTCTGGCATCACCATCTCGCCGCTCATCGCCGAGCAGACGACGTGGTTCTCTGACCGGACGAGACCGCTCGACCACCTGAGACGGCTCGTGGACAAGGAGCTGCGGGGGAAGCCTGGTATCACGCTCCCTCTTGGCGGCCTGGACGACTTCAACCTGGAGCAGCTCGTGCAGCCCGTGCCGGAAGACGCGTTGCTCGTGGGCACGACGTTCGGCAAGCTCGCCGCCGCCGCTGGCAAGGCAGACACTACGTACCCGCGACGAGGCAACCCGGCAGGTGTAAACGATAGAGACAACAACAACAACAACAACAACAACAACAACAAGCCATGGCATCTCAAACACGGCCTCTGGCACCCGGCGAACCTCGTCCAGCGCGGACAGGAAGCAGTGAAGATGCTCATAATGATTGGGAGGGCCGCATATGTGGAGGACGAGGACCGGCCGACCCCGGCAATCCTCGTCTTCGGTCACGGGGGGTTCGTCAACTATATGACGCAGACCACGGGGCTGACTGAGGTACACCTGAACAGCAATCCACCCAAACTGACGGACTGGGCCACCGGCGAGACCCGTATCTTTGAGCTCCTCGACGAGGATCCTGATGGGCCTCCCGTTGCGAGTCTGCTTGTTGAGACGCAGGATTCTTTTGAGAGGCATTTGCGGCGGAATAGAGTGGCTGAGGAAGATATGATCCGGAGGGTGCCGGGCGGCATGTGCGGTGATCACCACAACGAGTGTGTGAGATCCAGCCTACAAGCCAAGATCATGCAGATCGATGAAGAGTATCGCACGGGACGCTTATATGCCAAGGCCCTCGAGGATGGGATAAATCCACCGGATGTGGATGGCAATCACGAGGATTACGTCAAGGATATCTCAAATAAGTGATATAGATATGGCAATTACTACACGGGCATGAAGAATTGCTACCCGGGCATGACTCTTACACGGGCATGACCTTTTGCAGCCTCTGATTGGTCCATCCCTTTTTGTTAGTGCATCTAGATTCTGCCAACGCTTCCCTTGTACCTCGGGATTAGCTCTCCACCACGACGATCGACGACACATATGGAAGCTATTCACTAGCTAGCTACTACACCAATTACCTCTTGTCGCATGTCAAGCCTACTGATAATGATTGTTCGTGAAAGATACCATATTTGTCAAGGTCCCAGGGCTCCAGGCGTGGTGTGTTAGGCCCCCTGCTGAGACCAACACTCAAACACACGCTGTATCAGGAATATCCAATAGCCTCATCTTCCAAGGCATCTGCATCACAAAGCAGGTCATTCCTTTGTGCTGAAATTGGTCCCCTCTTTCCTTCTTTCATAGTCAAATCAACTGCCCCTTTAACCATGCTCTCATCCGTGCGTGCGACACTCTTCCTGTCGCGATCAAGGCCGTCATTATGTCCCAGCCCGACTCTCGATCTAGCTCAGCAAGCAACCAACGACTTCGAAGCTATCAATTACGTCCTCGAAAACGACAGCGGCAGAACCAATCTGAGAGTTCAAGACCACCTTCGTCTAATAGCACAGGGACGAGCATTGGCCCACACTATGGCGTGGGAGACGACGAGGCACTCTGTAATGCTTTCGCCTCGTACCCAGAGACCTTCACGACCGCTCCACGCCCCCATGGATCGCGTGGGCTGAACGAGCCACCATGGGAGCTGCGATTCGATCATGAGATTCACCTATCGAATGATTTCCCAACCCGAGGAAGACGGTCGCAACGAGTAAGAATGCCTATACCAGGCCCGGAAATCGACCAGCCACCTGCCTGCTCTCCACAACAATCAGCACAAGAACAATTCTCTCCAACAAGACCCCAGTTTCAGTCCGCCCTTAGGCTAGTGCGCGAGGTGATTGGGACAGATCGAAGACTTACCATCGAGCTCGTCCGGTCATACGAACGAGTCCGCCAATGGCGCGAGATATGGGGCTACTCGCCGCTCAGTTCAACTCCATTCGAATCATCTCCGCCATACTCGCCTCCCCGAGAAAGGCACTCTCCGCCTATCGCCTCGCCGCCCTCGCCCGACCACCCCTTGTCGCCTGTCCCTGACCCGATCCCGAACCCACCTATCCCAGGCGACCCAGCGCCGTCAGCCGAAGTCCTGTTCGAGTGGGTGAATACTTTCGCGAAGGCTAATGGCTTCGGTATTGTTCGACGAAATGCCTACTCATATAAGGGTCGGAAGATCCGGTACTCTTTCCAATGCGATCGATTCGGAGAACCACGCCCCTCAGAGAGTACCGGTATTCGGCAACGGAAGTCTCGAAAGTGTGGTTGTAAATGGATGGTCATTGCCGAAGCACTGGAGGAGGGTAGATGGCTTCTACGACACCACGATAATTCCGAGCATAGCCAGCATAACCACGGGGCCAGTATCAAACCATCCGCCCATCCCTCCCACAGACGACTTACTACACCTATCAGGGCAACAGTCGAATCGACAAGCCGTCGGGTCGGAATTCGGGCCCGTGACGTACGCGCGATCGTCCTGGAGCAGCATCCCGAGTCATCTTTTACACGAAAGGATATCTATAACGCCAGGTCTCGTATCAGCCGAGACAAGTTGAGCGGCCACACTCCTACTGCAGCACTGATCAAGCTGTTCGACGAGATGGAGATTCCCTATCTTGTTAAGTGGGCGGATGATGAGCCAAACCGCCTCGTCGGTCTTGTCTGGACCTTTCCGTACTGCCTCCAGATGTGGAAGCGGTTTCCTGAGGTCATCAGCTTCGACAACACATACAACACCAACCGCTTCAAGCTTCCATTATTCCAAGCAACAGGACAGACCTGCCTTGGTCCTGTCTACAATGCGGCGTTCGGTCTGATCGACAACGAGAGACGGGAGGGGTTCCAGTTCCTCTCTGAGAGCATTCGACAGATCTCAGAGCAGCACTCTATTCGCCAACCGGACGTTATCATTACTGACTTCGACGGTCAGATGAAGGCCGCCCTGAATGATCAGTTCCCTGATGCACAGCAGCAGCTGTGCATCCACCACATCAATTCTAACGTCTTGCTCAAGTCAAAGCAGAAGTGGGTCAAGGGCCAATGTAGCAGTAGTAGTCCCGACAGCAGCAACGGGGAGGACTACGCTCCACAGGCACAGGCTGAGCTCGGCCCGAAAGACGGACAGTTGGTCAACGCGCAGACAGCTGAAGTCGTCCCTCATAGCCATCGAGGGGTTCTCATGAT